ACGAATGAATGCATTTGTGTTCAAAGGCTTGGTCGATCCGCAAATACTTCGAAAATGTATAAGTTTTCGATTTGATTCAAGGGTCATGAATAGTCATCTTTATTCTTGCTAAGGCATCTCTTTGTTACAATCACACTGATTTATTTGCGCAGAGGAATAAAGCAAGAGAAAGGTCGCTTAACATCGACTGAAAATGTTAAGCTAAATAAGTATGTGATATTTGTGCGCCATAATAAAATCGGTACTCCCGTAGTGTATGTACCAGGTCAGAGTTAGGCCCTAATTAGGCTTCCCGCTGCTTGTCAGCAGGGAACCTATTGTATTCCTGTGTTTTATTATTATTATTATTTATTTATTATTATTATTATTATTAGGCTTCCCGCTGCTTGTCAGCAGGGAACCTATTGTATTCCTGTGTTTTATTATTATTATTATTATTATTATTATTATTATTTATTTATTTATTTATTTATTTTTATTATTTTTTTTTCAAATTGGTCCTACAAACTTGAAATTCACCTCAAATGTGCAGAAGTTCTCAACTAGCAATAAAATGCAAATTTTATGCATGACTGACCACGCTTTCACGCTCCAGTGAGCAAAACGCGTTTTCAGTTATTTTGCGATTTCTCAATATTGATACATGCTATTGGGTTGAAATTCATAACAATGATTGATGGACATGTTCCGGATGAGATATGTCAAGGATACGCATGAGTGACTTTGGCGATACGCTCCAGTGGGCAATATAGGATTTTACATTTTCATCTTCTTCTCAAGAACGACACAACTCAGAGACTTGAAATTTACATCACATGCAGATAATAAGTCCCCCATAATAAATTGCAAATTTTATGCATGACTGACCACGCTTTCATGCTCCAGTGAGCAAAACGCGTTTTCAGTTTTTTTGCGATTTCTCAAAATTGATACATGCTATTGGGTTGAAATTCATAACAATGATTAATGGACATGTTCCGGATACGATATGTCAAGGATACGCATGAGTGATCTCGGCGATACGCTCCAGTGGGCAATATAGGATTTTACATTTTCATCTTCTTCTCGAGAACGACCCTACTTAGAGACTTGAAATTCACATCACATGCAGACAATAAATCCCCCATCATAATTTGCAAATTTTATGCATGACTGACCACGCTTTCACGCTCCAGTGAGCAAAACGCGTTCTCAGTATTTTTGCGATTTCTCAAAATTGATACATGCTATTGGGTTGAAATTCATAACAATGATTAATCGACATGTTCCGGATACAATATGTCAAGGATACGCATGAGTGACCTCGGCGATACGCTCCAGTGAGCAATATAGGATTTTACACTTTCATCTTCTTCTCGAGAACGACACTACTTAGAGACTTGAAATTTACATCACATGCAGATAATAAGTCCCCCATCATAATTTGCAAATTTTATGCATGACTGACCACGCTTTCACGCTCCAGTGAGTAAAACGCGTCTTCAGTTTTTTTTACGCGGGAAGCCTGTTAAAGCTGCACGCAGCTCTAGTTATTATTTATTTTTATTATTTTTTTTTCAAATTGGTCCTACAAACTTGAAATTCACCTCAAATGTGCAGAAGTTCTCAGCTAGCAACAAAATGCAAATTTTATGCATGACTGACCACGCTTTCACGCTCCAGTGAGCAAAACGCGTTTTCAGTTTTTTTGCGATTTCTCAAAATTGATACATGCTATTGGGTTGAAATTCATAACAATGATTAATAGACATTTTTCGGATACAATATGTCAAGGATACGCATGAGTGACCTCAGCGATACGCTCCAGTGAGCAATATAGGATTTTACATTTTCATCTTCTTCTCGAGAACGACACTACTTAGAGACTTGAAATTTACATCACATGCAGATAATAAGTTCCCCATCATAAATTGCAAATTTTATGTATGACTGACCACGCTTTCACGCTCCAGTGAGCAAAACGCGTTTTCAGTTTTTTTGCGATTTCTCAAAATTGATATATGCTATTGGGTTGAAATTCATACCAATGATTAATGGACATGTTCCGGATACGATATGTCAAGGATACGCATGAGTGACCTCGGCGATACGCTCCAGTGAGCAATATAGGATTTTACATTTTCATCTACTTCTCGAGAACGACACTACTTAGAGACTTCAAATTTGCATCACATGCAGATAATAAGTCCCCCATCATAAATTGCAAATTTTATGCATGACTGACCACGCTTTCACGCTCCAGTGAGCAAAACGCGTCTTCAGTTTTTTTGCGATTTCTCAAAATTGATACATGCTATTGGGTTGAAATTCATAACATTGATTAATGGACATGTTCCGGATACGATATGTCAAGGATACGCATGAGTGACCTCGGCGATACGCTCCAGTGAGCAATATAGGATTTTACATTTTCATCTTCTTCTCGAGAACGACACTACTTAGAGACTTGAAATTTACATCACATGCGGATAATAAGTCCCCCATCATAAATTGCAAATTTTATGCATGACTGACCACGCTTTCACGCTCCAGTGAGCAAAACGCGTCTTCAGTTTTTTTTTACGCGGGAAGCCTGTTAAAGCTGCACGCAGCTCTAGTTTTATTCTGATTTTTCCTATTTTATTTCTATTACGATCTATTTCTATTACAGTCGGGGACTGTCTGTGTTAGTCCAGTGAATTCACTTGTTGCTCATAAATTTCAGTCCCCTTACACAACGTGATAACGTGATGTAAAGTAGGCGAACAAAATTAGTTACCTCCATATTGGTACATACACTTCTGGAGCGCCATAAAATCAAATATATTGTAATATTTTGATTGAAAATAAGATTACTCGAAAAACACTTTTCATACAGAATATTTGAAAGCAATAAACCAAGTGCCGCTCTACCATCATTTGGTCGATCTTCAATCAACAATTTAGGTGAATACAGATCACATTACATGTAATACAAATATGCATATTAACTTAATTATTTACTTCAAATAAACTCTCTTCGAATTTTTACTCTCTAGCGATAACTTTACATTTATTTATATAGTCATTTCAATAAAACAACGAAGTCAGCTGATGTATTCACATTCATTGCTCTCGATGGTAAGTTATATTTTAGTAGGTTACAAATATTCTAGCCCAATAGCAAGCACATCGGCAGTTTCAGTAGTGATTCCTCAATCAAAGAGTAAATCGTCTAAATTCTCTAAAATTTTAGGAAGTGTTTGCAAACGCTCGTCGTATCCATCTCCATATTATTAAATATTTTAATGATGATAATTATTCTTCATCGACATTTGTTGGAGTATTGTTAAATAAGGTACTCAAACACAGCGTTTACATTGCTCATGATATTCTATATATATATATTTATTTCAGGAACAGCATATGCAAAAAATGTGACGCCGGATGCAAAATAATGCAAAATAGATTTACTTTTGTCTTTAGTATGATGAATAAATCAGTGTTATGCTTTAGAATGGTGTTGATTTCGTATGCGTCGAAATTATTTTGTTTCTTTTATGACAAATAAAAAGAAAAATCAGTAGCGTATGTATGATATCTAAGAAGCGATTTGGAAATAATCCAGAAAAATACATTGTAACAAATCTCGTCAAAATATAAATAATCCTCCATCCAGTAAATTTTAAAGTGACAAGCAACGCCTTAAAATTTCATTGAAAATAAATTAATTATTCAAGAAAAAGGAATTGGATCTAATGGAGTCAATGAATTTCAGCTACAGTGTAAAGTCTTATTTAAAGCTAAATGGAAAAATGATGTTATATTTATTATATATAATATTTATTCCAAGGAGAATAAAGGTTCATCAGTATCGATCTTCAAAATTCGCTAAAAAATATTTTATGTCTCTTCATCGCTTATACAATATTAAAAATTATATATTATATTGTATAAATATTATACAATATTATTAAAATTAGACAAATAGAAAAAAATGTGTATTTCAAAATGTTATCATTATTCGTAATGGAAAAACGTCTCCACTTCAAAATTATTGCTAATTTTATTTTTAGTCCATTTTATTTAAATGAATTTATTCATATTAACATTGCCTATATGTACTAAAGTTTAAACCTAAACAATAAACACTACTAATGTTTATTAATTGAGATATTGAAATCTTAAAACCAAACCCACTTAATTCACAACACAAGAGAACCATGCTCAAATATAGGTGACCGTACATTTGAACCCATGTACATTTGAACTCATGCGTATATCCACGGGTTCAATCTATATGCGGGTGCTAAAACCCATGGGTTAGGGTTAGTATGGGTTTAACTATCCGTGAAACAAAAAAAATTTCATAGGTGCAATAGCATACAGGTGCAATTGTCCTGGGTTCAAATGTACGTGGGTTCAAATGTAATGGAACCTCAAATATAGGATAGACACAAGACCGAAACAAAATAGTACCGGTAACGTCTGACTACCAGATCGCTAACGCGAAGGCGGAACCGCCACGAGGTGCGCAATTTTTGTGTGTGACGTCATCGCACACACAATAAAGAGAATTCCTTGTAAGCCCACAGAAATTTTTGAAATAAAAAAAGTAATATCCCTCTAGAAATCTAGAGTACGCTTTTTAGCCACTGAAAATTCCAAAGCGCAGTAGATAATGAAAAAAGAGCTTTTTTCCTGCGATATATATTGTATGAGAGCAATATAAAAAAGAACGGCTGCGAGTTTGTAACAAACTTGAGTATCCCGTAAAAAGCCTGTTCGTATATTAAACCAGTATTACGGCAAGCTATATTATTCTTCAAATTATTTGTACTTTTTCATTGATATTGGGATCAATTGTCGATTTTTGTTTTCTAATCACCATTGTCCATGGCATACACTTCATAGACTTTTGATTGCAGTCAAAAAATGATTATTATTCGGTCAGTGTCGTGTACTAATAATGATCTACAATTGGTAATTTTGCGCGTGAAAATTGCCATGACGTTATCGTATTGAATTCGATCAAGCCAAGAAATTACACGCCTTGAGTAAAGTGAGTTCGACGCCGGAAATAATTGGCGAAGGAAAAACACATCGATCGCTTTGAGATTTGCAAAAGTGCTATTTGTTATTTGAGTTTTGCGAACGAATCTTGCTCTGTATTGTGCAGTGAGTTGACGATTTAGAATGGAATCGTTGTGGAGATTTGTGATTGTTTTGAATCTGCTGGTTATCACGTGTGGAAAAGAGGTAGGATTATAACTAAAATCTTTGCCAAGACCACATTTTGGCTAGGCTTGCTAAAGTCAAATATCGTAAATAAACATATTTAATCGATCTTCCGCGAAGCCTATGAGATGAGCCATTATTGTACTTTATTTATTGCATTGACAACCTCACTGTATTATTTAATTTCACTACCGACAACAACAGAACAGTGAAAGTGTTATTATTTCTATTGACATTGCCATGTTAAGCTAGCCTTACATAACTGAGTCATGCTCGCGCGCGAAGCTAGCAAGCAGCAAAATACGAACACTTGGGAAAGAATGACATCATTCTTACGCCATATGTTGTAAATATCTTGCCAAATCCACCACGGAATCGTAAGGCAATTTTGTGAGGAATGGGGAATTTCCCAGATAGATGAAGGCATCAGACACTAAGTATATATATAAGCGTCAAGAAATTCGGAAAATTGCAGGACCTCACGGGAAAACTCTGAGAATGGGGGTAGTCCGTTAGGTTGCCATCCATGGGTTGGCATACTTTGGTGAAGTGTTGGGTGGTAATAGTGATGTAAAAGATTTGATTTCATATACTGTTTGAAGCGAGTTCCACATTAAATAAGAAAAGGTATTACTTTGATACGATGTAATCTCATTCTTTCAGAGAATCAATGATTCGTGATTTGATTAAATAGCAATTGCCGAATTTGTCCATTTTACATTAATTGGTCCCAGCAAAATAATAAAGTCGTTCACTCATGTTTGAATTACAGATTCGCATCTCCATCAACGGTACGGAAGCCATCTACAATATCGATAAAAAATCTCCATCCGTTACGCTAGGAATGGGAATTTTTAAATACGGTGTCATCAAATATATGAAGTCAGTAACCTTAATGAGTTAGGCTTAGAGACTGTTATTAATTGTATTTTTGTTGAAATTTACTAATTGACTCGAATATATTGCCAGGAGATTAACTTGATCAGCTGTCGCCGTCTGCGTAACCGTGCTATAATTATTCTAGTTTAAACTATGATGGTAACTTGTATAATTGTGTCGTAATCTCTGGTAGATCCATTTTTATATGCATTGAAATATCAGGCAAAAAATTTATGAACACAAATTGTTGTAGTTTTCTTTTGATTTTTGCAATGGAAATGCTATGAGTATCGCTAATTTCGATGATGTCACTTCCTTTAATAACAGCAACACAAAACTCTTGACATTAGCAAAAGCTCTCGGTCCATCGTATGTTAGAATGGGAGGAACAAAGTCTGATCATTCACATTTTGTTCCAGGAAATATTGCCAGTGAAATCCGAGGTAATAGCAATGCAAATTGCAATATAAATTGCAACTTATTTACAAAATGAAAGTTAAATTTTTTCATGGTAAAAAAATTAGAATTTGGAAATTTCTTTTCTATAAACTGAGTATAATTTAGATAATGTACTTTCAATACCCATATTACCTTTCCATTTCTTTATATTTTTACCCTGATTTGGAGGCCGAAAGATTTTACTTCAACTGCGTGTTTGTATATTATGATTTATAAGACAGCTACAATAAATGTTACCGTCATAGCTTCTATTTAACATATTCCTGTTCTTAAGAGGAATATTTTTCACTAACGCTAGAAAATAAGTACTATTTTTAAATATGAAGCTTCATCCCCTACTCGTTATATTAAGAATATAGTATTTTAATACTGATGTAAAATATTAATTAAGTGTGAAGTTGACCCATAGTTGAAATAAATTTTTCCATATTTGAGAATATTCGGTGTGGAGAATGTGATATAATTCTTTGCTTTTATTTCTGTTTTTTTTTTTTTTTTTCATTTTTCAGAACAAAATTGTCTTGGAAAAATGCCAAATAACGAAGAATTTGTGCAACATATGTTGAAAGTTGCAGAATGGCAATTTGAAAATTCATTTGCGAAAGAAAGATATGGATTATCTGATAATAATGTATCATACACAGGTAAGTTTTTGCATTAACCTCAAATCTAAAATACAAATGTGGATGAACCTCGTTATATTTGAATTCAGCTTTTTATTTCTATCTTCTTTCTATCTTCTATCAACGTCGAGAATTTAGAAAATATTTGAAAATTACTCAACGCGACTTAAAATCAAGGCCACATTTTTAATTATTTTGTGGTACTTTGGAGTAGTTGTAAAATTGTTATCATCAAAGCTGATCTGAACGAATATATGGCAAAGTTTCAAAAACACATATAGCCGCTGTATAACCAAATTCTTATATATATTAAAATCGTAAAGATTTGGAATTTCTCATTAGAAAATTTAATTTAGGCGAGCATTTTTTTGCTTGTCAACTTTGAGAAACTAAAATTTCTACAAATCTCATCATATAAACTGATCTGTATAGTTCCCTCAATAGACTCTGTAGTGACGTATTTGTTAGTGAGTGTCTAGCCCTATTATATTTCTGGTTCAAAAAATGTACAAGATTACACTTGGGCTCATCTCAAACTCATTGCTTTAGGATCAGAGTTCGACGATCTGATGTCCTTCGTAAATTGTGCGAATTGGGAACTTATTTTTGGACTAAATCTGTTGGATAGAAAACATGGTAATAAAGAATGGAATTCCACAAATACTGTTCAATTACTCAATTATGCTAAAAGCCAAAAACATCGAGTGAATTGGGAACTTGGTAACGGTAAGTATGAAAAGCTTATTGCAAATTTTTCGCATTCATTGATTTGATTTCTACACAATTTCTTGAGCAGATTGTTTAGCATTTTCAAATGACCGCTACTAGCAAAGCTTAAAGCGGAAATTTTTTTTTAAAAGCAAATATTTTTATTGGACAGAAGTGGACATATGAATTGTTTTGTTATTATATTGTTTTTGTTCTTTTGTTCCTAAAATTGTTCTTCTTCTTGGTGTGAATAACTAATGACTCGCTGTTGTAACTGATGGGACAATTGCTTTGAAATTTTCAGTAGTTTAGGACTGTATTTGTTAGAAGGCTATTACTTTTATTTATTTTCAAAATTTTCTATGGGCTCCATTTGATTCGTTTTTTTTTTTTTTTGTGCGATGACGTCATCAAAATTAAAAATGGCGCACCTTTTAGCTGTTTCGCTTTCAAGCGCTACCGGTATTCTACTGTGACAGATTGCATACTCGTCCTACTTTGTTTGGGTCTTCGTGTCCACATATTAGAGCATTGCTCTCATGCTTTTATTGTCATTTATTATTCTATAAAAATATATAGGTTTTAAAATAAAACGAAAATGTGCTTTTCCCATCTAGAACCGAATTCATATCATCATCATACAGGATTTTCTGTAACGCCGCGTGAAATAGCCACAGCTTTCTTTCAGCTAAACAAGATCTTGAAGTCAGACTCATGGTGGAAACAATCGAAAATAATTGGACCAGATGCCAACACGATGTTCAAAACTTCGAGCTTGAAATTTTTTAAAAAGTACATATATATATATCAAAAAATATACTTTATTTTTCAATTTTTTCAGTTTGGAAAAAAGAATACAATAATTTAACTTTGTGGCTCTATAAAGTAGATTGTCTTCGGTGATAATTTACCACGCATTGAGTTATCGTCATATTCATGAAAAAAAAACTATGTTACTGTTTTTCAGAGTTGTTCATTACATGGGATCTATTTTGAATGCTGTGACATTTCACCAGTAAGATGTTTTTATTTTACTTCAGCCATGACACTAAATATGAAGATACATCATTTTAAAAAAATTAAAAACTCAAATGTATTTCATATATAATCCATTTGGCAATTTATGACCGTTAATGAGTTCATTTGTTGTTTATTTTGTTGCTTTGAATCTATCAGTGCTTTTGATAAAAGATAGACCATCATTTTAGCATCATCAACTCGATCTAGACAACAAACTTATTTTATGATTATCAATTATCGGAGATAAAAACCATCTACAAATAGGTATGGCTTGACAAATGGTTGATGATCGTTTTAGGTACTACGTGGACAGTAGAGTGGCAACAATTTTTAACTTTACGGATCCTGCTCTTTTGAACGAGTTACTACCACAGGTGATGCTAGAATTTTTCATGTAATATTTTAGTATATTTCTTTAGTTTTTCCAAGACCTGGTATGAGTTATTTGTATGAAAAACACTCATTAACTTGTAACCAGATAATAAATGTTATCTCCACTCTAGAAAAGTCAATATATATATACATCGCTATAAAAAATAAGTTGACGATTGATCTACATTGAACCTTCTTATGTAACTTTTGTTAACGATTTTCAACTACAGGGCTGTAAGCAGAGTACCGACAAAATTAGTTTTAAAGTATATTTATGATAGTGCTATAAATTTACTTTTCAGCTGAAACATGTAAAAGAAATAGTTAATCGACAATCTCCAGATCTTCCCGTTTGGATCGGAGAAACTAGCTCATCCTATGGAGGTGGAGCAAAGGGTCTTTCGGACACTTACGTTGCAGGATTCATGTGAGTATTCTATGATAAACGAATATATTTGAACTACTAAACTTCTTAAAATGCACAATGTTCACCAGAAGGTGTTAAAATACGTGGTATAAATTCTGTGCAATTTTAGGTGGCTTGATAAGCTGGGTTTATCTGCAAGTAATGGGATAGATATTGTATTCAGACAAACATTAGTAGAAGGAAATTACGCGTTGCTGGACGACAATTTCGATCCTAGGCCGGTGAGTACTCCATGAAACTTAAAATACATAATACTGAATCTGTGAGACTGCTTGTCCCATACAATTTTCAACGTTTTTTATTTTTGTATACAGAATCGCTGACAATTATGTTATAGTTTTCTTTTATCCTTTAGGATTACTGGCTGACATTGCTGTATAAAACATTGGTCGGAACTCAAGTTTTGAATGTTACGAAAACAGTTATCGGTGCAATTTCTAAACAACATACAAAGGTTCGAATATACGCGCATTGCACCAACACAGAAAGGTATGAAACCTGAATGATTTTGATAGTTGAAGGTTTTAATCAGTGCTGTTGTGAACTTGTGCATATATCAGTTTTACTGAATATATCAATATTATTCAGAACAACATATCCAACAGGATCTGTGACGTTATATTATCTCAATTTATCTACAAGTAGAAAGAAATTATCATTTGTACAACAAAGTGAACAAAACTTAACCATAGCAGTGACTTATATTTTGACTTCTACACCGGGAGTTTTGAATTCAAGGTAAGATAATACTTATGAACATATTCCTTAATATTCTATTTATAATCATTTCTTGATTAAATAGGAAAACTAGTATTTCTTGATTGCAGTGACATTTATTTGAACAACAAGAAGCTTCGAATGGTAGATATTCACACGATGCCAACTTTCAATCCACGTCAAGTTAACATCGGTGCAGGAAAAAAGATAAATTTGCCACCTTCGTCATTTGGACTCATAGTTTTGAAAGACTCTAAAATAAAGGCTTGTTTAAAATGAAATCGTATTCCTTGATTTATATTCAAATCAAACTCAACTCAATTAACTGATTCAAAAATACAAGAATACACCTATTTTGAAACCCAAGGATAGTCAATTGCCTTTTCGTTCTCAGTATTGAGAATTACAATGTCGCTGCTCGGAACCAGCCCATTATAATTTAAAGTCAATGTTTGTGGAGTCGATAAAAGTGGATTGTGCTATTGTTTGCGAAAAGTGGTGCTCGGAAATAATTTAGTAGCAACTCCTATATATATAATATATATATAACCTCTCGAAAAAATTGTATATGGGTCTCATATGCTCCGAAAATATTTGCTAGTTTCCACGCGGTCACAAACGATGAGATGAATACAGGCGATTAGCGCTGGTAAACTAATCCGTAAATGTCAAATAAATCTATAAATAAAATAAACTTATGCCAGCTGAGGAATTCAAGAACGTGATTTTATTTATTTGCGCCGCGTTGTTATTAATTAGACGTTAGTGACGTTCTAAGTGTCTGTCATTAAGAAAATGGAGGTCTCTCATGAAAGACTGAAGTTTAACGCCGAGTTGTGAATATTCAAGACTATCAAAGATGTGATTTGATCAATTTGTTCAAAAGTAGTAATGAAGGAGAATAGTATCACAAGCAATCCTAATGCGCAAACCATTCTGCCGATCAAGGCAGCATTGTGGGTCAAATACGGGCTGACGCAATGCAGCTGTTAATTTGATGAAACGCCGGAGTGGATTTCATGGTTACAAGAAAGACCAGAAGCTTTCCAGAAAGTCAGCACTTCAAGACATCTAATCAAAGGTATATGAATACCTCCAATTGTCTACATTTTTTGTTACGCGATTCTTTTATCTTGTAACGAATTGTAATGTATATATATAGAGAGATGAGGAGAGTTCCTTGAAATAGATATCAAAAATTAATGCCTCTATGGATTCCACCGTACGTGTGAACGACTATTTTACTATGATAAGATGCACACGATGCAGGCTTTGCCCTAAAATAATGCACTAATGGTTGTTGCATTCTCGGTAAATTTTTTTGGTATTATTTGTAGTTCTCGAAGCCGTTCTTTTCGGACTTATTCCCCTGTGACGTCATAAAAAATCGTCATACACTTGCGAAGCAATCAATATCTAGGCCGGAAAGTAATAAGTCTGGTATATCAAACCGTACAGTTCGAACGTAAATCAGACAGTTACAGGAAACATATTTGACAAAATATGCATTGCGAATGCTTCTAACATATCGATAGATCCACCAGTGTGCGTAGCCTGCTAGATGCTTAAGCTTCGAGAATCAAATCGTGGAAATCGCGTTACGATTAACTTTTATTTGGAACATTTTGAATCATTGACCCACTTTTGCAGTTTCCCTTTACGAGATGAGTTTTATAGTTTTGAATATATGAAAAGAACTATGATACCATAATAAACAATCTTGATTAGCTAATGATCATTGGCCGACCGAGGAAGTACGCGTTTAGGGATACCGAAATATAATTTCTGGAAAGACCGGACCCAAATAATTTTGAAGTTTTGTATGCGGATCTTCGGTAAAAATAGTTGAGTAGCCCTGGTGTTCATCATTTCGTCCTAGTATGTATATTTCTAATTCGACATTTAGGTCATAGTTTGTATCAATGGAAAGGAACCTATCTGTGACGTTGATCCAAAATCTCCGTCATTTACATGGGAGATGACTATATTTCTACGTCACCTAATTAAAAACTTCAAGTAAGCTCGCTCATTTTATTCACATTTATTCATTTAGTCATATTGCCTTTTGCTACTAATACGTAACATGACTATACTAGAGATGTACCGATGTATCGGTATCGGGTATCGGTATCGGGTATCGGCAATATCGGCCATTTTTTCGGTATCGGCCATGTATCGGTATCGGTTGAATTAAGGCCGATATTTCCGATATATTTATCTTTTTGATATGGTTCAGAATGTTTTAAAAGATAAGTTGGAATACTACTTTTTAATTTATTTTTTGTCTGGAGAGACCGTGAGCTATGAGACATACATGTCCCCACCCCCGCGAAAGAATAGGATTCACGTGTTTTTTGCTATTTATCAGCCAAACTAGTTCAACTAATTTGGCTATTTTCGCTGTCAAATTATTTATATTGACATTTTTAATATTACATAGTAATTATGAAGAAATATATCAACACAGCACATAACAAAAAGCAACTAGGCGCCCAGTTTTAAATCATACAGTGGAATTGGGGTCCTTATTAACGGCACAAGGACTTTTGGCACGGCTATAAATGCTGACTGTTTGTCGACAAGTACGAGTGTCATTTAGTCCGTCGACATCGATAAACTAAATTCCGAATTTCAAAATTTATGATAGCAATTGTAAAATATTTTATATTATAAAATAGTAAAGTAAAAAAACATCCTCGACGGTTATAGGTAGGCCTTCTTTTTGTCGGTGCTGATTGATATTCTTTCAATTTGGCTTTGACTTATTGCGTCGACGATTACGATTAGCCACGAAAAAAAATATTTGTAAAATGCTTTTAATTTGAACGTAGGACGGCGGCGCTAGAATGTGTGGCTAGAATGTGTGATATTCGATATTCTTTTAAACTCGAATAACGATATTCGAAGGTCGCGATATTCATATCAAGTTCAAATTTGACATCCCGGCTTATGAGTTTCAATTGAACACCGAGATTACCAGAGTCACTGTAATGTATCTTAATCAGTTGAAGCAAACACCAAACATCAATTTCATATTATGTGATATATCTTTTTTTTCGATCTGAAATAATGTGTACTATGAACAACGCTCAAAGACCATTGTTTTAACCCGTCTGCCCTACACAGCACATCTAATTAAGTAATAATTACATAGTATCGGTATCGGAATATCGGTAATATCGGCATTTTTGTAGTATCGGCGTATCGGTATCGGTATCGGCGTTTTTAGCTGCTATCGGATCGGTATCGGCGACAAAAGTGGTATCGGTAGATCTCTAGACTATACATGAAAAAATGATGCGTTTTTTAGGATCAGCTGATATGTTTCAAACGTTGCACTGAAAATATACTCTCATGTTTGCAAAATATACCTACGTGCGTGTATGCAGGTCGTGTACTGTCCTCCAATGTCTTTTGGATTTATAGTTCTGGCAGATATGCATATCCGTGCATGTTTACAGTGAATTTTAATCAATATTTTTGACTTTCGTATAACGCCATATTAGATCTCTTTCAAGTATTAACGAACCGTATACGCAATATGCGACTAAAGATGTTTCATTTGGTAAGATAAAATGCCCATTTCTTTGGGTATTAGAACGTTTATCTATAAATTTCATTTTCGTTGTATTCAATAAACTGGCTTAATATCATGTTCAGTGACTGAACTTCAGTCTAATATACATCTATTAAGTAAGAAACACAATGAGTAGTGTAGTGTTTATTCATAAACAAAGCAAGTTCGCAAATTATACGAGGCGACTGAAAGGTTTATCAGAATATATCCAATATAGCGAGAGCAACTTCACTATTCGAATAAATAGTGTCCTTCAAGAATGTCCGTAACACAACGTGATTGACGTTGACGTCATAGCTCTTAGTCACCATCTAGCGGTAATTGTCCAATTCCAAGTAGAACATTTGGATGATGGCAAGGGTCCTTGCCTCGCAATTCTTAATGTCAGCAATACTTAGAAAGTGGCACTCAACTGGGACCACATCGCCAACCCGTAGGAGATATCAATTTAAATGTATCAAGGCAGTGATTTTGTCATAGTTCAAACTTTGAAATTCTGAAAGTCAGTTTACACTGAGTCGGTCTGAAACAAAATTCGTAAAACACTTGCACTGCTGGTGTCCACTCCCCCTGCTTCGGGGCATCGACAAGCGGTCATAGAAATTGTGCGGATACAAGCGGTAGGCCACAGTATTTGATAAAAACCACAGATTGGATTTATTAATAATGGTTAATCAAAATAATTCCTAATAATGCGCAAAGTGTCGGTGCTGCGCTAAAACGTAACCCAATCATACTAAACTATACTAATACCCAAATATGCGATTCCAAACTTTATACAATAGTATTTTACAAGACACTGTTGTTTATATTTCAAAACTTACTAAACTCGAAAATTCAACAAATGAAACGTAAATAGGCAATGCGTTCAAAGGATCAATCCTTTCAATACAATACAACAATGTAATCTTTCGGTGTAATATTAGCAGAACTGTTAACCTTGAAAGAAGGCTAGTAAGTCTGCAGCTTAAATATGATTTGGTCTCCGTCGTGTGGTACGTAAGCACTTATTCCCACTGGTAGAATTTCACCCGTTTTTCCGTTTAACATCGCCCAGTATTGTCTTGCACTCGAATCAGCCATTACACCTTGCAGACTTGTGACAGATTCTCCAAACGAATATGAAACCGTCTTGAACCTGCCAAATAGATATTATCGTTTTTATTGTGATAATGTATAATTTACACCTTGTATCAGTCTTGTGAAAATACTATAAATAAAAATAAGATAAAGTTTATTTATAGAAATGTTACAGTCCCAAAATGAGAGACAGCAATGTTTTGAGCGGCTTTGTACATGCTGTGAAATCGGATACAGAATCAAATTCTAAAATGGTTACGTATTCATGACAGTTCTATTTTCAAATTTTCTTGATGTGTCTTGCGGACCTAAATGCTTGCAGTTATATATTATATGTATCGGAGATAGGAGGTGATTTTCTATTGAAATATATTTGAATTTTGACGCTAACTTTAGTTTTGGCTTTGTTCCTAAATCATTGGCAGCAAGTGATACATACTTGCAATTGTAGAAAAACAGTTTCGGCTACAATATTTCCTATTAATCTGACATAACGCAGTAAGCTTCGAATTGACCAAATTCACGGTGCCAACATCATCCACAGCTACAGATTTATACTTGCAATTATAGAACAAGAGTTCAGGCTACAATATCTCTTGACCATAATATAGTGGATATATAAGCAATAAATCATTGGCCTACTATTTTGTAGTTTCTAACTATCTTACGTTATCAACCCATCGGCTTGTGCTTCAATCATTGCTTGGTGCAACGTTGTACCGTTTTTGATGATAACAGAAACATCTGTATTCGGATTTTCATTAACTGCATGGGGCATATCAGTAAAAATCGTCAACCTAGCGCTAATCGGAATTCCTCCAACAACGTTGGGAAAGCAGGTTTGTGGATCAATAGGATTGCATTTTGGTTGATATCCTTGAGGTATGGAGACTGAAAATATAAAATAAAAACTATTGCTTCAACTATTTCTTCATTATGGATACAGACTGCGACCACTTTGTTTATGTCGAAAGACATTTGATTTTGCGGTGCGAATCTGTGGTTAAAGAGCTTGGCATTTGACAAAAGACAAAAATCGCCAGAACAACATCACGTTCTATCAATAATATAGTAAAACCTTCAAATTGTATAAGGTCAACTACTCAGAAAATAGTTAACCAGTTTTAGATGCAGTATCATGAAATGGAATTTGGCACTTTGCAGTGACAATAATTTTATGTTGCATAGTTATACCAAAAATCACGTCCGGCTCAAATATTGGTATATACTAAAAATAATCTCTACCTAAAAGCAAATAAAATATAGTTTCTTGTTTTATAGTTATAAAAATATTTTATTATAAACATTTTTTAACATTTCTTGAACCTTCAGCTTTACATGTCCACCCGACTTCCAAATCAAGATAACTGTTGCCTGCCAGAGATGGTATACGCTGAGACAAAACACCCTCTGTCTCTGGTACATCAAAACCAGTCAGGCTTTTCATCACGTCCCTGTAAAAAGAATGTCGAATTATTGAGACACACACGCACAATTGAACATTTTAAGTAATCGCGTAGGAATCTATTCATTACGAACTTGCATTTCCAAGTGTCCGTAGAATCAATGTCGGCTTCACGTAAGGCGAGAGCTGATAGAGGAGACGAGTATTTGTTACCAATGAATGTATTCTGTTCTACAACTTTAACTTCGGAATTCAAGAAATTGACCAATTTCTTTATCGATTCTCTAACGCGTTTCATTAAAAATCGTGGTCGAACTCCAGACCCGACACACTTTAATGCAAGGATCATCTGTGCGGCATCATCTGCAAAATGTTTTAAATATCAATATTGCTTTTATAGCAATCAACTATAATAGTGTTTTTCAAGCTTTTTCAGTTTGCGACTCACTGTTGGGAAGCACTGAACTATAAAAAAAAACTTAAAAAAAAAAAAATACGATGTTTTCAAATTTACCTGTTTGTGGACGTTAGCTGCTGCGCTGTGGTCATAAAAAAACTTTTTTAACGGGAACTGAGATTTTTCTAAAATGTACTGGTGGTCTGGTGGTTGGTTTTTGTCAGCAATATTGAATTAAAAAACTTATTATTACTCACCAACGGAGTGTTTGTCGCCAAAACTTCCATCTTCATTTTGCTTTTTCAACAAATTCCTAACGACTGACATCTTGATATGACCTCCATTCACACAAACAGTTCCCAATGCCAGACCAAAACTATAATACTGTTCATCCGGATTTTCTAAGAATTCAAACACAATGGATAAAAATAAATGATAAGTTTTCGTGGCAATTTTTGTCTGATTGTGCAGCAAACCAACACAACAACAGTTGTTTACCCTTTCGTATCCGCTTTTCCAATGTTTTCAGAAGGTTTCTTCCATCAAAATTGCTTGGGTTCTCACACATCGATTGAATTGCAAGTATGTATTGTGCCAATTTACCGATGCGCATCCTGTAAAATTATAAACGTTAGTGTTTTCCCTCCTTCTTCATCTCCTTATTTTGCGTACACTTACTCTTTATAGTCGTCACCAATTTCACTTCTCATCTGCTCCAGAGATTTTCTCCGTCCGTAAAATTTATTCTGAGCCGACAATTGTAATCCCAATACAACCTCTGGTGTATTTGTCCATCCCCATGATGGGTGCCGCAATTTCATTAGGCGATCAACGGCTTTGTTGATAACGTGGGTTACAGGCTTATTGTTTTCTTCTCCTGGTTTAGAAATTGAAAAAATTTGATGTTGCTTGTTTTTAGTTAATAGAAAAATATGGTTGACATGAAACTGGCATAAGCTGGACATCTCAACAATGTACTTACCGTTGACGTGCTTCTTATTTAGAAAAATATTTCATGCTAAAAGTGAGATCCACGAATATCCGCTTAATGGACTGTCGTTTACATAGATAGTATAGAAAGAAAATGACCAATAAAAAAATCACATAAAATCATGGTAAAACACGAATTAAATCTTACCGCATATCTTAAACGTATCCCGTCTATTTCCGAAGACATTTTCTAATAGTAGGAGAAGAGACGTGACGAAGACCACACACTTCATTTTCACTCAAGTGAACGGACTCCAGGATGGCTATATGTATTAAAATTTCCGCACATGCAACCTATTGATAAATGTATCTACAATATTGTTATATGCTTCTGCATAGCTTAAATGATATGTTTGAACCTAATTCAAAGCACACTAAAACAACACTGGATAAAATATTACTACGGTTGTGTTTGCTAGGAATCGGTCATTCTCAAAGAATAGATTCGTAGCCTTTAAAAATGTGTCACCACCGGCTTGATCCACATCTAAAATAACTTGATCTGGCTACTAACTAATTCCACAGTTATCAGTTTACAGCACTAAGTGCTATACATTTTTCATTTTTTAATATCCTTCTACACATGCAAATCCTTATCAAGGAATAAACTATTAATCACGCGACTTTCACAAGTAAGTGCAGATCATGACTGCTCGATGTCCGAAGATATTATAATTTCAGTGATTGGTGTGTAAAAGAGTTTTGTTAAAACCACGTCTGTATCAATTTCTATAAAAACCCGATTTGTCGTGAAATTTGAAAATTTGGTGGAAGTATTTTTATTTATCTCATTTTCATTTCTCTCTCCTATTTTGTTTGAACATAACAAGTTCTCAGATATCGAGAACATACCTTGAAATGACTTACAGGTCTTTTTGATTGACCAATCAGTATCAGTGTATCAAATATTTAATTTTAAACAAAATTGACTTTAATGCAGAATTAGTCTTGTCAAATTTCTTAAATTCATGAAATTAAAATAATATTCAAAAATAACAAACACGAAAACAAAGACGTTCGTTGGAATTGATATTAGCCACCAAAGTATGTTTAATTAATGCTCGGCTGCGCTATTATAATCTCATTTTTAATTGGGCCATACAGGAAAATTGTATATTTTTAAAACTATGGGACTTTCCTTTGTGGTAAGATAAGTTTCGCTAAAACTTGTTGTTTTCGTACTAGTTTAAAAGCAGTATCAGGTGATACTTCGCCGCTGGGCACAACAATGATATTTTTCCTCTAGAGATAAACATATTCAAAAAAACCTAACGGCTTTACTGCGGTTGAAGCTTAAAATCACTAAATAGTTCATTTTCTGTTTATATTTTACGCCGGTATCATTTGCACACCACAATGTCGGATACAACCAGAACACTGGGAATAAGCTACTTCGGAGTTTTCCTTGACCTGTTTTGACAAACATTCCATTTACCAAAATCAACTCGCTTTTAACATTGAAATGAGTATTAAAAATTCGTTAGTTTGGGCAAAACTCTGCTTCCCAAGCAATCATACGTTAGACACGAAACCATGATTGCTACCTCTTCGCTAGTGTGACCCACTTTTGCATTCGCTGCTTCATCATACGTTAGACACGAAACCATGATTGCTACCTCTTCGCTAGTGTGACCCACTTTTGCATTCGCTGCTTCACAGACCAAACCACCATGCTAACAAGTAGGAATATTATTTTTATTGACATAATTTCAGGATTTTTAAAATTGCCAACAAGTATTGAAATAAAGTTGAAAAAAAAATAATAATAATCATGTCATTTTTTATTCAGTATAACTTTGCAATGTGTAAGTCTTGGTTCTCATCATTATATAATTATCACTACCATGTTTTCAATCTGAAAACTATCTGTTCTCCATCACTGGGAACATAACTGCTTACTCCTTTCGATAACAACTGTCCCGTGGCGCCATCTATGAGTGCCCAATATTCATGCGCCGCTCCGTCTGCTGCCACTCCTTGCATTGATTTAATAGATTCTCCCCAAGTCGATGTTTGACTCACAAATCTGAAAATAAATTTAAAATGAAGGGAAAGGCAGAGGCGAAAAACATGATCCAAATATGAATTCAGCTTACGTTATAAGTCCGTTATCTCTAGCTATGACCATTGCATCGTATAATGTACTTCCATTATTCACAGTCACTGTGACGTCGGCATTAGAAACATTTCCAACGGTTGGTGGAGGATCGGTGAAGATTGTAAGACGTACATCGATAGGAATAGAAGGTATCGGCTCGTTGGTGGGTGTGGCGGGAGAGCACGTTGACGGATCACTTGTGTTGCATTTCGGTTGATAGTCTGGTGGTATAGAAACTGCAACACATAGAATGTTTGCTAATAAACTAAGGCTTGTGTGCAGCGTAGGATAACTTTTTGAATATTTGATTCTGATGAAATATAGCTAATTAGTATAATAAAAAGATACGAAAAACATTTCGCACTCGTATTACCGCCCATTTCGTCGCATTAAATCAAATAGCATGACAGAGTACTGTGAAACTTTCTACGATGTTATCTATTACCTGGATCTTGACATTGCCATTCGTCCATTAAATTCAAATAACTATCTCCTGCTAAAGCTGGTAGTCGTTGAGAAAATGCTCCTTCATTTTCGAGAGATCCAGGATTGACGGTCAGACTACCCATAATATCTCTGTAAAATAATCGAAATTAGCATAGTATAGCAAATGCAATATAATACTCAACAATGTATTTGGGGTTTGTTTTATTGTTAAACGAAACTTAACTTAACAAGCTTATGTAACCCACCCACATCTCCATGTACTTGGTTCCTCCTCATCTTCTTCCATAAGCCCCAATACCGACGATGGAGAGGAGTACTTATTTCCTATCCATACATCGCCACTTTCAGTGATCACTTTTGACCTCAAGAAATATACTAATTTTGCAATGGATCTTTTGATTTTTCGTGTCAAATAACAAGGTCGAACTTCGGTTTTGACACAGGAAAGAGCAAGAAGAATTTGTGCTGCATCATCTATAAAAATTGTTATAGTGAATATAAATTCGCACACAGAGGATTATTAAACAATAAAATGTTAACGACGAGAATTAATTAACGTTTGAACAATTTTCTATTACATATTGATAATAATACTCTCAAAGTGAGGGTCACTATTGACTCCATGGAATAGAATTTAGAAACTTACCGACAGAATGAACATCGCCGAAGCTTCCATCAGTATTTTGTCCTTTCAATAATTTTCTAACAACCCAGTTCTTTGTCTTTCGTTTATTGACACACAATGCTCCCACTGCTAACCCAAACCGATAGTATCTGTCGTAAGGAATTGTTTGCGGTTTGCCTGAAAAAAAATCGTATTTTGCGTGGGTTCGTCATTTAAAAATATACATGAGAAACTTACTTCAAAAGAGAATTTGCAAGAGCGGCCTATTTTCAATAAAACAGGAGAGCAATGCTCAAATATATGGACAGGAAGATGCCGTAACGCTATCGGTAAGACCTCAGCTGCGCCCCGAATCGGAACGGAATGAAGTTTACCATTCACCATAAAAACTATTCCAATGAGGTAAAATAAAATCGAATATCGATACATCAATCAGAGGGAAAAGAGTTTACTTCGCGCCCAATAAAATAGACGCGTCCATGCCTGTTGTATGTATATGGCAATTCATCTGCAGTTATACATTGTATGTGTTTTATTTGTCTGAGGCTGTTGCCTGAAATCCACTAACTGGGGATCATATCCTATCTTTAACGTGAAGTGTTTGATCAACAAATTCGTCATATTTACGGAATGGGATATGCCTGAATGACGTTGGAACGCGGATTCAAAAAACATGTTGTGTACTTTTAAGAGGCGACTGCCAATTGTTTCGATCACGCGGGTGATATTCGTATCAATTTCAAGCATAAGTCAACAAGTTGGAAACTAATATTTATCAAGCGTATGATGTTTATGGGAATATGATTCACTCTCGCTTCCTGTTGCTCGAAGCACTCACAACCGAGACAGATCAAGATTTAAAAAATCAACTTTATTCTCGCGTAAATTGTGAATGCTGATCCTTTTCAACAAAAGTTATCGGTTTTCCCCGGTTGAGGTTACACCATTTAGACTAATAGTGCGTCATCGACACACGTTCAAATATTTTTCACTGGATTGAATCATTTGTTTTCCCCATAAATTCGTAATGCTGCGAAAAAACAGCAGTTCAAACAATTCACGCATGTTATGTTCGATTTCCATCATGTATCTGAAACTAATTTAGTAGGGTATTCACAGATCCAATGGTTTTTTTAATTCCTATTAAGCTTTTTAGTCCTATTTTTCACGTGATTCGATCACACGTAATCTTTGGGTTATAGAAAAAAAAAAAATTTCATTCAACATTTAAAAAAAATGATATTGTTTAGAAATTTTTGTCCAAGAGATAAGAAGATGCCGATTAGATTTTGATAAATGTAATCGATTATACTCACCATCATAAGAGAATTGTTTTTTAACTCTTTGATTCAGAACCTTCACTAAATTTTTTCCAGCAAAGGATCTTGGATTTTTGCATGAAGATTTCACTGCCATCGCATATAGAGCCAACTTTCCAATATTCATGCTGAAAATATTACTGTTTTTTTTAAATATCATATCATGATAATGTGGTTAATTCAGGCACCAAGTAGTGATCAAAATATTCACTAGTTTTTTAGAATACGAGTATTGTGTAATAATGTACTTTGTCAAACATTCAAATCTGAGCAAATCACCTCACCAATCACTGCCAAATATTATTTCAGAAAATATCAAAGCTTGTAAACAATTTGATATATTTGTGCATCGTTACCTATTTATGTCGTCATTAATTTCGATCTCCATCTGTTCCAGTGCTTTGCATCTACCAAAGAAATTTTCTTGAGCAGATAACTGTAAACCTAAAACCACTTCTGGTGTATTTGTCCAGCCCCAATTAGGGTGGCGCAATTCCATTAATCTATCTACCGTGGCATTGATAACTGAAATCACGTCCTCGCTGTTATCGTCTCCTGTAAATGGTTCAAGGTATATTAATGTAATTAAATTTGGACAGCGACAGTTTATGAAGGAAAAATTCATATATTTTTTCGATTTACATACGTCCCATATAAAAAAAACTTAGCCAGAAGTAACTTAATAACTCAATTAAATTGTCTTACCGCATGTTTCATATGTGGATTCTTCCTCGCTTACTACAAACCCCAACAGCATACAAACAAAAAATATTTCCCTGAAGATCTTCATCTTTGTAGTAGATTTAAGGTTAAAATGATTCCGTGATTCGACAGCATTGTTATATACCGGGTGCCTTGTTTGTCAGATTCGACGAAAGTACCACAAGTATTGTTGTTTATGAGATTGGTCGAGGTGATTTCCAACTTGTTCAAACAATGGGTAGATGATTCCAAACGTGAGTTGAACAGATGGCGTCATTCGTAGATCCCTGGTTACGAGTTTATTGATAAAAATTTTAACACTGTAATATATACATTTTCTCCCAAATAAATTCGCTCAACAACTATTTTTTGAACGACATAATATAGTGACGTTGGCGAAATTGAAAAATTATGTATATTTGTTTTATGAACAAATTCTACAATGCGTATGTCATACCAATTGTCTGATGAGTTTGTTTTAGAAGATATTTAGTTTTGGTAATGAATAAGATTTATTTCAATCGTTATACTTGGAATTTGAATCCGCAAGCACAATACTAAATTGATTTAGTTGAAAGGCTAAACATTAGGCTAAAGTGGTTCTAGGAAAATTCACCGTGGGAAATTTCGCCACATAAGAAAGATCGCCGCATGAAAAATCGCCGCAAGAGAATCTTGCTGTAAAACAAATATTTGTGATATAAACAGTTAGGTTTTTGAAGTACCTTTTTATTTAAAGAAGATTCGTTAATTAAGAGCATACCTAACCCTATAAACCTAACATTTTTTTTTATAAATACTTGTTTTACAGCAAAATACTCTTCCGTCGATTTTTCATGCTATCACAAATACTTGTTTTACAGCAAAATGCTCTTGCAGCGATTCTTCATGCAGCGAATTTCCTATGCGGCGAAATATACTGCGGTGAATTTTCCGGACACGGGCTAAAGTAACTTGAAGAGTCCTATTATAAAAAAGGCAATATGCCGACTATTGCTAAATTCGATATGATGGACAACTTTCTTCTGATTCATAATGCCTTCTTTTAAATTTTTTCCCCCGTATTTTCCAGGTCGACGTTCTAACCAGTGTTTCAAATGAATATCATGATGTATTTGCTGCCTGTATAATATAGCTCAGTGTTTCCCAACGTATGGCTCGGACGCCTGAAAATTTTCCTGTGTTGCCTGTTTTTTCAACAATAACTAGAAAGTTACTGAGGATATTTTTTTTTAGATTTTGAGTTTGATATTAAAGTGCTCCTCAATAGTGTCACAGCTTAACAACTTGAGATTGCGCTTGTGATATTCTATTCTGGCTCATCAATGCAAAGTTAACCTTACTCGTACTTGTGTTCTTGCGTTAATTTTTGCAGAACGATTAGTACGGCGTATGCTACTAAGTCTGTTTGACAGAATTATTTACTATTGCAACGTTTGTCATTGTGATGACAGGATGTTCATATATTTTGGAGATTTGCATATGGCGCCAAGATTTATCCCCTCATACAGGATAGGTTAACAGAAACATATTACATGTTAAAGTTTTGATGAATATTTAGACACCATGTGAAGGATTTCTAGCACATATGGGTACATGCACAAAGGAGAGTTGGTGGAAAATTGTTAGCAAATGTGTCAACCAGATATCATTGAAATAAACTGCAATTTCAACCTTTATTTTAACAACAGTTTTTGAATAAAAGTAGCGAAAAAGTGTAAAATTCTACTTGAAATCTTAAATAGTGTAAAAGTTATACTCTAACTCAGGGGTCTTCAACAAGCGGCCCGCCAGTCAATTTTTTGCGGCCCACGTCATGGTTGGGATTTTTCCACAAAAAACTAAAATAGTACGATGTCAACTAATAGTAGGTTTTATCGTGTCATTTATCATCAAGAGTCCGGTCCGACAAACTGTAAAAAGTGAAGCAAAATTCCCCCTTGTTGTCCACGTCCATGTTTTATTATATATATCGTTATAATGCAATTTTAAATGTGATAATTTCATTTCGCATGTTTATTGTGACGAAATAAACGAGTTTCGATCAGTTCATTGTGCCCGGAGAAAGGTTTGCAAAGATAATTACACATTCACTTTGCATACCTGCGATTTTTGGCAGTTGTTATATTTGCGAGCAATTTTTTCGACTATGAAAGTTAGCAAATCAGCCCTCCGCACACGACTACTAACGGACGAGCATTTGTATGTTGTTTTAACACTAGCACACTAACGCAAAATAAGGCCAAACATCGAGACCAAATATCCAGCACAAGTGAATGAATATGCTTCATGTCTCGTTTGCTGTGAGATTCAAGTGTAATTCAACACAATACATTCAGATACCCATGTTTGTACTTAATTTCTTGGTTTGCGGCCCGAGTGGTCAATAAATTTCAAAAAGTGGCCCGCGACATGTTTGGAGTTGGTGTGCTCTAACTTATATTACATATGTGTAAATGATGTGTTTACCAAGCAAAACTAAGTTAGTCATTATTATACGTCTCAGGTCTCATGACATACATCTGACGTTATTGGGAATGAGTCGTTTCACGAGATGCAGAATAATACAATATGAGAACTGACGTCATTCGCCGCTAGTCAGCAAGAGCAAAACTTTTAACCCCAATGCGTCAATCATTCAACTTCAGTATCGTGAATGATTTCATAACACCGGGGTAATCATGATGCATATTGGATACGTTTATGTAACACCCTCGGAACAACAAACACAGATCAATTTATTATTTGAGTTTATCCTCAACGCAGTTTAAAAAATAGCGACTAACACAGAATATAACACAGTAACAGTCACACTGAAAAAAGCTTATTGCTTAGTAAGAATACTAATGTAAAATGCGCAGCAACTGAATTTAAAAATAGTGAAATAATAATTCAGCATTATGTTCTCAAATTGCATCCAACTAGCATTTCACTTTCTTATACGTTAGTTTATGATATTAATTTGGTCAATGCACAAAATGCGTTTATCTCCATCCTTACCTAGAAGAGATTATCGATCAGCTAGTGTAATCACTGTATTAGGGAGTTAAGTATCATACTTGATGGATATTTGGCAAAACGATTTAAAGTTCAAATTTTAATTGATTAATCTTAATGCAATTAATCACTATTACTCAAATATGCGAATAATAGTTACCAATGTACTGTTCAATCAATCGTTATCAAATATCTATTTCACCATAATGTATAATATAAGTTCAAATGTATTTCCTATTTACATTCACCAAGCAGTTCAAAAGTAAATAATAAATTCACAACACAGGTATGGCAGGTTTTAGAAAAAAATGACAGCAATGAATATCTTCAACACCGTGTTTGACACATTTCATCATAGCTTTTGTCTATGCAGATGCCAAATTCGTAAAGTTAAAAAAAACTTTGCTCAAAGCAGAACTGTAGCTTTTTGTATGATATGGGAGCAAGTTTCATTTCCTCGGAGATGGTGTGTGTTGTCCTTCTCTAACCAAACTTCATAAGAATGCTCACTCGCGATATGAAAATTTCAACATGTTGAAAAAACGAATAATAAAAGCTGACAATTACAAAAAGTCTAATGTAGATAAAGAACAGTGGAATATGGAGACTGGTATATTGAAACAGTGCGGTTTGTGTACTTCGATAATTTAACGCAGCGGCTTTCTTTCCAATGAGCTACCTGGACTATGGGCGCTATTTACAGTTCCGGTGCTAGACCTACAACTGCTCAAAGTGTCGTAGTGTGTATTGGGCACTGGCTTCCACGATGCGCTAAGGTATGTATTTGCATTAGAATCTATCTTCGGGTTGTTCTTTTTTGCATCATATACGACCACTCGCGCCGAGTTTGTTATGACGGATTCCCGTCTATTATGTCGATGATGTGTAAATAAAAATCGAACATCACTGTTCCTCCATTTTCTTTTAACAATTCTCCAGTCCGCTTTGTTCACAACGCAATACAATAAAAATATTTGAAGTCCTTGGAGGCCATTTACTACGGTATGTGCTGTTAGAAGAGTAGTGGTCGCACCAGGTATATTACCTAGAATACCCAGTATCCACGGAATTGCAAGAACTGGCATTAATATTGCAAATGTTCGAGTCACAGATAGCATATGTTTCACATGTCTTTTTTGTCTGGCAGCCGACCCAAGAGGTATGGCACCGCTACCAATCGATGTGACCGAAGATCGATATCGTGGCGGGGGTGTACTGCCACGACTTTGGACGGCGTTCCCATTTGAGTAACCGTATTGAGTGTTGCTCGATTCAAAGTTTCTCACTCGGTAAGTTTGAATTTTTCTATTCATCTTCATAACACCTTTTGTTATGTAGCACAAAATAGCTATATTTGCCACAACGACAAATATAATTGGACCAACAGCAGTCCATACAATTCCGCTGTCAGCACTCAGCCAACATCTTTCATACATTGGCGTTGAATATGATGTATTTTGTGATTTCTGTAGAGTAATTTTATAGGCTTCAGCCAAATCGATATACTTGTTGTTTGATATCCCGTATGCTGCCGCAGGTACCGTAAAAACTAGAGGCGCACACCAAGCAAATACAGTTTGCACTATTGTCAAAGTAGGATATTCCACGTTCAATGTTAGTTTCGGAAACATCTTCACGAATATTCCGAGTCCTTCGCAAAAGGACCAAAAGCCCGTGGCAAGTAGGAAGTAATGAGTCATTATGGTGGCTGCTACACATCCGTTATCATTATGGTTTCTTGCGAAATCGCTCCAAACTATAACTAAGTGGAGACACAGTAACGAAACACAAAGACTAACTTGCGAGTTTGTTCGGTTCGAGTTCATACCTGTTGCTTTTGGTGCGAATGTGGAATCAATACCAGCCCCGTGTCTCGCAATCAATATAAATAAAACTGTAAGTAACAAGCAGCATATGCTTGCAATCTCAAAAGCCAGAGAGATATAATGAACCTCGGCCGGCATAACCACCGAACTATTCAACATTAATAAAGTCACGAAGGTCGTCGTGTGTTCGCACTCGCACGTCACTCCGCCGGCATTTGATTTCGTGGATCGGCATCCTTTGTCACTCCACGTTCCGGTTGTTGTGAAATCGAACCAGACGCACACTCGCTGAACATTTTTGATTCTTTCGTTGGATTTCAAGCCTTCAAGTTCGGTGAAGTCATTTTGGAGATCCACAGAATAAGTAACTGGTAAACTTTCTTTGATCATATCCAATTTATCATTTTCGCGATAATAAGCAACCGTCACAGCAGTTACATTTTCCGGTATTCTAGCATCTGACCGCGTCAAGTTTCTAGGCATAGTACTCATGTCTTTCCATAATGCTACAACCACGGTTAGTTTGGATACTTGTTTTCCACTAATTTTTGTCGCATTCAACACTTTTTTTATTGGAATTTGGACATGAACAGAACTAGCTTCGCTCGGCTTTATTTCCAGCGAAGAAACATTGTCGCTTGTTGTAACGTTACCATCATTATTTCTTGTAGAAATTGGATTCAAGGATATTGTTCGTACAACGACGGTGACGTCTTCTCTAATAATTTCGTCATTATCAAGCTTTGCGAAATCTTCGGAAACAGATTCTTCAAATTTCCTTATTTTTGAGGCGGCGTCCCCAACGAGCAATTCGAGATCTGTGGAAATGGAATAACTCAAATGCAACTGCGTGCTAAATAAAAACTACTTATCCACGAAATGAGTAATTGGAAATTTTAACGCGCTGTACAAATTTTGTATAATATCCTACACTTATTAGAGAAAAAATATTTTATTGAATAAAAAATCATGCTTACGTACTTTTATGAGCTGTTTGTGTCGGATCGAGTTCTGGATATTCTGGTGATGTGCGATTCACTGGTTCTGCAATAATTATAGGAAGAGCAAGATTCAATCACTGATCTAAGTCGAATTTAAATCAGAAAACAAAAAGTCAAAATATGGATTAATTTCGAAGTAAAGTTTACTCTCGTTTATTTTTGCGTTAAGTTCAGATTGTGAATAAAGTATTTTTTAAGAAAGATCGCGTTATGGAGTATGGATGACAAAACAGGAAGCACCGTTAGTTGGCGATCCGCGAAAGTTTGACCACTAGATGAGCTGGTAATGTTCTTCTATTACGTATATGTTATTGCATTATTGATGATTGAACTATTACTTATAAACAATATGCTAGAATTGTGTATGTATATAATTGCCATGTATATTAATAATAAAAGAACTTACTTTTTTCATTTAGTGATTGAGAATTGATTCCGTCAACTATTAAATAAAAATGGCAAATTTAAAAAACAAATCAAGGCACACTCTGTAACAGCGACAATTTGAAAAGATTTCACAATAAATCGAAAATTTACCTGCGCCCAACGTTAAGAGTAGCACAATAATCAACATATGATAAACATCCATTACTTGTCTTCCTGTTGCTTCAAGCAAATAATATAAACTCAAAGTGTAACGAAAATCTTCAATCAAGCGCTTGCGTCATGTTTTCTATATATAGTTAGAACCTGCTGTAACCAATATACATGCGATTATGTCATAGTCTGACAAAAATATCAAGGCAAATTTGTAGACGAATAACGCCGTTTTTGGATTATGAAATACTGTAATGTGGGGAAACCCTTAATATTACTTTGATAATAATTCATTAAGTTTAATGTAAGTAGTCGAAGTTTACTGAAAGAAACGCATTATTGTCCACGCTTGGATGTTAATAAAACGCCGGTCTGATCGTGAAAAAGACGTTTATACCAATTATTCACTGGTATAAGTCTCGGATATTACTGCTATAAGCACTGGCATAAGTCTTCTATATTACTGTGTTTTAACAATTTAGCACGTATGTCCTGTCACGTATAGGGAGGGTCGTGCTTTGATGGTTTCTCTGAACATGGCCTGAATCATTTTCTGCATGAAATCTGCAGAAAATATGATTTTCATCCTAATTCTTCATCAAATGAATTATTGCTCAATTATGTTTTTTTTCATAATTTATCCGATCCATAAAACAGTTAGAATAGTGCCTAATGTTAGTTATTCATATTGCGAATAGCTATAGAATATAAATAGTATATATAATATTGAGTACATATATAGAGTACTCTACAAAGTTTGCAAGTTTGCTGGAATAGTTCTTTTGCAAATTTTCATCAACTTTATATTTACATATTTTATTTCTTATTTCCTTCCTGTTCGGAGGAACGAGGATACAAACTAAATATACATATGCTACTGAATAACGACTACTCAATTTTAAAAAAGTAAGATGCTCTTCAATTTTTTTTTTTGATTTATAACCAATAAAATCATCTTTAGAATGTGACGCAGTAAAATCACTTATTTCGATAGTATAGTCGCTAATAATCTGGACGTATTCTTTTTATATTCACAGCACTGATAATATCATACTTGGTCTTAATAATCGACTGCACATTGAGTTCACACTAGGACTAACGAATATTCATTCCATCTATTAACATACTGAAATATACATGTCATCAATTTCTCTAACCAGCAGTCAATTAGGATAATTTCAAAATAAAATTCTAAATCATCTCATAGCCTGTTTTTCTGCTCATAAAAGAAGTATTCGTAATATATAGCATATGGAAGAAAAAGGGACGCGGTAGGATTTTTGCATGACGTTAGACTATGCATATGTAGGAAGTGTGGTGACGCAGATGTTCAGTATTCAATACATAACCTAACAGAACTGTTCAGAAAATAATTGAATATAATAGGAATTTCATGTAAATGCAGTTCATCAGCACAAACTAACTGTTCGGGAAAACAAAAAACTATGATTTCATGTCACTATTACGCACCATTACGCCATTTTTTCAAGAATATAAAGGCATATCAGGCATACCTTGATGGTAAATATGCTAGTACCTCCCGTTTAATAAAATGGGTGTTCGGGCTATAGCTGTTTCTAAACACTGACTACACAAGTGCATTCTCCAATCGCTATTGTCCTAATTTGCTCGTTTACTTAGAAACAATGCAGTCATCTGATTCTGATGATGTGCACTTCCTTCTCGTTGCTAATTCATCAAGTCATTAGTATGTTTGACTCATTATATGGAACTTTGACATGATTTTTCAAAATCAGAAAAATTCAGACTATTAATATCGGAAACCCGGAATATATCTGATTCACGAAAGACAGTTGAAAATCCAAAACTCTTTGAAAATTATTTTTAGAATGTTGTAATCATGTTAATTTTCTTATTACAGCAGGTTTTTCGGTATCAGCGCAACTTATTAAATAGAAAATCTTGCACTACTATTTTAAAAACCAGTATGTCACCAAAATGTTATTGCAAAAAGATCAGTTACTATTATTCAATGAGTATTTTTTACGTATTAGACAATTCGCATTTATTTTCATTCGTAACATAGAAACACTCACATTTTTGATTTTATATATAACCTTTTGCGTAGAATAATGACCGCATGCATTTCATGAACCTTAAACTCGTCAAGACTATGCCATGAACTTTCATAGTCTTTCAAAAAAAGTTTCGGTCTTCGTAAAAACACAATTTGTCACAATGTAAAAATCCAAAATATTTCATGAATATCATTCTTTTTTTCATGTACAGATATTTCAATCCATAAATCAATGTGGTTTTTGGACTTCTGCAGACGAATATTGAAATTATGAATTTGAAAAATTGGTATTTAAAAATCGATAATGTGAATTTTTATATATATGTAACTGATAAAGTATTTACATTACGGGATCCACTTGCTCAGTATCACTGTGCTACTTGTGCTGTGTTAAATTTGCCCAAGCACGCGCCAATTGTAATCTTCAACGAAAGATCAACAGCTCATCTATGACCGTTGAACCTGGCAACGATTATGTTATTACTATTTTTACGACGTCACTAAGAGTTTCATTCAGGCCTTCAGATGCGTCATTATCATATCCGTTGAACGATTTGGAAATTTTAACTCCATGAATATGCTTCCATATTCAGTATTATAAAACGTCATTTCCGTTCAAATGGTCAGACACCAGACGAATGGACTTCTTCGTGACATCTTGTTGCAATACTTCGTGACTATCTGAATCGTATATACATATAAAGATAATCTGGACTCAAAAATATATTTATACGTGACTGCCCAACCGTTTCACCTCAATTACAATTCTTTGGTCTATCATGTGAGTCAAATCTTTGTGTCGGCCAAACCTCATGCAAATTTAGTTTATATGTAGATCTATAATCTTCTCAAAGCAGCTGTTCGGATCCCATATTATCAGTTCAAAATAGCCAAGTTTTCAAATGCTTTGCCATAATTTTAATTTGAGATTTTCATTAAAAACACATGCCAGACTATATGGCTTCAAATACTATGTTGGGTTATATTTAGCAGTGCATAAATGAGTATGTATTTGTAAATGGAACTGAGTATTACGTATATGGAATTAAAAGTAATAAAATTACAGATATCTGATTGAGCAAATTGTGCGATAAATATAGAAATTGAGTGTACATGATAATGTAAATCTATAACGGCGCAGTTGGAGTACCTAGTCGGGCCGAATATTTCGAATCAGCCTCGTTTTCGGATTAATGGCTTTAAAAAAAGATACCGGGTTCGAATTTTTTTCAAAATCATTCACAAGGATTACCTATAGAGCGCAGATAGTCTTACGTTCAAAAATTGAATTTACAGTTCTTATTTGCAGATGTTATTTTGAGATCTGGGCCTGCATTGGACTCATATACATACATATTCATGTTTCAAAAACTTCTTCTCCTGTAAATTCAACCAAATCTAGGCTGTGACCGAGATTTGTCTGTCCTATTTCTTCATTTGTGTCATTTGAATTTTTAGCGTTTGGTTTTGCATTTTTTCCAGGTGATGTAAAAGTAGACCCAATCGATACCGTTGTTTTTCTTGTTGTTTCTGAAGCAGTCGAGGGTGTTAATGTTCTTCCAAATCGCGTGGTAGCACTTTGTGGAGCAAAAGGTTGTGCAATTGTGGAACTGATGACATCTTCTGCAAAAACAAAGCGTTTTGAAGTAAGAAGCGTAAAATTCTACAGTATTTTACATTTTTTGTTCATTTACACTAGTTTAGTTTTTGTCAACTTGACAACATACAATTTCATCAATGTGTCATATTACCATTTTTGTTCTTTTGGAAATTACATCTTTGTGTTATGGCAGTCGTCCAGGCTCGCCTCACATCCTTTCGTCTTAAACAGAAGAAGTAGAATACAAATACTCCCTGGAAGAAAATGAAATGTTATCAAAAGACACCATGCAAATTCTTTCTCAGAATCAACAGCAAACGAAATAAAATTGCTCATTCGTTCATTATCCTTTAATGTGCTATGCAAGTTAGATACTTTAATTTAGAAACGATGCATAAAAGTGAGTATCAACGGACTTCATTACAGGTGATGAATTTCATAACAGAGTTTGTCAAAAAAATTCGCTTCAAACTACATGTTAAATTTCGAAGATTCAAAATGCTTGACAGTAGTTGCATTTTTATATTAAAATTTAGCATCATTGAAGGGAAATCGTGATTTATGCTGAGTTTCAATGAAACGAAAACTAAAAAGTGCTAATAACCAATATTCACAAATATACATTTGCGCTATTGTGTATATATATATATTTATATATACTTATATTCTCAGATACAGGATTTCTATATGTATGGCATTGTGTTTCATCGGCTACGATTCAGTCAGTTTCTAAATATATTTACCTGTGCCGAAGTCGTTATAGCAAAAAGCCATCCAAACACTTCCTGCACTAGGGCATTACTTGATACGACCAGTGGTATAGCAAATATCCAAGCCACACCGAGAAGCAAGGCTACAAGTATAGCACGTAGAACATGGATAATGGGCTTCTCTTCAATCGAACACTGTACCTACAAGTAGAGATTTTTTACTTGAAGTAAAACAAAAGAGCTATGCTCAAATATATGGACACGTAGAGTCACATAATTTTGATGACGTCATAGCGAAAAAAAAGTCATAGCCCTCTGGAAAATTTTTATCTTTAACCACTGAAAATTTCAAAGCAATTGGTCCAGTATTCAAAGAGAAAAGCGATTTCTTCAAAACGTGTTGACGGAGACAATCAATAACAATAACAACAAACTTTTGAAACGATCGTTATGTCCACTACGTGTCCAATTATATCCTAAGACACATAAAAAAAAATTCTTACTGATTTCCGACCCCATGTAATTGCTTTAATAATGACAACAGATAATACAATGTTGACTGTTAAAAATATTCCAACAATCAGAAGAAATCCGAAATAGAGTGAATTTCCTTGCAACCAACAATAACTTTCGGCAACGTAGGTTGACCATACATCAGTTTCGCAACCTGAAAATAGTGAATGAGTTTTAAGAAAATTAAGGGAGTTACGTGTAATCGCCCAATGTAGGATTTGATAAAAGACCAGTTCCACTTTAAAAGCAAAGTGTATGATCCCATACCAAAAACTACGTAACTCGAATAGCATAAGAGCTATCGAAAAATCAAATCAGGTATATGTAATGATTTTTGATCACATATTATAGGTGGATATTTGAGCAGGTGGGTAGGAAGTTTTACCTGCGGGTACTCATCAAGGTATATTTTTACTTTATAAAATAGTTTCCGGCTCATGCTCTAAGACAGGGGTGGGCAAGGTTTTTGGACAAAATGTTAAAATACCTAGACTGACGGGACGTGTAAATCTGACGTAATAACTTGGCTATCATTCTTCACGAATGTGCAGAAAAGGGATGCAGCAACAGATTATTAGAAACCATCAAAACGATAGACTAAAATACATGGCGAGAATGCGTAAGCTATGAACAAAAAATACCGTGAAAAAAGAAAGGGAGAGCGTTATGAGGAATTTAACAAAACTTTTTCGGCACTAAATTGAAACTCAAGGGCTGCGCATGACCGCACACGACAACGCACGAGGCACAAGGTGGAAAGCACGCCGTCGAGTCCAGTGAGCGAGAAAACGTGAAGTTTTGTTATCACCCCATAACATAAAAGTCTGTGAGAACCTAAACTACACTTACCCAGACTACGATCATAATATAACAAGCCTACTGCACCATACAGATTTCAATAACAACAACTATGTAGTGCATGCAGAATTGGTTAAAAGCAGAAATTTATGGTAACATCAGGCGAGCCAGATTGAATCACCCAACGGGGCGTAGTTTGTCCATGTAAGCTCTAAGCATATTGCAGGGATATCGTATAATGAATTAGTCTTACCTGCTCCTTTATCCCATTGCATATACTGCGATAAAATCGAAAAACTTATAGTAGTGAGAACAATTGCTGCTGCGACTGCATAGACAACAATTGCAGATTTAACCCCTTCGTCTTTCGCGTGCCTTCTATCAAACGTTTGAACAAACATCCTGCGAAATTGTGGAAAAATTTTACTTCATAATAGCAGTGGAATTCTGAGGTTCAGCCTAGTTAGTAGTAACCTATTACCAATGTTAAATTATGTCTGTCAAATTTAGTCAGCTTTGCGCAATTGATGTATGCTCAATGTACTGAAGCAGTACTGTACCGTACTTTCACACTCGGGGGCGCCAAAGTGCATTGCTGAGAACTTCGTCGAAGTAATGGATATTGACCACATCAACATCTGAATGCTGAAAATCGATTGATTGAATATTTTGGTAGTAGAATGTAATACCCTAGCGGTAAGCGCACAGTATGGGGGTAATTAACAAAACGAAAAGACGTATTAAAGTGTTTTTTTGTGAACAAAATTTAATTAAAATTGGTCGGAAAACTGTGTATTTTCAAATCTTTGGAGGGGACGTCGCAGGTCTCGTCGCCCCAGCGAGGAATGAGAGCAGAGGAAAAGTGAAAAAAAGGTAATAGACTTCTAGCAACTTCTTCCTGGTACCGTAATCGAATAGCCCATTAGCTATGAATAATAGCGATTTTACCCAATAACAACAATCATCTAAACAACAAGAGAGCATTGCTCAAATATATGGACACGTAGACGAGAGCGAATCAGTCCTTACCGGTACTTTTGACGCTACCGGTAACTTCAAGAAAATTTTAGATTTTCAGTAGCAGGAATTTTACAGAATCAAAACGTACAGCCAGTCTCCACGCAGACAAAAATCCGTGTTCCCATGGATAAAAAAAATAGAAAGAAATTTTGGACGAAATTTCAAATTTAATAGAATTCATAAAAAATTTAGAAATAAATATAAGTAATAGCCTTCTAGAAAAAATTCAATCTTCAACTACTGAAAATTTCAAAGCAATTGGTCCAGTAATCAAAGAGAAAAGCGACTTTTTGAAAATGTGTCAAAGAACAAGAACAACAACAGAATATTGAAACCATCGCTATGTCTACTACGTGTCCAACAAGAATATCAACAACATGGATTCATCAAAATCATATGTACACTACGTGTCCAATAATGTCTGAACAAGTATTCTCACCTGTACATTGTTATGCTCTCTACCGCCATCCATCCCCAAGCTGCTAGTAAGAAGAAATGTATAAGGGCGGATACAGCAACACAAACTTGTCTGTTACTTGTCGCTTCTATCCCAATCAAGAATATGAAGTAAGCAATGGAAAGGCAGGCACATAAGTTAATATGAGTGAATGCAGATCGCACGCGACGAAGTTCTCTGTATAAACGAATTGAATATTACTGATATTTTGTTTTTGTCTGGCATAAAACTTTGAATCAACTTCAAATTCTGGAATACCCTTCCAGCTAGCAATTTTCTGACAGCGTTGACTGTTGAAGTTCTTCATATACCGCACCAAACACCATGCATATAATGAATGGAGCAGAGATCTTTCAAGAAAACCCAATAGAAAATATAAAGACGGCTTTGTACACCAATTAGGCCCGTAATGCGAAATATTTTATTAGTAAAATACTTAAAATACATAGGATGAATTGCATAACTCACGATACAAACAAAAATATCCATATGGTTAAGGCAAGGCATACAATACAGATAATCATTCCGATAGTGCTCACAACATCCAGAGCATAATTAGGTAGCACGTGTTCACTCTGAATAGAAAAATATTTATTTAGCGTACTATTTAATGCTATATTTATATATATTTCAATACAAAAATTTAATATATATGATCAATTTGAATAACAAGTCAATTAAAACTAGCATGTTTTAATTTACGATGTACGAGTATGACCAGCAACAAAAAATTACTCGTAGGGTTCGTAAATGATTTTGTACTTTTCAACCGTTTTTCTGAACTAGAAAATAGCAGAACTTCTCATCACAGGCCGTACGCTATCCAAGCGAACCAATACATTTTTTCAGTAACTCGAATAAATCGGCTGAAGGGGATTAGGTCCCAAAAAGTTTAAAACATTATGAACTATCTTCATATTATTATAAAATGATTTACACGACGATTACTCAAAGTGATGTGGAAAACAAGTTTAAATATACACGGTGTTCATAAAGTTTTGTTTCAATTTCATTTTTGTTATAAAATCTGTTCTCCATATGCCCGTTTATTTTAGTGATTCAGTGTTTATTTGAGCTTTTTCGCCAACAAATATAGCTATAGGTGCAAAAAAAAACTATATCTGGTATCTATACTTGCAACCATAAAATTGGAATCAAACTTAGGTTCATTCCGATGTCTGTATACATTCAAATTGAATCTTACCACAACAACTGCAAAACTTGTTGTATGATCACATTTGCATCTGACAACATCGGTTCTCTGACCAATAACCGGAGGTTCAACGCGACACCCGTCTGTTTTCCATAACTGCTCTGGGTGATCATAATATCTACATTCCGTTTTGAGACACTAAATAGCGAGAGTACAAAAATGAAGCTCCACCTCCATTTATAATAGTGTAAATTTAATATTCTCTGAATTTAGACATTGAATATTTCTGACGTTGTGAAAAATAAGTGAGGTGAGTATTTGAATCATTATCGTATTCTTTAGCGTACCGTTCCTGAAGAAACATTCTTATTGTCCGCTATTTGCATCGAAAATTCGACTGGAACGCTGTATGTTTGTGTGCCGTCTGTAACTGTTGCTGATATAACCTAAGCATTTGAATAAATTGAAATATTTACACTGACAAGTCTGAGTAAAAATTAAACTATTTACAAACCGCAAAATTTTCGGAAATTTCATCAAGAAAGTATTTATTTTTAATAAGTGAGAAAGCCAACGGCACATTTTTGGTTTCACTGACTAAAAGCTATGATCAATTTCAATCGTCATTATCTTCATGATACACAGAATAATAAAGTCATTTGAGATTTTTAGCAAGAGTTGGAACCGCCGTGATTTGTTACCAAACGTTTCAAATCTACAGTTGCCAGAAATTAGGCAGTACCTTAAATGTACTTACTGAATTCACTTCGACTTTTTCATCGGTTGGAAACAACTCATCATCATCATAAGACATAAAAACAGCGCGAAATTGCTTTTGGTTTCCGTATGCTGGTGACTTTCCCGGCAACGGAGGATCAGCTAACACTTTTATATTTGATCTTCGATCATTACTTGAATGCTCCAACGCAAGGTCGTCTTCATGCTCAAGTTTTACAACCTGAAGTAAGAATTTATTTTAGCTTCTAAATTATTCCGGTACTATAGTCTCATACCAAGCATAAATAGTAATGGCTTAGGAAGAAATTGTTCTTCTTGATCGCTATGGTCCCACAGCAATTTTAATCAGATACCACGTAAGCTACTGTCTAGTGCTGACTGTATTGGCAGTCTTCGTTCATGAATAAACAAATTGAGTTAAGGAGATTATTGATTATCTATACATCGATAATACATATTTGACTAATTGGGTGAGAGCGACTGGTATATATGTACGGTACTTGAATGTTTTACATCACAGATGACTCATCCAATGACGTGTTATTCATTTGCATATTATACCACTGAATTACAATTGTCAATCAGTCCATGTAATTGATATATCGCTGAGGAGTTCTCCTAATCCGAAAAGATTCAATTTCTGATATAATATATATCTTATAAAGACCGAAAGTAAGGCCGAATGATGGAATGATCGCCTCGCTGGCACATGTGATATATTTTCAAGTCAGCAATAAGAAATGATTTAAATTGAACGCAATCTTTTGGTTTAAATTAGCGGTTCTCAAACTGAATGCCGCGGCACCCTAGTCTACAGGAAAAAATTTTAACGTGTGCCCCGAAGCCTTTGTTATTTTTAAGAAATTGATTGAGTTCAGTCGGATTAGTTATTCCGTCCGAACACAAGGAGATAGTTCAGCCAAAAGGTGAGGCAAATATCGAAAAGATCAAATTCATCATCAGTTAATTGCATTGTTTGGACCAATATTTTCGAGCACTGTGTTTTGAAGCAGCGTGTGGTGGTTTTGGTCATTTGCTTACAACCCCTACTTTACTAAATGATCAGTTTTAAAGCTAACAAAATATTGTTTCCATTTGCATCTTTATGGCTCTACGAATTTTATTTTTTACTCTGATAGAAATCAAAAGCAAAACACGACATTTGGAAATCGAAAAGGAAATGTGAGTGCACTTGTCAATGGCGAGAGCAAGTTTAATTCTTATTTACTTCCAAAACCAAGTCCATTTAACGCATTAGTTTGCATAATAAATGACTTTTGTCTGTAATAAGTGACTCAATTTTTTTACAATCGTAGTATAATCAATAAAAGGCCGGATCACATTCAAACTTAATTGGATCGAAAGCATGGCCGACGAGACTCATCACTTAGATTCTAACAAAATCTAGGCAAACCCGATAACCGTGCCCACTATCGTACTGCAATCTTCAGCATGTAGCCTATTATTAAACAATTGGCGATTTCGTATTGTGATTAAGACAGATAAATCCCAATTGCAACAATATCATAATCTGTTTGCCCATCCCATTTCATGCCCATTTTAATACCTCAACTTCAATTCCATCCGCTTCAAATTTGTGTCGTGTATTATTCGAATCCATCTCGACATGTTGTGCAAATTTCTCCAAGGCTTTTTCTAGTCGAGTTCTGAATCCCGGTCGTGCTTTGTGTGTTTTATTACGTCCGTGTCGTGATAAATATCTCCTGATCTTTGCAGTGGCTGCAATGATGTCAGAAAATACTTCAGGGGGTATCTGTAAAAGATGCATTTAGTCAACATTTCGGTAGTGTTTTCCAGTTCTCTGAGTTCATAACTGTGGCTATGTCTGATTTATCCCTGTGTTTTTATCGATTTAATTTTACGATATATATACAATTAGCCTGATATTAAGCAAGCATCTTAGCTAGTTTCTGTATAACGACTACAGTGTATTCGACGTTTTATTCAACTTCCCTGGTGCACAAATTGCTTCTTATTATCAAATTAAAAACTAGTACATTATACCAGTATCCTTTTCCTTTGACACAATTTACTGTGTACATGAATTTATTTCATAATTGAGGCGATGATATATATAATTCCTCAATTGCCGTGATATTTACCTTTCTGCAATACGACATATATACACCCAATAGGAAAAGACGTCAGGATTCAAATATCTAACATATAATACTCCAAGCAAAAATTTTGTCGTAAACATGTGGGATTGTAGTCTGCTATTCCCCGAGTCGAGTCCTGGCGTCTTCATTATTTAAAATTTGCATAGTATAATTATATTCATATATTAAATTACTATATATGATGTTCATGAAGCCCTAGTACAAACAAATTTTGGTTATAAAGTCAAAACCTATACATATATATTAACCAGGTTTGTTTTATTTTAATCACTGTTCATTTAAGATCTTACTTTGATTGCAACATTGCCCACTATTAGTTGCACGAAGCATATCAAAGTTCTTTTACCTAATTTAATACAAGACTTTAAGAACGCCATGTATTATGTAATTTATGTATTAGAAAAGTTTACCTCTGAATTATTTTCCGACATTTCGGATAATATTTCTATGATACGTGTTATATTATTTGTCGTGAAATTACTCAGAAGTAAAAATATCGCGTGTAATTTTCTTGTCGCCTGCTTCATTGTTATATTTTTTTGTTTTGCATCAACAAATATCTGCAAATTAAAAAAAAAAGTGTGAAGATATAAAATAGTATACGCACCCCAAAAATAGAATCCCAAATTAATCTCAACCATTTATAGGTCATCACCCTTATAGTAAGTAACCTTATTAAATAACACTTTATATAAATGATATACTTCGCTTAAAGAATCTGATAGACTTCTGTCGCATTCCATCCGAACCAAATCTGTGAACTCAACAACCGGTTTACCGCTACAGAACATTAATCCTTTTGGAATTCCTGTTGAGTTGTTTAAATATTATTAGGGTCTTGCAAAGATATATATTTGGTGATTTGTCAAACGATCCTATTCCAACTATTAACCGAATTCAGAGCATAACTTTTTAACCGTAAACGGTGAATCAAATGACAGAAAAATTATTTAATTAAGTTATATATCGTCACGCTAATAACCGAATTGCGTGAGTCATTTTTGACGATTTTGAGTTTTTTTTTTTATAAAATGGGTATTTATGTAATGCTGCGCACCTGTATGTTAACTCAGATTTTATTTTAAGAATTCCGAAACCCATAGAAATGGAGATTTAGTATGACATGCACATTTGTGCAATTGTTCGTCATAATGAATTATCATTATTACCGCAGGACTATTGTGACGTCACAAGGGCAAAATAACCTTGGCGAAGTATTTTCGAGTTTTTGCATCTCGGATTCTAGCTTAGCGCGTATTAATTTGAATTTTTACTACAGTATAGGAAGACATGCACTTGTGATATTCACCGACCGAGTCAAATTCACCTTGGTTGGCTTTTATATTGGGTGAATTGCTGTTTTATTCTTTATATTTAATCTTAGTCTTATTTCGGTGGGTGTGCAGAACGTGTTATATTGATGAAATATATATTTTTGAACATAAAAAATAATGCAAATGAAACTGATTAGCTATTTTGGGGATTAGACTTTGTAGATACTGAAAATTACATTCGGTTTTGGAATATTTCGTTTTCAGGACTGGTGCATATAGTAAAGTTGCAAAATTGCGTATGTCCCCAAATCATAGACACATTTCTGCCTAAGTCACAGTGCGCCATTATGACGTCACTTAACTGCGTCATACAAATTAACTTAAATCCGACTACGATCAAAAAATTGAACCATGGCAAATTATTGACTCTCAATGGCATAACATCATCATCAGGAAGTTTTTTACGTTTTTCTCAAAACTGCTAAAAATGACTTACGCAATTCGGGTATTAGCGTGACGATACATAAGTTTCATATTTGGAGAGGTGCATGTACAAGCATCGGTGGTTTTAATAAATTGCATTAATGGCAGCCCTGGATTTGTTAACGACAAATTCATTAAAATAGTGAGTGGGGTCATAAATCGAAAGCCGCAATTGCTTAAATATATAGAAAAGCCTGTTATATAAAACAAATGTGATGATTTCTATTTCTCCGATTCCAATGTAGGCTACTGATGGTTTGTTCCAAAGTTTATTGATTATTCTTTTTACGATTTCGATGTGATGCAAAGTTATAACTTTTGTAGTTTCGTTTCATCTACCACTTACCATTAGGGCATTTCTCCACAGAATATCCAAATCTTCTAACTTTTGTTCTTGGAAACGTAAGTTCAGACTCATTTAAAAGAACGTATTTGTCACAAAATTTTATTGTTTTTTGGGGTCGTTTTGGTACAGAAAATGTGGGCATACTCGTATTGTAGAAATCGTCTTCTGGTCGATGTATAGCTGTTTCATTTGAGGTTTTATTTTTACCATCTGAATTCTTTTCCAGGCAACCTAAGTGGGGTAAATGTTATCGAATAGTTGATTAAAAGTATTATTAAAACTCTTTTCACTAACATTCAGATTTTAACTGAAATTTACACTACGTGCACTCAGTCACCTACCGGCGTATAATGGTCGCTCACATATTAGAGTTGTTTCTACCTCATCACACGGTGCGGACGGTTCTGATTCTTGTCTCTTGTGCGTGACCTCTGGCCGTTTTTCAATACAATTGCTATTTCTGTCAAAAAAATGTTTACAATTTATTCGACATGTAAATTTACTGCTGTTGTATTATTCCGCAGTTCAAATCCTGCCTTTCCGTCTACTCATTCAAAAACTTGGAATATGCAATCGGCATAATGGTCTGAAAATATAAAAGAATACAGAGTGTATACATCTATTGAAATAAGTTATTAATTAGTTGGCATCATTTAATAATTTATGTATAGTATAAATTCAAAATCGCTCACATAAAAAATTTCTCCGCAAGGTTGCTGTTTAGGGGAACTTTTCTCCCAAATGTTGCACAATGATTTGGCACATGCGGAAATTTTCTTCCATCTGTAACGTGGGTGTAAATACTACTGTTATACACCACGGAGTTGTGCACGACATCATCTGTAAAAGTTTAAAGCAATTTCTAAAAGAAAAATTTTCCTTGATCGTTTTTCATATCAAATTATGTACAGTTGTTCCATGCTATCATAATATTAGTGGTAATTTATCGGCAATTTCCTGTTAGTTTTCTCTTCGGGATAGTAGTATTTAACGCACCAGAATATTGGAGAAAGCTGGTCTTACAAATTTTTGTAATTTTCAGTGTGAATCGGTGGGCATTAGTCAATATCGCAGAGACGTTCTTCGAGTAATTCCGTACGTCTGTCGTCACATCCTATCAAAGCACTTTCATTCATTTGAGACCCCTATTCTGGGAGTGAATACATTTCGCTTTAATTATTCAATATCATAAAAACAAAAAATCTTACTAGGATAATGGCAAAGATACGCCGGTAATTTACGACCACAGCTTAAACTTTCCCATCGACCATTCTTTGCTCGTGATACAAATGCGCAGAGTTCGTCGTTTTTTGTTTCCACTAGTGGGTGTCCTGTTCTCCAGTGCTAAAAAACAAGTCATTGTATAATTAAATGCAGTCAGACTGGGCTGTACATTTCAAATTGCAAACCTGGTAGTGCTGTGCTTGGTGTTCATGTTCGCAGTTCTCATCGACTTTTCCGACTGGCATGCCGTTATCTCCTCTAATCCATAATACTTCACCATCTTTAGGTGATATCAAATATCTTTTCAGTCCTATCCAAAATCCATTGATAGCCGAACTTTCGTTGGTGCCTTGAAGTAGTTAAATACGAACTCAGCATGCGTCACATGTATATTGTTAATATAAATTTTACTATTACTAGAATAATCAAAACAACACCGAGATCAGGTGCTGGACAATAGACATAAAACACATAATAAATGAATCTGAGTGAGCACTTGAAACTGGCATAAATTCTGTATTTATTTAACTTTCATTCACACTATATTATGGTTTTTGAAAAAAATAGATCACAAAAGATTAAAAAAACCTCTGTTCAACATGATTTTTACTTGTTTTTAGTGAAGATGCTCTATAACTTTTATGCTTTCTTACCTTTTTCTTGGGGAGCCATTTCAAAAAGTGATGCAACTTTGGCATTGGAAACAAAGTTTCTTCTTATAAATCTTTGAATTGTTTCTGAGTGGGAAGTTGCTAAAGTTCCGCCGTCCGATATGCACTTAAAACGAGCTTCCCAATATGTAGACAACCGAGTATACAAAACATACTTGCTGCCATTGGGAGCTCTTGCCGCATGAGTTTTTGATTGCTGAGAAGCTGAAAAGTATTTTAGATTGAATAAGAAGCCCAACAAAAAAAATAGAGCCAAGAAAGAACCAAAATTATCCTGCTATATATATTCGAGGCAAGCACTTGTCCATTGTAGACATTTACAGCAAATATTTCGTTTTGAGTAAAAGCTACAGTATACGGTATCCTCATAACGCTCTAACAGTGATATCATGATATCCGTTAAATGCCTATATCCATTGCGATATTTTTACACATGATACAAAAAAAAACGTCACTTGATCCCCAACCTTGGCTGCATTAAAAATGAACTCGGATTAGCCTTCACATAATCAGCATGGTATTCATAATGCTATTTCTCCTTACCCAGATGTCCTTTGTCACCAAAATCATACGAATTACATAAGTCTTCCGTACATTCTTGACATGGTGCGCCATCTCCGTCCCCTCTAGATATGGGACATGTATACATGCATCTTTTATAGAGACCATCAACATGCACAGTTACGCATACCTGTGATTGAAATGGACTATATATTATGTAAATAAAACCTTGAAAACCACATAGATTGTAATAAAAATAACTGTAAAGGTCTCCGAAAAGACACTTCCAACTAAGCTATGTACAACTTGGAAGCGCTTGATCCTGCAGAAGAAAAGTGACTTTTGTTAAACATCAACAGTTTAGTAAACCACTTAAAAACCACTTTGTGTTCGATAATAGACATACTGAATACCAATATTGATCGAATAATCTTTCACTAAGCCTTAGTTTCCTGTGTTTGGAAAAAAATTCTTTCTTTAATATTTTTGTTGTTTAGTATATAGTTATCACAACGACATGGTTTCGCCCTAATGTTACCACAACAAATCTGTTAATTATCATCAATTCCGTGAGAAATCAGAACTGCACATGTTTCAGTATATCAGCAATTCGTAATTAATGGCTGTCTCCAATGAGTTTTAGTTTGATAGCAGTCATTAAAGTTAAGTCCACAAAAACCGGCGATAGATTAGGCCGAGATTAGCTATCAGTACTTTTAAATTCAGGGTGATAAATATTTTGAATCAAATTGATGGTAAGGAACATGTAAAGAAATCGCGAATGAACTTTAATAATGGATTTCAAAAAGTCTAAATGGTACAGTATAAAAAGAATTTTTTTTAGGTCGGGGAAGCGTCCATCATATGATTAGTTAAAAGATTTGAATACATATCATAACTTGGGGCAGCACATAGCTAGTACAGCGCTGTGCTAATTTTAGTACTTTTTGTTATTTCATTTAAAACGAACTATATGTTTTTAATGATGTCCAAAATTTTGCTGATAATTTCAAAAAGTTTACCTCGTTATCTTGACAACGAACTGGTTCTTTTTCGTTACATCTCCAGTTTTCATCTTCGCCTTCACAAGAGTAGCAATATAGGGCGGTTGCTGACAAAATACATATGATCGTAATCGTTCTGAGACTAGTGGAAGGGACCAAAGATAGGATAAAACTGGAATAATAGTAGTTCAAATCCCATTTGAATATTTTTCAGTTTGTTTCCATTTTGCGTATTTGTCCGGTCATAAACACTGAGCTACTCACCCCCAACCAATCTGTTACCTAGAAAAGCATTTATTCGTGGCCTATCTAATGATAAAACCGCACGCCCACCACCTCGTCCAGTGGCCCGGTTTAGCCTTCACAGTAGTCAACTCTTTTACTCAACCATTATCCTTATATATGAACATATTCTAAGTATTGTCTCTATCACAAAATGCACAAAATCTATCGCAACCTTTATCGCTTTATGAATTTTAGCATAATAAAACAAAATTACATACCTCGACCGAGGAAACACAAAAGGATCGCGAATATTTTAGTCACCATATCTTCTAATTGTTTGTATAATTCTACCTTCTAAACCTAATTCTGAATCTTTGCCAAAAACTTAAAACATGACTATATGCAAAACATAATTCTTTCAAACTAATTTCAATGCTCATACCTTAATGTCGTGGAGCATCAGAATCGCGGATATATGTCTTTCCGCTCTTTGAAAACTCACACCTTTGACGTGCAAAGGTTGGATGGGATTGCTTGATCTTTCAATATTAAACAACGCACTTTCGTGTTTGATCAGGCCAAATACAATATTATGTTGGACATTCAGGATGAAATTTACTTCCTATACATTTGTTGGACGTGAAATGGATCTATGGATCGTTTTGTCTTTTTTTATTTCTGTTCATGTTGCTATCAAAAATCGATTTTCTCATTAACTACTGAACCATTTGCTTTTGGGACACGAAATGTACATATGGTTGTTGTGATTGTACAACGAATAGGATGAAATATAAGTCTTTAACTACACTATAGCTACAGGCCCACGTAGGTCTTAATATGGCCCCGTATGCAGACACCCAGGACGGACAACTTTTTTCATTTCCCCAAGATTGCTTGTAAGGAATGTCTCTCAAGTATCTAATGGAAAGCTTGTTGTTTACTTTGGGTTACGTAGCGCCCATTTTAAACTCTACTTATGTTGCTATTCAAACGGAAACGAAAAAATCCATACTATTTTTATTTATTTCAACTTAATTAAAATGATACAGCAAGTAACATTATTTTAACAATAAATGAACAAAATTTAACTATGGTAAAATTATTGTATCAACTGTTCAAAAATTGCACATAAATATGAAATATATTTAATTGTATTGACATAATTCTGCAGGTTTTACGTATTTATTATATTATATACTCTTCATGTACATCTCTCATGATGTCTTTCGCACACAACACCTTCGCATTCCAACCTCTGAAAAAAATGGAGGTTTCAAAAAAAATTTTTGCTCAGTAATAAGATCTATACCAACAAGTCTAGGCAGAACACAGATACGTAGAGTTGCTATGAAATGGGTAGAGCTATAGTGTTTGTAGAAGTGTGTACAATCCGCATCTTTATTCTAATTTACTGTTTAAGAACGTTAGTGAACGCTAATTTAAAAATTGAATATACGTGATTTATTTTGAGTTATCACGCCTTACCTATGCTACTATGGATGGGGAGTCAAAGTTGAGCGTTTTAGCTAGTATTAGGGGTCAAAGATGAAGTCCTATTTTTAAATTTAGAATTTCTGCAGCGGATAATATTAATATGAAAACTCCAAACTTGCAAATAGTGTCGTGACCTTAGGGCAATAAATGTATATGTGAATACACACACTTGCAAGTTTTTGTTAAATTACTTAGGTTTCTGAAATTTACTTAAACATCCAACATATGTTCTAATGGGATAGTTATACGCGCTCATCTCACCAAAATCATTTTTCCATCGCCAGTTAAAATCCATTCAATCTTTGTCTCTCTTTTCTTTTTATCTTTTCCTTCTTCCCATCGTTGAATTTCTAGTAATTTGTCATCACCATCCCATACTACGGTGGTCTAATGTAAAGTATTAATTTGAGTTGAAAATTGAGGCTGTCGCTTTGTTCTCGTGTTTTTTATTTTATAAGAATAGACTGAAGTCCTTGTTCGGAATTTAGAATATATTGACATCCGATTTTCAGTTTTAACAAATCATGTGGGGTGGTGAGAAGACACAGCATATCATTATTGAATAGTTTTTGTCATCTGAATCTCATACAGCTGATGCTGTCAGACAGAGCTAATCAAAGTAAAATGATAAAATAGTCAAATGACCTCTAACAAACTATCGATGGTCTTCTAGGAATAAACGTTTTAAACTTAACTGTGTTGGCATCGCAGCTAACACATTTTGGGTTTCAATCTCCACTTCACCCAGAGTGTGATAATTTGGGTAGCGTCATGCCGAAATGCGAAGATGCTAGTCCTTCGAAAAATATTAGTTCACATCTCCTTACATGTCAAGGAATGCTGGTATATATCCGTATTCTAGTTCAGTAGTTTCACACTGTCAACAATATTAACTGAGTATAGTGTCTCTCGGGCCACCCTTCGTCGAATTAGACAGGCAACAGAGTAAAGTAATTTAAACAGGAAACCTTTACGTCCCTATCATCCATGGTATGTTCATCAATTTCCTTGCCGAGCGGGAACAAAACATTGGAACTTCTAAATGTGCTTTGAGTATTTATTCTTATTTGATTTTCGCCTTCTTCGGTGATTTCGGATGTTGATGACACAATAAGAGCCATCTTCCTCAAAGCGATGTTCACTCCTGAAATACAGAAGATTATATTCGCAGGTTGGGTGTCAAAGTTTAATGTCTAACAGAGACGGTGTGGTCAGACTATAAATTTATGAGTTTTACTTACAAATATCATATATATGTACAATTTTACAAGTACCCATGTACCCCTAAAATTTATATTTAATAAGAAGTTAAACAATAAAAGTTCGGTTTTTTTTAATGTAATAGCAGAATCAAACGGTTTGTCCCCTATGGCCTTTACTCTTGAAAAAGTGTTTGCTGATCAGACATGAGTTGGACCTATGCATTGGTTTGCTAAATTGTTTTTGATGTGAAAAATCGATTTTTTTTTCGAAGAAAAAGTCGCTAAAATACGATTATTTTTATTCAAATTGGAATCTCATATATTCTCGAAATGTGCGTTTCTCTTCTACTAGGCTATAGAAGCTAGCCAGCTGATATTATAAGCGCAAGTGCGTTATTAGTTGGAAAGCATCGGTAAAGAGAACACACTGCGACCTCAATAATCTCTCGTTTCTCACTAGATATACGATTTCCTACAAGCATGAATATTTCTTATTGTCGTTGGCACAGTTGTTATATATAATCGTTATCAGATTTGTGACAATTCTCAACAACGCCATAATAAATATGAGATAATGGGCATATGCTTTTGGCAGGGGTGAATAACGAGACAATTCTGGCCCGTGAGACAAAGTTTCACATGCCTGGACTCTGACCTGTAACGCATATATCGTTATGCAGCAAATTTTTATCAATATGCTTTCAAAATATCTCTCGTTGCAATATAAACCCGCTGCATAAACAAGAAATCGTACATTAAAATAAGCGATTAATAATAATCAATAATAATTAATAATACATTAAATCCATTGCCAAATTTTAGATGAATTTAAAAACAAAATTCTTTTCATTACTTATATCCAACTTCTTACCAACTTGCTTCATATAATTATCGAAGTTGTCACTTTTGCCGAGTTTCCATTTTCCAAGAAGTTGAGAAGGCATGTTTCAGTTTTTAGTTTCTTTTCAATACTTAACGTAAATTAAAAATTCTAAAATTTCATTCGTCATTATTCAAATAATATAAATAAACATAGATGTGTAACAACAGCTGGAATAGGTCGCACCCAACAACCCGCCTCGAATCACATGCTGGGTGATTTTTTTGAAACTGTTCTTCAGTGAAAGTATTTTTGTACAATTGCAAATCGCAAATAATAAATTATTTCCAGATATTTCACTAAATTCAGAATTATAGGCTTTGATTAAATGAACGGCATATAGATTTGTTGAACGAAAGATAGTCTTCTCTTAAAATGAAATATTTCAATAGACTTTATTGGTTCGACCAAACTTACATCGGTAGATATTGAAATTGATGGAATAAATAACACCTTCCCCGCATCTCTGATTTTTATACTTTTCAGCAGTCATTTCAGTTCAGTTATATAGGTATCAAATGCACTAACCTTACTAATGCACTAACGTTGACCATTCGACAACCTTGGATATTAGACAGTCAAATAGCAGCCAAAGGATTGCCAGCGCCCTGGAGTAGTTGCTGAGCATACTAATCAAACTTCTGGTAACTAATAAAACCGGTTGAACACGAACACGGCAAATATTGGTTTGATAAAATTGATTTACTACAGTTAATTGCTATGTTAGCGTATTTTTCATCTGCACAACGATGCGCAGGCAAAAATATGGACATTTCTGTTCTGGCCAGGCATAGAACATGTTTGGTTTCTTGAAATGAATTTTGATGATTGTGATGACATGAACATTGAATAAACGGACGTCATCATTTTTATTGCCTGTAAGTTAGTTTCATATATGACCTCAACATACGCCTTGTGTAAATTGGCTCTTACTGGAACGTTTAATTAAAACTGGTTTGTGCAAACTGATGATCCGACATCTCTGTCATCAAAGATTGAACACAATTCGATAGCGATGGTACGACCCTACACTAAACAATTAGTGATTTAGACAGGGGTGATATGGTGAACAAGTGTGTAATTAGTCAGAAAAGCAAATATTTAACGTAGTTGTATCTATGAAAATAGTTTACACGATAGAAAAATTCAAACACCCCAAACAATAAATCGAAAACTTTTTTGCTGTCTATCTGGCATCAAAGGTAACAATGTGACATGAAAATGAATTAACCCATCAAAATATGTTACACAAATAACAAAAAGTTAAAATCCCTTGATTTTGTGTGAAACTGTTTAGGAGACAAAGGGAAGGATTTTTTATACTTAGGGGTTGTCTTGAGATTCAGCAAAATTATTTTTGTTTTCAAAGATGATAAATAGACTGATGACCATTCTGAATATCAATTGGTAGCAAAGCATCTCATTGTAAACGGGTAATGAGTTATTAATGACTATATTAATTGTTGAAGTATCATAATTCGAGTTTTCTGAGAATGCTTCATAACATATACTAGTTTGTCGAGACTTATCCAAATTTCTTCCAAAATGTTTCATGATTATTAATCGCATGTACACTCTCTATCATCAATACATAATAACAAATATACTATACTAAATATCGTCACGCTAATAACCGAATTGCACAAGCCATTTTTAGCGATTTTGAGTTTTTTTATAAAATAGGTATTTATGTAATGCTGCGCACCTGTCTGTTAACTCAGATTTTATTTTGATAATTCCGAAACCCATAAAAATGGAGATTTAGTATGACATGCACATTTGTGCAATTGTTTCGTCATAATGAATTACCATTGTTCCCACAGGGCTATTGTGACGTCACAAAGGCAAAATAACCTCTTCGAAGTATTTTCGAGTTTTTGCATCTCGGATTCTAGCTTAGCGCGTATTAATTTGAATTTATACTACAGTAGAGGAAGGCGTGCACTTGTGATATTCCTTTCCGAGTCCAATTCACCTTGGTTGGCTTTTATATAAGGGTACATTATTGTTTTATTCTTTATATTTAATCTTAGTCTTTTTTCGGTGGGTGTGCAGACCGTGTTATATTGATGAAATATATATTTTTAAACATAAAAAATAATGTTATTGAAACTGATTAGCTATTTTAGGGATTAGACATTGTAGATACTGAGAATTACATTCGTGTTTGGAATGTTTAGTTTTCAGGAGTGGTGCATATAGTAAATTTGCAAAATTGCGTATGTCCCCAAGTCATAGACACATTTCTGCCTAAGTCACAGTGCGCCATTATGACGTCACTTAACTGCGTCATACAAATTAACTTAAATCCGGCTACAATCAAAAAATTGATCCATGGCAAATTATTGACACTCAATGGCATAACAATATCATTAGGAAGTTTTTTACGTTTTTCTAAAAACTGCTAAAAAAGACTTACGCAATTCGGTTATTAGCGTGACGATATACTATTCAAATTACATAACAATGTGGGAATTTTACTTTCACAACGGTTACCCAATGATTTTGAAGATATTCTGACCATCAATGACCGAAAACAGTTATTTCGACAGATGATGTAATGTGAACATGTTTGTGTGATAAATTGTTGTGCAAGAAACCTCAGTTAAATAAGAAGACTTGCGTTAAGAACTTGAAATCAACATAAGCAAGTTAGCATTTCCTTATGCTCTTGTTAAATCCGTTACTTTAGGCCCCATATTCGTATGGATTTGATTTTGATCAATCCGAATGGCAGAACGATCCAATTATTGATTACTGTATCCGAGGAAAATCCGATTCACACATCGGCCATTATCCGCAACCAGCAAGCATACAAAATATACGGATTTACTTGCATTGTAGAGCGCGATGCGGAGGAGCTGTTCGACGGGCAGTGAAACGCAAGTTTCGGTATAGGGAAATTTTACACGTACGCTATTTATCGTGCGTAAGGTTTGATCGTGTATATTAGTGAGTGTTTCCGTGAGCATCATAGGACGACGGTAACAGAATTATATTGTTTAACGTGGGTACAAGAGAAGGCTGTTCGAACTTTTTCACCACAATACGGACTGCTGAAGAGAGTGAAATGTAGATAATATATGATATGCAAATAATGTAGGACTCTGCTCAGCTTTAAAATAGTCTTGCTCAGTAAAAACAACATTTGCGCAGTGTGAAATTTTCTTACAGGGAACACAGGTTATCAAGGAAGCAAATATAAGGTATGAGTGAACCTTTCTGTGTAAATATCAATCTCGTCTGGAAGCCCTTCTAACGTTTGTTACTTTCGAGGCTTAGAGGTCTTATTATAGGAGGTATGGACCCTGATACGCAAGATATACTTGCAGATGTGAGAGATGCAGACGAAGCAGGAGAAAAAGAAAATGTGTTCTTTTTATATGTTGCTACACCAAAAAAACCGCCTTCAGCACTACACAAAAAAGTCATTGAGCCCTTTCTGAGATCGAAAGGTTGGAGGAAAGTCAGCTATAGAAACACAGGCTTCAGGTGAAATCATGTTGTTAATACTTCCGTATCTGAAGAATAATATAATGCAACAACTATTGAATAATAAATGATCTCATATATAGCCGCGGTAGAAGGTAGGAGGCTTTGTATCAATCTAAGAGCAGCCGATTGCTGGTTCTGGTATTCTTTTATTTACTGTGTTCTATAATTTATATCCTATTTGCAATTGAAATCATACTTCATTTAAAGTTCCATTCATAGACATAGACGTTCTTGTTGACACAATCATTCAACGTCTCCATTATACAACATACAGAGAATAATGGAGCTTATGAGTAAACGGAAACGGCATTAAATGATTGCGAGAGAACCCGCACCGACCCTGACGAGTTAAATCGAAATACATAGTAAACTAAATATCGCAAAAAAGTCTTATTGACTTTTGATAATAAAACTGTATTGATATGAAATCTAGATCTCGTGGTTTCTGTAACATTGCAAACTTTCATACGCACGTGTTTAGTTCAAAGTAATTTTTAATACAACCTATATATATGTGTCGCTATCCAAGCTCCTATAGCAGTGGTTCTTAAACTTTTTTAAGCGCGACCCAAATCTTGAGTTTTATGAACACTCGCGACCCATTTCCCAACATCGAAGAAATTCACTCTTTTGACAGACAACGACTTATTAGAGCCAGGTCATTGAATCAGTGCAATTGATGAAACTGAGATCTTTCTTCCAATATATCTTCAATGCACGGCTCTATTTTGCTGAGTGCAATACGCATGTCGTCACCAGGATCAAGGCGATTGCGAGCCTTAGTTTTAATGGCCGCCAGTGCCGAAAATCCTTGCTCGCAAAGATAAGTGGTCGCAAATGGCAGCAGAAAAGTCATTGCTTCGCTTCCAATCATTGGCTTTTCCTTTTTAACCAAAGTCCAAAACTTCCCAAGCGAAGCTGTGGACAAAAGTTGTCGATGGAACTGGTCGTGATGCAGGTCAATAAACTCTTCCTGAAGTCCTGCAATATCCTCTGATAAGTCGTCAACTTTTGCCAGAAAAGAATTTCTGACCCACAGCTGACATGTCAGATTTCTGTCCGGAATATAGCGATCAAACTCCGTGATAAGGTTTTCCAAATGCTCAATAAGAATTGGTTTGATGGCATCAAATCTGTAAATGGCCATCTGATTCCATTCCTACAGATACTCATTCAAGGATGGAAACACTGCTGTTTGCCCACGCTCCAGTCTTTTCTTCCAGAGAGACAGTTTTTTTTGAAGGCAGACAATCTCTCTGAGATAGTTATAATATTTTGATTTCTGCCTTGCATTGATAAGTTAAGATCGTTCAATAATGCGAAGATGTCGTTTAGGTAACATACTTTGAGCATTCACTCTTTGTCTTCGAACCGAATAGAATGACGATGTTTTTTATCATTGAGAAAGAACTGCACCTCTGTTCGGATATCGACCAGGCGGCGCAATAGCTTACCGCGAGAAAGCCATCCCACAGTTGAGTAGAACAGGAGATGATGGAATTGAGATCCGAAATCGACACACATCTGTTCAAACAGTCGAGAGTTAACAGCACTACATTTGATAAAGTTGACGATACCAACAACCTCCTGCATCACTGCCGATAAATCCGACGACAAATGTTGCGCTACAAGGTTTTCACGGTGTAGAAGACAGTGGACGATTTGTACATAGGATTGACTCGTGCTGTAAACCCCTGTCGAGCACCAAGCATCGCGGAAGCGCCGTCAGTACATAAGCTGACACAGTTTTTCCAGTCTACGCCTTCTTTTTTGTGAAAGTTGTCCACAACGTTGTAGATGTCGGCGCCAGTTGCCGTTGTTGTCAGTGGGGTGCAAAATAAAAATTCTTCTTCGAGGTCCAACTCACCCTCATACCTCACGTAAACCATTACCTGCGCGTACTTTCCAGTGTCAGTTGACTCATCGAGTTGATAGCTCCACTTTCCGCTCTTCTCATCCGGGCAACCACTTGGTTTTTTATATTCAATGAAAGGTCTGCGATGCGACTTTTGACAGTGTCGTTTGATAGCGAGACGGATGGCAATTTCGAGGCCACATCATCACGACATATGAGACTGGTCATGTCAATAGCTGCAGGCTTAACAAGCCGTTCTCCAATAGTGTGTGGTTTGATTTCTCTAGCTATGCGTTGAGCCACTACATACGATGCCAGCGTGGCTTGCTTTGAATCAAAAATCACTGGGTTCGTTGCTGAGCAAAATCGACTTCGTTTCAGTTCGGCTTCTCTATGCTGAAAATAAATACGATTCTTTTCCACATACTGAGGATGTTTTGTTTCAAAATGTCTCTTCAATTTGTTTTCCTTCAGAGATTCGTTTAATAACACTGCATAACACAGCACACATTGTGGCTTTGCAACACCATGATCGTTGATAGAAGTGAACCCAAACTCCAAAAATTTTTGCTTGTAGGAATGCTAATCTTTAACGTTAATACTAGCAATGTAATTTGCTACATTTCAGTAAATTGGGGATCTACTGCTACGAAAAGTGAATCTTTCCTATTATCAACTCAGGTATCACACTGAGGCAATCTCATAGCCAGAGCAAAACTGACCGGGAGCCCGACTTATCCCATTTATATTTATTGCGAAAGTTTAATTGTACGCGAATAACCACCTAACATGTATGAAGCTGGAGCCAATGGGATATTTTAAAACAAACTTGACCTGACATAAATAATTATTGTTTAACATAGTAAATTTCACCTTGCTACCAAAAGTAAACTTTCAACAAAACATGACCCACTACCGGTATAATCGAAAGGCCTGTCCCTCTCGAGTATGATATGATACCTAGACCCAAGCCCTAGGACAAACTAGCAATATAAAACTTTTCCCTCATCAGAGTGATCTTTAGATCTCAAATCTACTAATGTCGACAGGCAATTTCTGTTTTGCCTCTTCAATACGAATTCACGCTACCAAAGAAGACCTCCACTTTGGATTATTTTCGCGCGGCGATCACGACAAGCGACGTGCATAGCTACTAGGGATGGGACGAGTCCGGCATTACAGAGATTCGACGAATCCGAGTAATAGGTCAGGGACTCGAATCGAATCCTCCGAGTCCGTGACGTCATAATGTAAAAGTAGAAAAACACGTTTTTGACCATATTACAGCATCGCGCGCTCACAAACATACGTCGTAGCTCATATTTTTTGCCTAATGGTTCCGCAGATAGCTGTTGGATCTATTTAAAAATATATTTTTATTTTTTTTTTGGCGACCATAATACAAACGTAAACGTGGGTCAATGTGCGCCTTGGCTGTGAACTGGATTTCCAGCCCACCACCTTGCGTCAATTCTGGGCGGCTTTAAAAATTCTCACATGTCAATATGAAAAATAAAAAGCTTTTGACTACAATGCTTCCCATAATTCCAGATATTTCAAGCCTTAAATTTACTATGTGGCGTGCGCAAATGGTAGAGAGATGCCACTCGTCGTCAATACATTGATTTCAATTTAGTAGTTCATGTAAACGTTCTAAAACGCTCCATGCTTTCCATTGCTCCCTTATTATAGAAAGGATTGCACGTAATAAACTCGATTTAAAAGAGGTATCGATGAGATTCCCCATTGAGTTGATCCAGAGCATGCTTCATTTTTACGCGAATCAAAAACTCAAAAATATTGCGCTAACACATATTTTATTGTCTATCGAAAAGAATAGATAGTTTGAAGGCGACTGGCACAACATCATTGTTATAAGCGATCAATAGTTTTTAACATGCGTTATATTATCTGGATATCTGTTGTCGCTTTTATTAGGAGTGTTTATAGTACACGTGAGGGATATTTTTACAGATTTAACCTTGAATTTTAACTCGTTAAGGTATGTAGTGAGATTTATAGAGGCAAATAAGAGTACAAATATAGGCGTAAATTAGTAAAAACAGAATTGATTATAGACTCGGTAAAAATGACGTGGACTCGGAATCGAATCCGAGTCCAAAAAATGCGTGGATTCGACTCGAATCCAAGTCCGGATCCGAATCCCGGCCCATCCCTAATAGCTACCGGTACCATAAAACAAGACACGTGACTGATACTGTATAAATTGTGACGCAACAATGTACTCAAGACAGTTCCTTCCGTGCACGACGTATTATACAATATTTCACTGTTTTAAACATTGGACCAGCTGAAATATTTGGCCCTGAACTCTTTACACATCCATGCACTGACAACTGTGGCGCGACCCATTTCCATACCCTCCGCGACCCATGTTTGGGTCGCGACCCATACTTTAAGAACCACTGTCCTATAGCATATAAATATCCAGGCAACAACTCATTAGTATATTAAATCATTATATATATATCTATAACTGAAACAAAATCGCCTCACATTGATACCGTTGCACAATATGCAGGTGGCAGATAAATTAAAGTTAGGAACAGAAATTAACGCAAATTTGGACGTAAAAATTTGCCACTTTGAGTGTCTATCCGATACGACTCCAAGTGTCCACATATGCGAAGGCGCGAAATCATGAGTTTGGAAACTCTGAGACAAAATATTCCGAAAAACTCTCAATTCTCCGCGACCGAATTTGCCGTTTTCATGCCTGGCCTTCAAATCTTCTACTGCAGGCAGAATATTACCAAAACAATTTTGATGCTTCGAACCCAGTCAAAAGATAAAAAAAAATGTGGATCTTATGGTTTAGTTGAGCAGTGGTCGGCAAACTTTACGTACTTGCGGCCCAAATATACATATTTCCGGTAGCGCGCGGGCCGCATTATTTCATCGTCTACGAACAATCGCCGCATTAAACTTCAAATTATGGCCTGTCACAACGATGGGACGTTCATCAAGTAAATGGCATAGAACTGACGCTACTTATAACGAAACAAGTGCCGTACAGCAGCACTTGTTACCACATAAATCCGGGTGGAGGCAATAATAAATTTAGGATCAATTTTTGTTTTATGCATTAAAAGACGGGTTGTTTGCGGGCCGCAAAAATTATGTCGCGGGCCGCAAAAAATTAGTTCACGTGCGCATTTGGCCCGCGGGCCGCAGTTTGCCGATTACTGAGTTAGAGTAATAAATCTTCTCCTCGATTTTGTAAGATCTTGGATCTCAATTTGTGTTTTTGTTTGGATTATTTTGATCCTACGGGGCTTACTTGCTTCCAGCTACTGAACTGCATCAAAAGTCTATAACTATATATATATGTATGTGCATTTTTGCGTTTGTTGTTATTTTTACTTGTCCATCTCTGTCTAAAATCCTACATCATATATTGGTTAATGTTAAATATTAAAAGTCGATATTTGTTCAAAATTGGAAAATGCCACCAACATAATCAAATGAAATATTCGAAATTCTTGAGCACAATGTTGAAACCCAGAAAAAAATCATTAAAGCTACCGTAAAAATATGAAAAACTTTCATGTATTAGCAGATAAACACTCAGACCTAACGTATCCCATACTGCAGCGTGAACTGTTTGGGTAGTTTTTCCACCTTACTATATAAAAGTTACTATATATATAATATGTATCGTTGTATATTTATAATGCTTTTAAGAATTCATAGTTTGTTAATCAGTCTTTTTCATTTATTCTCCACAAATCTTTTCGTTCTTTACATTGTGCCGTAAACAAAATATCGTCAGGCTAATAACCGAGTTTTGAGTTTTTTTTATAAAATAAGTATTTATCTAATGCTGCGCACCTGTCTGTTAACTCTTATTTTATCTTAAGAATAAAGATTGAGATTTTGTATGACATGCAAATTTGTTCAATTGTTTCGTCATCATGAATTTTCATTGTTAACGCAGAACTATTGTGACGTCACAAAGGCGAAATAACTTCGGCGAAGGATTTTCGAGTTTTTGCATCTCAGATTCTAGTTTAGCGCTTATAAATTTGAATTTATACTACAGTATAGAAAGGCGTGCACTTGTGATATTCACTGTCTGAGTCCAATTCACATTGTTCGGCTACTATATAAGGGTACATTGCTGTTTTATTCTTTATATTTAATCTTAGTCGTTTTTCGGTGGGTGTGCAGACCGTGTTATATTGATGAAATATATATTTTTAAACATAAAAAATAATGTAATTGAAACTGATTAGCTATTTGGGGATTAGACATTGTAGATACTGAGAATTACATTCGTGTTTGGAATGTTTAGTTTTCAGGAGTGGTGCATATAGTAAATTTGCAAAATTGCGTATGTCCCCAAGTCATAGACACATTTCTGCCTAAGTCACAGTGCGCCATTATGACGTCACTTAACTGCGTCATACAAATTAACTTAAATCCGGCTACAATCAAAAAATTGATCCATGGCAAATTATTGACACTCAATGGCATAACAATATCATTAGGAAGTTTTTTACGTTTTTCTCAAAACTGCTAAAAAAGCCTTACGCAATTCGGTTATTAGCGTGACGATATACTATTCAAATTACATAACAATGTGGGAATTTTACTTTCACAACGGTTACCCAATGATTTTGAAGATATTCTGACCATCAATGAACGAAAACAGTTATTTCGACAGATGATGTAATGTGAACATGTTTGTGTGATAAATTGTTGTGCAAGAAACCTCAGTTAAATAAGAAGACTTGAGTTAAGAACTTGAAATCAACATAAGAAAGTTAGCATTTCCTTATGCTCTTGTTAAATCCGTTACTTTAGGCCTCATATTCGTATGGATTTGATTTTGATCAATCCGAATGGCAGAACGATCCAATTATTGATTACTGTATCCGAGGAAAATCCGATTCACACATCGGCCATTATCCGCAACCAGCAAGCATACAAAATATACGGATTTACTTGCATTGTAGAGCGCGATCCGGGGGAGCTGTTCGACGGGCAGTGAAACGCAAGTTTCGGTATAGGGAAATTTTACACGTACGCTATTTATCGTGCGTAAGGTTTGATCGTGTATATTAGTGAGTGTTTCCGTGAGCATCATAGGACGACGGTAACAGAATTATATTGTTTAACGTGGGTACAAGAGAAGGCTGTTCGAACTTTTTCACCACAATACGGACTGCTGAAGAGAGTGAAATGTAGATAATATATGATATGCAAATAATGTAGGACTCTGCTCAGCTTTAAAATAGTCTTGCTCAGTAAAAACAACATTTGCGCAGTGTGAAATTTTCTTACAGGGAACACAGGTTATCAAGGAAGCAAATATAAGGTATGAGTGAACCTTTCTGTGTAAATATCAATCTCGTCTGGAAGCCCTTCTAACGTTTGTTACTTTCGAGGCTTAGAGGTCTTATTATAGGAGGTATGGACCCTGATACGCAAGATATACTTGCAGATGTGAGAGATGCAGACGAAGCAGGAGAAAAAGAAAATGTGTTCTTTTTATATGTTGCTACACCAAAAAAACCGCCTTCAGCACTACACAAAAAAGTCATTGAGCCCTTTCTGAGATCGAAAGGTTGGAGGAAAGTCAGCTATAGAAACACAGGCTTCAGGTGAAATCATGTTGTTAATACTTCCGTATCTGAAGAATAATATAATGCAACAACTATTGAATAATAAATGATCTCATATATAGCCGCGGTAGAAGGTAGGAGGCTTTGTATCAATCTAAGAGCAGCCGATTGCTGGTTCTGTTATTCTTTTATTTACTGTGTTCTATAATTTATATCCTATTTGCAATTGAAATCATACTTCATTTAAAGTTCCATTCATAGACATAGACGTTCTTGTTGACACAATCATTCAACGTCTCCATTATACAACATACAGAGAATAATGGAGCTTATGAGTAAACGGAAACGGCATTAAATGATTGCGAGAGAACCCGCACCGACCCTGACGAGTTAAATCGAAATACATAGTAAACTAAATATCGCAAAAAAGTCTTATTGACTTTTGATAATAAAACTGTATTGATATGAAATCTAGATCTCGTGGTTTCTGTAACATTGCAAACTTTCATACGCACGTGTTTAGTTCAAAGTAATTTTTAATACAACCTATATATATGTGTCGCTATCCAAGCTCCTATAGCATATAAATATCCAGGCAACAACTCATTAGTATATTAAATCATTATATATATATCTATAACTGAAACAAAATCGCCTCACATTGATACCGTTGCACAATATGCAGGTGGCAGATAAATTAAAGTTAGGAACAGAAATTAACGCAAATTTGGACGTAAAAATTTGCCACTTTGAGTGTCTATCCGATACGACTCCAAGTGTCCACATATGCGAAGGCGCGAAATCATGAGTTTGGAAATTCTGAGACAAAATATTCCGAAAAACTCTCAATTCTCCGCGACCGAATTTGCCGTTTTCATGCCTGGCCTTCAAATCTTCTACTGCAGGCAGAATATTACCAAAACAATTTTGATGCTTCGAACCCAGTCAAAAGATAAAAAAAAATGTGGATCTTATGGTTTAGTTGAGCAGTGGTCGGCAAACTTTACGTACTTGCGGCCCAAATATACATATTTCCGGTAGCGCGCGGGCCGCATTATTTCATCGTCTACGAACAATCGCCGCATTAAACTTCAAATTATGGCCTGTCACAACGATGGGACGTTCATCAAGTAAATGGCATAGAACTGACGCTACTTATAACGAAACAAGTGCCGTACAGCAGCACTTGTTACCACATAAATCCGGGTGGAGGCAATAATAAATTTAGGATCAATTTTTGTTTTATGCATTAAAAGACGGGTTGTTTGCGGGCCGCAAAAATTATGTCGCGGGCCGCAAAAAATTAGTTCACGTGCGCATTTGGCCCGCGGGCCGCAGTTTGCCGATTACTGAGTTAGAGTAATAAATCTTCTCCTCGATTTTGTAAGATCTTGGATCTCAATTTGTGTTTTTGTTTGGATTATTTTGATCCTACGGGGCTTACTTGCTTCCAGCTACTGAACTGCATCAAAAGTCTATAACTATATATATATGTATGTGCATTTTTGCGTTTGTTGTTATTTTTACTTGTCCATCTCTGTCTAAAATCCTACATCATATATTGGTTAATGTTAAATATTAAAAGTCGATATTTGTTCAAAATTGGAAAATGCCACCAACATAATCAAATGAAATATTCGAAATTCTTGAGCACAATGTTGAAACCCAGAAAAAAATCATTAAAGCTACCGTAAAAATATGAAAAACTTTCATGTATTAGCAGATAAACACTCAGACCTAACGTATCCCATACTGCAGCGTGAACTGTTTGGGTAGTTTTTCCACCTTACTATATAAAAGTTACTATATATATAATATGTATCGTTGTATATTTATAATGCTTTTAAGAATTCATAGTTTGTTAATCAGTCTTTTTCATTTATTCTCCACAAATCTTTTCGTTCTTTACATTGTGCCGTAAACAAAATATCGTCAGGCTAATAACCGAGTTTTGAGTTTTTTTTATAAAATAAGTATTTATCTAATGCTGCGCACCTGTCTGTTAACTCTTATTTTATCTTAAGAATAAAGATTGAGATTTTGTATGACATGCAAATTTGTTCAATTGTTTCGTCATCATGAATTTTCATTGTTAACGCAGAACTATTGTGACGTCACAAAGGCGAAATAACTTCGGCGAAGGATTTTCGAGTTTTTGCATCTCAGATTCTAGTTTAGCGCTTATAAATTTGAATTTATACTACAGTATAGAAAGGCGTGCACTTGTGATATTCACTGTCTGAGTCCAATTCACATTGTTCGGCTACTATATAAGGGTACATTGCTGTTTTATTCTTTATATTTAATCTTAGTCGTTTTTCGGTGGGTGTGCAGACCGTGTTATATTGATGAAATATATATTTTTAAACATAAAAAATAATGTAATTGAAACTGATTAGCTATTTGGGGATTAGACATTGTAGATACTGAGAATTACATTCGTGTTTGGAATGTTTAGTTTTCAGGAGTGGTGCATATAGTAAATTTGCAAAATTGCGTATGTCCCCAAGTCATAGACACATTTCTGCCTAAGTCACAGTGCGCCATTATGACGTCACTTAACTGCGTCATACAAATTAACTTAAATCCGGCTACAATCAAAAAATTGATCCATGGCAAATTATTGACACTCAATGGCATAACAATATCATTAGGAAGTTTTTTACGTTTTTCTCAAAACTGCTAAAAAAGCCTTACGCAATTCGGTTATTAGCGTGACGATATACTATTCAAATTACATAACAATGTGGGAATTTTTACTTTCACAACGGTTACCCAATGATTTTGAAGATATTCTGACCATCAATGAACGAAAACAGTTATTTCGACAGATGATGTAATGTGAACATGTTTGTGTGATAAATTGTTGTGCAAGAAACCTCAGTTAAATAAGAAGACTTGAGTTAAGAACTTGAAATCAACATAAGAAAGTTAGCATTTCCTTATGCTCTTGTTAAATCCGTTACTTTAGGCCTCATATTCGTATGGATTTGATTTTGATCAATCCGAATGGCAGAACGATCCAATTATTGATTACTGTATCCGAGGAAAATCCGATTCACACATCGGCCATTATCCGCAACCAGCAAGCATACAAAATATACGGATTTACTTGCATTGTAGAGCGCGATCCGGGGGAGCTGTTCGACGGGCAGTGAAACGCAAGTTTCGGTATAGGGAAATTTTACACGTACGCTATTTATCGTGCGTAAGGTTTGATCGTGTATATTAGTGAGTGTTTCCGTGAGCATCATAGGACGACGGTAACAGAATTATATTGTTTAACGTGGGTACAAGAGAAGGCTGTTCGAACTTTTTCACCACAATACGGACTGCTGAAGAGAGTGAAATGTAGATAATATATGATATGCAAATAATGTAGGACTCTGCTCAGCTTTAAAATAGTCTTGCTCAGTAAAAACAACATTTGCGCAGTGTGAAATTTTCTTACAGGGAACACAGGTTATCAAGGAAGCAAATATAAGGTATGAGTGAACCTTTCTGTGTAAATATCAATCTCGTCTGGAAGCCCTTCTAACGTTTGTTACTTTCGAGGCTTAGAGGTCTTATTATAGGAGGTATGGACCCTGATACGCAAGATATACTTGCAGATGTGAGAGATGCAGACGAAGCAGGAGAAAAAGAAAATGTGTTCTTTTTATATGTTGCTACACCAAAAAAACCGCCTTCAGCACTACACAAAAAAGTCATTGAGCCCTTTCTGAGATCGAAAGGTTGGAGGAAAGTCAGCTATAGAAACACAGGCTTCAGGTGAAATCATGTTGTTAATACTTCCGTATCTGAAGAATAATATAATGCAACAACTATTGAATAATAAATGATCTCATATATAGCCGCGGTAGAAGGTAGGAGGCTTTGTATCAATCTAAGAGCAGCCGATTGCTGGTTCTGTTATTCTTTTATTTACTGTGTTCTATAATTTATATCCTATTTGCAATTGAAATCATACTTCATTTAAAGTTCCATTCATAGACATAGACGTTCTTGTTGACACAATCATTCAACGTCTCCATTATACAACATACAGAGAATAATGGAGCTTATGAGTAAACGGAAACGGCATTAAATGATTGCGAGAGAACCCGCACCGACCCTGACGAGTTAAATCGAAATACATAGTAAACTAAATATCGCAAAAAAGTCTTATTGACTTTTGATAATAAAACTGTATTGATATGAAATCTAGATCTCGTGGTTTCTGTAACATTGCAAACTTTCATACGCACGTGTTTAGTTCAAAGTAATTTTTAATACAACCTATATATATGTGTCGCTATCCAAGCTCCTATAGCATATAAATATCCAGGCAACAACTCATTAGTATATTAAATCATTATATATATATCTATAACTGAAACAAAATCGCCTCACATTGATACCGTTGCACAATATGCAGGTGGCAGATAAATTAAAGTTAGGAACAGAAATTAACGCAAATTTGGACGTAAAAATTTGCCACTTTGAGTGTCTATCCGATACGACTCCAAGTGTCCACATATGCGAAGGCGCGAAATCATGAGTTTGGAAACTCTGAGACAAAATATTCCGAAAAACTCTCAATTCTCCGCGACCGAATTTGCCGTTTTCATGCCTGGCCTTCAAATCTTCTACTGCAGGCAGAATATTACCAAAACAATTTTGATGCTTCGAACCCAGTCAAAAGATAAAAAAAAATGTGGATCTTATGGTTTAGTTGAGCAGTGGTCGGCAAACTTTACGTACTTGCGGCCCAAATATACATATTTCCGGTAGCGCGCGGGCCGCATTATTTCATCGTCTACGAACAATCGCCGCATTAAACTTCAAATTATGGCCTGTCACAACGATGGGACGTTCATCAAGTAAATGGCATAGAACTGACGCTACTTATAACGAAACAAGTGCCGTACAGCAGCACTTGTTACCACATAAATCCGGGTGGAGGCAATAATAAATTTAGGATCAATTTTTGTTTTATGCATTAAAAGACGGGTTGTTTGCGGGCCGCAAAAATTATGTCGCGGGCCGCAAAAAATTAGTTCACGTGCGCATTTGGCCCGCGGGCCGCAGTTTGCCGATTACTGAGTTAGAGTAATAAATCTTCTCCTCGATTTTGTAAGATCTTGGATCTCAATTTAAGTTTTTGTTTGGATTATTTTGATCCTACGGGGCTTACTTGCTTCCAGCTACTGAACTGCATCAAAAGTCTATAACTATATGTATATATGTATGTGCATTTTTGCGTTTGTTGTTATTTTTACTTGTCCATCTCTGTCTAAAATCCTACATCATATATTGGTTAATGTAGTTTATTCAAGTACACATGCAAAAATGTTTTTTTTTCTCCACACAGAGCACTTTACTTTTTAAGAAGAAGACAGGAAATCCCATTAGCTGTGGAACAAAACAGCAATCGTGATCAGTCTGTTTCTGACATAATAGACCTCGTATCGGATGAAAGCGATTCTGATGACGGACCAAGTAGTTCTCAAAGTCGAAATACAACCTTGAGAAAGAATACGCAAATTCGTCAACAAAACTTTTCACAATTCGACTCCCAACCCAACGATGATTCACAAGCTATAATTGCAACTCAAAAAGCCACGAATCACCGCACTGAACTAAAGAAAGTCATCGAAGATTATAAGACACAACATGGTCTAACTTTCCATGTTCATATAGTTCTTTCTAGACCGATCGACTACGAGGTAGATTTTGTGGAGCTCGCGAGTCAGTCGGGTTCTTTAGAGCCGTAAAATATTAAAAGTCGATATTTGTGCAAAATTGGAAAATGCCACCAACATAATCAAATGGAATATTCGAAATTCTTGAGAACAATGTTGAAACCCAGAAAAAAATCATTAAAGCTCCCGTAAATATATGAAAAACTTTCATGTATTAGCAGATAAACACTCAGACCTAACGTATCCTATACTGCAGCGTAAACTGTTTGGGTAGTTTTTCTACCTTACTATATAAAAGTTACTATATATATAATATGTACCGTTGTATATTTATAATGCTTTTAAAAATTCATAGTTTGTTAATCAGCCTTTTTCATTTATTCTCCACAAATCTTTTGGTTCTTTACATTGTGCCGTAAACAAAATATCGTCAGGCTAATAACCGAGTTTTGAGTTTTTTTTATAAAATAGGTATTTATCTAATGCTGCGCACCTGTCTGTTAACTCAGATTTTATCTTAAGAATTTCAAAACCCATAAAGATTGAGATTTTGTATGACATGCAAATTTGTTCAATTGTTTCGTCACCATGAATTTTCATTGTTAACGCAGAACTATTGTGACGTCACTAAGGCGAAATAACTTCGGCGAAGGATTTTCGAGTTTTTGCATCTCAGATTCTAGTTTAGCGCTTATAAATTTGAATTTATACTACAGTATAGGAAGGCGTGCACTTGTGATATTCACTGTCTGAGTCCAATTCACATTGTTCGGCTACTATATAGGGGGACATTGCTGTTTTATTCTTTATATTTAATCTTAGTCCTATTTCGGTGGGTGTGCAGACCGTGTTATAGTGATGAAATATATATTTTCAAACATAAAAAATAATGTAATTGAAACAGATTAGCTATTTTGGGGATTAGACATCGTAGATACTAAGAATTATATTCGTTTTTGGATTGTTTGGTTTTCAGGACTGCTGCATATAGTCAAGTTGCAAAAATGCGTATGTCCCCAAGTCATAGACACATTTCTGCCTAAGTCACAGTGCGCCATTATGACGTCATATGACTGCGTCATACAAATTAACTTATTTCCGGCTACGATCAAATAATTGAATTATGGCAAATTATTGACTCTCAATGGCATAGCAATATCATTAGAAAGTTTTTTACGTTTTTCTCAAAACTGCTAAAAATGACTTACGCAATTCGGTTATTAGCGTGACGATATTGTGTTCAAATATTGTGTGTCGTCGTCATTTTTTTTATTTTTCCATTCGCGGTCTCGAACTGTAAGTGGAATGAGATCGAGTCACTCGAAAGCATTTGAATGGATAATGCTGTGTAGTATAAAACTCAATGAATCAATCAATATTTATATGTTATATACTGTTTCTATAACATGGTTTTAAAACTGTGTACCGTGACAGATTTACAGGTATGCTGTGGAGCTTTTTGAATTAACAAAAATTAATTGTATTGCGGATTAAACGTATTATTATTTATCCATATTGTGGACTATTTTATTCTATCCTCTTATATTAAGTGTTTTTTTGAACTGACCCCAGTTTAACAAATATTTTAACGTCGTATCGTCGACATCGCTCGTTTTTTTCATCATTTTCCTAACTCTGAATTTATTTGCAGAAAAATTGATAATCCATGGCACAAAAATGTTCAGACAATGCTCGTTCACACAATAGCACCATCGACGTCAGTACTCCATCACCGAAAAGTCGAAACTTGGTCATTTATACTTTCTGAGAATGTCCTTGGTCTCATGAGAAGCAAGTATTTCTATGTAGGATCAAAGCACTTCTTACAGCCTTCAGCTGCTGATTCTGAATATTCGTTTCGAAAAATGACTGTTTGGGGACAAATTGTTGTTTTTCTTATACTATACTAGAACAATCCTTTTCAATTTTTCTGAACCATTTGAAGCCATTAATTTTGCTGAACTTGGCGTATATCCTATATTCCCAGGAATCAGGACAGTGTTCTTTCCTTTAATAAACCATTATCCGCAATACCTGTACGTTAATTTTTCAATTATCTTATACCTTATGGATGTTCTGTTTTATACATCATACAGTTTGACTTGGTCATCGGTGACCGTCAACACCAATTTTCAATTATCTTATACCTTATGGATGTTCTGTTTTATACATCATACAGTCTGACTTGGTCATCGGTGACCGTCAACACCAATTTTCCATCACCGTGCTCCATTTCACATCAATAATCAAGTTGTTTGAGTTTAATGATTTGATTTTTGAGTGTTTCCATATTATTCTTAATATGTACAACTAATTCCAATTACACCAAAGTCTTTCAGTGGATGTCCAGGTTGGATAAAGTGAACACCAACGACCAGGTCTCTGTTTTTCGATTTAATACTTCTAATATATTATGATCTGAGATCCGATATTTCAGATGCCTTCCTGTTTCGTCAATATACTGTATGCCACATTTGTTACAGCTTATCAAGTAGCCGACTTTTCCCGCGTTGCACGCTATTTTTTGATTCATTTTTAGTTGAATAGTTTTGTGTTTGTTTGTCGCTACTTTACTCTCTTTAGAATGTTCGCAGGTACTGCATGACTGTCTTCCGCATAAAAAGAAAACTGGATTGTAGCTGACATGTGCTGGCTTCAGCTTGGCTCTAACTAGCCTGCCTCTGAGTGTAGGGCATTTTCGGTGAGCTAATTCAGGTGGATTTGAAAAAAAATTCAATCTCTCGTTGTTGTTTAAAACGTATTAGTAATTTTTTCGAAAATTTGGTTGGGTTGGGTGATGGATTCTAATGAAAGGAAGCAAGGTTTCGTTTTTACTTACCATGTTGGGTAGTAAAAAAAAAGTTTTTTATCTAATTCTCTCACAAACTGCAAAGCATTGTCAATAAGATTTTTTTTTAATATCACCTCATAAAGTATCGTTCCATTATTTCCGCACGCTTGTCGAAAAACTCGGTAGTTGAACAAGCTCTTCTTATTCTGATGTAAAGGATTTGGGGGATATTTTTCGTCGCATGTTTAGGATGACAGAAAGATGGCGGTATTGTATAGGTATTTATGTGAATCTGTTTCTTTGCTAAAAAAATTCAGTTTCTAATTTGTTCTTAATGATGTAAACTTTGACATCCAAAAACGTGATACTATTCGGTGAGTATTCGAAAGTCAACTTGATGGTCGGATGTCATGAATTTGCTAGCTAGGGTAACAAATTCTAAAAGTTTCTCTTTACCATGCGTCCGAATCATGAAACAGTCGTCAATAAAGCGGCAATAATACTGTGGTTTGAAAAAGGTTTTCCTAATAATTTAGACTCCAGATCTGCCATGACAATATCATTATATTTCAGTACCAACTTGGTTCCCATCGCCTTTCCTTGAATTTGAAGGTAATATTTCTCATCAAAAACAAAGTTGTTGTTTGTAAGAACCAAGGCAGCAGCTTCTGTTATGCAAGATATTTCTCACCTATTAATTTTATATCTTTAGATAGATATCTTTCCATTACTGCTGTACCGTCATCGTGGGGGATATTGTGCACTGTACATCGATACCACATTCATGCTCACTAATAAAGATTTCTGTTGGATTGTCTTGATCTCTTTCAAATGATTCAAGAAATCCATCTCCAATGTATGAAGGTATTATTTCCTTACAAAAGAAGGGGATAAATTTATAGCCTACAAAAGCCAATAGTTTCTCTGTCGCGGTACCATTAGTTGGTATTAAAGGGAGGTGATATTTGTAAACGTCATTCCCGTTGCAGTTGACGAGTCAAGAATAGGTAAGAATCGAATACAGAAGTCTCGCGATAATGTTAACTTGTGCTATCGATAGGGTGTCTACGTAGAAACACAATCGATAAGTAAGTATTAAATGAGGAAATACACGGGCGAACATCATTTGCAAACACCCGAGCGTTAAAATTAAAGATAATGTACTGTAAATCAAATATTTCAATCAATTTAGTGCGCCTGAAATGAATGACTGTTTAACTATCCCAATACCTGATGAGGAGAGGTCGTTGTTCTCTATATCAGGGGTGTGCAACCTGTGGCCCACAACGAAAACTTGTGCGGCCCGCCGAGATGGGCCAATTTTGAATAGCGTGCGGCCCGTGAAGTTTTTAATTTAGTTTAATCTAGTACGTGCGAGTATAAACTCTTTATTCTCCACTGAATTCGAAATTTACGTTTAGCTTGACCTATTATTATTTTAGATAGTTTGATGATGTCATTCACGTCGCGTGCCATCTTTGCGCGATATCATAAAGGTTATTATTATAAGAGCAATTTTGAGCTTAACGAAAACTAACTTTCAGTGATATCTGCTCATAGCCCTGTAAAATAAACAAACGATATTAGACAAAATGGGTTAAACTTCGATTTCAACTTTTGCGTAGCAGATCAACGTAAAATATACCCTACATGTATAGTTATGCCTACTCCTGGAATCTTGTAATACTCTTTTGCTACTTAATAAATAGAATCATTGCAGCCAAATTCTCTTGACGGACTTGTGTACTTATTTCAATGACATATTACATGTCTCAAATGATTTGACTGCAACCCTGCAATAAAGCAGTTCAGGCGAGTTTCAAGCTGTCATCTTGTTTGGCTAATCTCTAAATTCTATTTCTCAGCTATATTTTGGCTTCTGATATCTTTGGTTATAATTAGATTGCCTTTCCGACTGGCAGCTCGATTCGTTTTCAACCGCTTTCATTGCAAAATAAAGTAACTCTTGCGATCGACCGAATAATCGTTCGTTTAGGTTTCTCCTGGTGACACGTCCAATTTGTAAATCTTTGCGAAGCTATATTTTGTGTGTTAGACCGACGTGAGAAAAATAGATTTTGGTGTTTACGAGCTTTGGGTAATATGAAAGCAAAATGAATGAAACTAGTTCAAATTGGCGTGCCGCACAAAATATTTTTTCCATCTAATACCCAACCTACGCTTGTCGTTGGACCCAGCCACGAATTCACATACAGGACTGATCATATTTCCAATATAATTGCAGAAAACATCTCGAAAAAAGACACTTAAATTTAAAAAGAAAACTAGGCAACGAAAGAGCCGAGTAACGTGCTTATAAAAAGTAAAATCAGATCTTAAAATATTAGCCTGGAACATCAACTGGCCGAATACGAACGAACACACTTATTCAACAACGTTTTGTTATCGGGCCGAGTCGATCTAGAAAGCCATTTTTGCCTTATAAAATATAAGAACAAAAAAATCAAATTTTAAACTAAACAAATTTAAATGAGCATGTATTGGTCATATACCCATACTGCTGAAATTACAATAAGGTATTGTTTGATAAATGGTTGAGTATGCTTCTGTTGGTTATTCGTAGCAAAAAAGCAGAGAAAATCGGAAAGTTTGCACAGGTTCTTGAATATGCTGGGAAAATTAAAGACTTGCGATTTAAGACTATAATATACTGCAGTGTTAGCATGCTGGCCAGTCCAGGGGCTTTGTAAGATGGCGCAGATAGCGATGTCGAATATAAATTACGGTAAATTTGGTATGCATATTAAAATCCGGCTTGCTCGAACCACCTAGTTTAATTAGGCTTACTATGACGGAGATAAAAAAAAAACGGCCCCGTATGAATACAAACATGAGTTTTTATATGGACAATCCTTCGTTTTATCACTTTACTTGTCTTACTTTAACGAACCTTCTCAAGGCCGTTTAAAATATATCACACCGCAAAGTTAAAATAACACTATAGTATAACTTAGTATCATTTACACGGTGAATTTAATAAATCGTTTATAACTATATCCATAAAAATCAAAAAGTTTGTTTTACTAAAATGAGGGAGACACAATCAGAATAGCAATTCTCATATATGTAACATGAATAATATTGTAAAATTAACTAGTCTGCTTTTGTGGGGATATTCGTAGAGCCCCTTGCGTTTGAGTCTTTAAAATTCGGAAAAACGAAACCTTCTACGGCAATAAAACCTAGATGAAAGGCGTTGACATAACTAACGATCAGTAAAATGAGCAAAAAATGAATGATAAATATAAAATAAATGCAAAAATGCGAAAAAGAAAAGTTAGATCATAGAGAAAAAGATGAATACGTTTGGTTCGTTTTATCATGCAAGCTTTATCAGACAGCAAACGCGGAATATTATTGAGTGAATTCCTTCTAGAAAGATTTACGTTGCTGTGTCATTCATGGGTGATAAACAAAATGGCAAGAAAGGTTATTGCACGGTATAAAAATTTGCATCCTAAAATTTTGCACATCAAAAATGATCAAATTTGATTGCATCAATGCGCTACCGCATTCTTCTAACCCATATTTAGATCATGAATGGCCAATAGATAAATAGGTTTCAAAGAGAATATTAGATTTTGCACATCAGCCATTTGAGAGGTTTTTTTGATATAAATTCGGTGCATTTGGAGAAAGTGTTTCTTCTTTTTGAGCGCTTAGGGCCAAGTTTAAGTGATGGCAACAACCACGACAAGATGCAAGGATTGGTCATTTCCCGCATCATGTGAACGTCCATCAACAATAACAGTTTAAGTCCCAGCAACAACAATTATTCAATTTTGGCTGATTTTGCACTCTAGTCTCAATAATACTTGTGGTGTTGCAAAATCTGTGTGAAGTGAGGACATTTCATTAAATGACGCCATTTTATGATCCTGACGCTGTCTCTGAATCGTAGCCGTTTTTCTCTACCTCTTGGACAAGGGGCTACGGTTACATGTAACATCACAGTTTTGTTATACCAACCACTACTAGATGCCCCACTTCACAAAATGCCATCTTCGATCAAGTCGTTGATCCGAGCTACTATTTTGTGCAAAGATTCTTTGTATGGTCCACTTGGTTCAAAAAGCTTTTCTAAAAAGTCGGTATCGCCGATTTGATCAAATATAGAGTTGATGCGACCCTTTGATTTTTCAGTAAGATGATTTGCCACGAGTTGCTGGAGTATTGCACGACCTTCGTTTATCTGTTTTGACAGAACGTATTTGTCAAATGTAAAGTCGACTTCCACAAAGCTGACCAGGGTCATAGCAGTTGTTTTGGTCTTTGATTGAAGTTTTTCAGCAAGCTTTCTTTCCGCTGCAGTGAACTGCTCGTTTTTATGAAGCACTGCTACTTTGATCATAACTTTAATTAAGTTGTGGTGGAGCTTATCGGAGTCTTTTTTTGAAGAATAATCCCGGCGAACTCTGAAAATATAAATACATATATGTATTATACAAATTGAACAACTGAATATCACGTAAAACTCACTATTGCAACGAATGAACCACAACAGACCAATAACGCAAAGATAACGCTGGTAAATTTGTATGCAAAAACTGCATGCGTATGTACGCCGATATTTGGCGGATGTCTCTTGTTTTCCAAAAAGTGCACACTGAATAGGATGCCACTTTCCGGGCTGACATGAGTCAGTTAGCAACCTGCCTTACAAATTATTATAAGCGAAATTTGATGTGGGTGTAGGTGTAGGTAATGAGTTATTTACCAATTAAACAAAGAACTGCGTTTAAATGTATTAAATGCAATTTTGCTTTTCCAGTAGAAAATTATGATAATCATTGTACCTTTGAATACATCAATAAATGTGAAATATATGCGGAGGTAAATTTGTAATATATAGGTGAAAAATGATTCATGACCAACGCAGAACTAAAATGGGTACGCTATGCAATATCATATAGAAAATAGTAATGAGTTTTATATATTAATAAGCGCCTTCAGTCAAGGTTAATTTAAACAAACGCCAATAACTGCATATTAAAAAAGCTGGGATACTCTTCTTTTCCTGGAAGTGTATCTTATAAGTCAGAAACGTACATACTTGTTAGCCATGATGTAGCTTAATAAGAACTATTTCACTCTGATTTTTAGAGCACATAATATGGATAAATTCATTCCGAGGTAACAAAATAATGCTGTAACGCAGTTATAATAACTCTGATTCGATTTTGTGTCATGACATTTGACGTTACATTGTAGCATGATACAATATGTGGAACATTATGAATATTGAACGCGACACATCATGTAGATCACATGTCACGACAAGATATATGGTAATACAACATGAAACTTTCAACAGGTTTACGCGAGTTATGAATTTAATAAATAATATAATATTATCACGTTTTGGAATATTGAAAATTCGCTTGTATCTGGAGACGTGAAAGATAAGAAGATCTTCCTATTTAAAAAAACATAATTGTATTGTGTAATTTTGAAAAAGACTCTCCCAAAATTTTGACAAGAGATGTTCAGCATTGCCCACTTCGTATACAGGGTGTTCTTTAAATCATATTTTAAATTAGAGGAAAATAACTTTGATGCTTTTGGAACAGCAAATGAATGGTGAGCATGTAAAGGCGTATTAAATGAGGTAGAAAAAATAGTAAACACTAATTAAAATTGTAAAAAATGGTAAAAATATACTGATAAATGACTTTATAACAAAATTTTGAAATTGTAACAAGACTTTATGAATATTCTATAATATTTAGGGAATGATGGCGCATTACTAAATTATAATTTATAATAAAATATAATTTTCCATATACTGTCGATATCTGAACATGATCAGTGACCCACAGTCATGTTGGTCGTATAAATTGATCACCTTATGTAAAATATAATGCGCATCGTTAACATATGACGACTTAAATGAAACCAATGTAATATTTCAGTCCGGTCTATTATATGATCGAATAATAACTCAAACAACCTTACTCTTGGATTCTAGTGGAAATCAATTTACGCGACAGACAATAAACTCAGATTGAAGACGTTGGATATTTCAGTGAAAAAAGAAATTGACTTCAGTATAGGTAAGGAAGTGAAACCCGGAAGATACCATTTTCCCCTGAAGAGTATGGGCATCTGCCAAAACGTTATAAATATTGAAGGGTGCATATCATCAGGCTAATAACCGAATTGCGTAAGTCTTTTTTTTGGCGGTTCTGAGTTTTTTATACAACAGTTATTTATGTAATGCTGCACGCCTGTCAGTTAATTCAGATTTCATCCCAAGGATTCCGAAACGTATCATGATGGAGATTTATGTGACGTGCACATTATTGCGATTGTTCCATAATAATAAATCTCACGAGACCATTGTGACGTCACAAATACAAAGTAGCATCGACGTGGTATTTTTCGAGTTTTTGCATCATATATTCTAGCTTAGTGTTTATAAATTTGAATTTACATTACACTACAAATTGAATTTACAAATTAATTTAAAATCCGGATACGACTAAAAATTGAACCATGGTAAATTATTTTCTCTAAATGGCATAACAAAATCATTAGGAAGTTTTTAACGTTTATCTCAAAATTGCTAAATAAGACTTACGCAATTTAGTTATTAGCGTGATGATATCCTAAGTTTGGCCTATCCCAGGTTCGACGGCCTAATTCAAATTCCACTATCTGTAAAGTTGAAGCGGTAAGAAATAATATTTGATGTGAGAAAATAAATTTCATCTTTTTTTATGATTGAGCCAGCAGCAATGAATAGTCACAAAATTTGCTTTGATTTAATTTGAAGCGGATACAATTTCATTGATGAAATATGTAATGATTCTGGACTAAATATCACCGTATTTTCGCACGACAATTCAACATGTTCGGAAAAGGTCATTTGTCACAATTTTCCATTCATACCAGTACAATCATACCTACGATGAAGTTTTGCTCCGGTACCATACTTAGTCGTATATAGAAAGAACATACCTTACTCTTAATTATGTAAAACTCTAATGCGCATGCGCAAGAAAAAAGTGACGTAGAGGAAATGCGCAGTCATTTTGGTGATCCACGAGTAAGCCATAAAGATACCAAGTATTAGACGGGGAATCGATAACGCGTTCTAAATGATGCACGCATTAGCAAGTAAACATGCAATATGGTTGGGTTAATGATATCAAACATTTTCAGCATCACTTGTCCGAAATGGTCGATATATGCCAAATCGAATGCGGTCGAATCATATTGATAGGCTGACCGATTGGTAAGGAAACAAAGAACATGTTCAGCGACTGCCGTGTTCTTAATCCAAACTTAAATTTAACAATGCAAACCCTTCAAAACATAAATGAATTTTAATAAGTCACGCGGAGATGTATTCTTTAAAATCATTATGATCAAACAAAAGTTTCGGCCCGACGTTGACCGTTATGTTTTAGGCGCCAACCTCCTTCTGGGTGGTCAAGAAACCTCAATACCAAATTACCATTTCAAAGTCAAAATAAGACTAAATATTGGTCTTATTAGCATAGACAAGTTCCATTGTTTCAACAATGAATATCGAATGTATTGTCCATATTAACAAATCTAGCCGGATTATATAAATATTAATAAATACATTTCTCCAATAATATTCTATTTGAGTCGCCAAATCCATGTTGAAAATTAGTATTTCATTTGCATAATAAATTGAGTACATACAAACCACTGAACCACCGTGTTATTACATGATGAGTCCCACATTAACCAAAATTTTCAGTGACATAAATTCTGGACGAATGAACTCATTTTTATCGTAGTAAAACATACAAATCCCATGAGGCGGTGATCTTGTAGTTGAGTGACAAGCATAGTAATTTTTTATAAAGTGATCGGTGGGAAACAATTTAAAAAGAAATCGTGGCAATTATTCTATGAAAGTTTTACCAACATGAGCGGATGGTCCTATAATATTAGATTGAAAAAAACTGCAATTAATTAAATCAATAACATTTCCATCCATACAAAAACCAGCGTCGATTCTAATAGTAAGATATATCTCAATTTTTTACACTAGGGCTTTTGCGGTAGATGTTTGCGGTTTTTGCGATATTATACAGACTTGGTGTTAAATATAAGCGATGACGGCCATCTTACACTACATTAAATGACTGTTTCATTGTGATAGATTGCTTTTCAGGTTCATTTTATCCAGTATATCCATACGACATAAGAATACAAGAACTCACACTTTCAAGGGAACCATCAAACACAATTTCACTGACTGATCAGTCGATTTTAGAACGAACAACGTTGGTCATAAATTGGTATAGATTTCGTTGCCTATACAACTCGGTCATAATAGTGAATTACATATAATGCGAGTACAAGGAATTTTTAACATTACAGATAACTAAGCGGTGTTGATCAGATCTCAATAATAACCTTATTACAAATTACCTCGTGTTCTAAGTGGGTGTATACGTTTATATCTCTCTTCAATTTAAAATTTATATACTGCATTACGCTTCTATTTGAATGATGGCCACGCCACGACAAGTATTATTATAATATTCAAGTTATAGTAATCTTTCGAAATATTCAACTTCGCATTTATTATTTCAAATACACCATGACGAAATATATTCTTATAATGTTCAATCGCCGCATTTCTAGAATTTTCTGTCAATGTATTTTTCGAATGATTCAGAACTCATCTTGGTTAACAGTGAAAAAAGGTGATAATCATGCTCGTTCTTATATGTGGTCCTAATTAGAATTATGTATAATGTAGTCAAAAAGGTCACGTAGTCCAGTGTACTTTTACACAAAGTCATTTTGATTGACATGGATAAGAGATACGCCAAGTCGTGTAAGCATGTAATATGAAGTCACCCAAAGTCACCGACTAGCCAACACCATTATAAACTAATTGTACTGTCTTAATAAGACAGAATTTTTCAATTTATTTTCACACATAAAAGTGAGACAATAGATATACGTTTTCTATATTGTTCTATGCGTTTTCAAATCTATTCGAAAACAACACGATTCTTAAAGTATGAAAGCGTTAGACTAAAATATCGCCAAATACAATTTATTAACCCATGCTTAGCTGAAACGATTGACCGGAAGTTCCTAATCGTGTTTGAAACTGGGAATTTCATGTCTGAGAGTTTTAGGAATGCAGTATATGAAAAACTGGTGATATTTTTGCCAACGATTCTTTTGTTTTACTAATTCAATTTCATAATAAGATTATGAAAATAAAATGACCAATTAAATTAACAGAAAATGTCATTTTTTGATATTTCCACACGGTCCGAACGTTGAAACGAAACCTATGTGTATATATATATTATTATCAAATGTAATTCCTTATAATGAATTATTTATTTCGGCGGTAATACAACAAACAAAACAAAAATGTTCATTTAACTGACTCACATATATCTGTTAAAACTAACGCTCTGAGGGATAAAATTACATACTTCAATTAAAGTTTGAACATTTGTCAAAGCCTAATTACCTCACAAATGGGCGAAGGGCGTTTGAAACGGGATATCACATTTGTTTTGGCTAGACCTCTAAGGTATTAATATATTATCTTGATATTAAACTTTGATAAAAATGACTAACGGCGTTTGTAATAACACTTTATTCCCAGAAGAATAAAGACATCGCGTCAAAACTAAATCCGCTACGCTGAAAGCAATTACATTTTCATTTAGCCAAAGAAAATAATTGCTACTTCATAGCAGTTATTCGCCACTAATTGTCTAAAAGTGGAAACTGCGTGAATAGTCGTGTGTGATGGTTAAAATTACCTATTTATTTAGTGATCGACATCAGGTAATTGTACGAAGTCAATTCTGAAAACCATACTGGATGCAGAAAAATTACAATAGCGTCACGAAAGTTAGCTTTGACCATATCCGTGTACCCCACTAAACATTCAAAAAACTTCATTGGAAGCTAACAAACACATACATACAATATGCGCGAAAACAGACGACATTACGACATTAAAAATTCATTAGGAAATCAAACTACAAACTAATTAAAAGTCATTGTGCTAATCTGATTACGTTAACTTATACGGCATCGAAAAGTATACGGTTCAATTGGAGCTCAATCAACTGTACACAAAAGCAAATGCATGTTACTGTTTATATAAAATTGGACACCTACTTTCCGAATTCATCCAGAAGTTCAGCGGTTTTGTCGTCAATCAGGAGCCTTGTTAAATTTTTCGACGCCATCTTCCCAAGAATCTTTTTCTGCGCTTTAAGCGCAAGATCTTTACTCTTAACTACGTCATCTCCCATACTTGCGTCAGGCATGAATCCTTATGATGGAATAACTTGCAAAAATTGTCACCAGGTTATTTCCTTGGTCTTAAAAAGGGCAAGCTTTTTCTGTTGAATACGTTCGCCGGCTGTAGTCTGATTGGTCGTTACCGATGTGTACAATGACAAAGTACAGGTAATTATAGGCAATCAGATAATGCCGTATGTTTTCAGCCCTAGCGTACACGGCAACAACACTCAGTAGTGCTGGACTATACAATATATTACCTCTAGAAAACAAAGAATATTCCAAATTTATAATATTTTAAGACACATAGTATATCATTAAATAGAATTGTGCTTTTAGCATAAAACAAGTACAGGGCAAAAACATGTAATTATGACAAAACAATTTCAATAACAAAAGCCCCACTTAACCCTCTGTATTTTATTGGGATACAATAGGTCTGTTGAGATAGAGCAAAGACAATGTGCGAAAGAGCATTCTTTAATTCACAACTGTATTTGTTGAATCAACATTTAATTTTTTAAGTAAATGACAAATCAACACCAATTGATGTATATTCCCCTTTATACCAGGAATCTCGATTCATGAATATTCTAATCAACTACGTTTCACATATGCCCTAAGCCTAGCCAAGCACATATCATAAGAATTCCATCCATCTATATAATATGCATTGAATCAGTTTGTCGCTCAAATAGGTTCCTGCAAGCTGTTGTTGTCAAGTTAGTTACAATAACATATGCATATACAAGAACAATCACAAAAATCCACCGACATACATTACAATCACAAAAATCCCTGAAGTACAACGAAAAAATATAAACGAAATTTCGGCCAACATTTGGTGCCAGAATACAACGCTTTACCACATCATAAAAGAATGAGCATACGTACGACTCTTTCAAGCAAGAATAGAATATTAACTATATATGCCAGATGCCCCGGTCCATGTTTGGTCACTATGAAATCCGTTGGGAATGAAATGTATCAATAACTTTTAGTTAAAAAGACAGACTGGCTAATTTAATAGACGTGACTAAAATCATGCGGGATTTGGAATTGCATTGATTGATCTACTAGCCTTGCGTCTGTTATTTCAAACGAAGAAAACAATTAGGAAGCAAAATACTGTATACAGCTTTTTATAGTTAACCATATTTCAGCTGTATGGCCTACCCTGGCCTGGACTATTTATTTGTGAATAAATGTATTCGTGAAAATAACAGATCCAAATGGACGGTCTATCATGTTCATATACAAATAGACGTTCATTTCGTCTCTATAAAGTCTAGCAACTTTGCATAATTTAAGCCCAAAATAAATATAATGTTAAATTTAGGTATTTGAACGTCCCGCACACATAAATCTGTTTCCGATAAGTTGTTTGCATAAAGGATGCCAGTTTTGCTAATACAAAATACACAAAGAACCTTGCGGAAAAAGTTCATCGATAAATAACCAAGGATGACAGACTTGAGTTATGGACTGAAAGTCTGGAACAGTTGAAAGAGAAGGTATGTGTAATTAAACGATGTTCGTTTCCTGTCGCGGTTATGAATAAAGCAGCTATCAACTATTCACTGTTTGAAAAACTAAAATTGAACAATACGGCGAAGGCAAAATGGCATGTGATGTCAGTGCATTTCCTGCCATCGCACAGTCAGATTACAGGTAATTTAAATTGCATTCTCCCTGTCACTATGTAAATGAGGTACCTTTCAAACAATATAATTTAAATTTATTTCATAAGGTAAAAATACGGAGGACTTGAAAAATTAACAAAAGTAGCCAGTGAAAACCTCATAGTCATCTATCATACTCTCTGTATGTTCTTTTCTATGTCACAGCTCGCTAAAAGGATACTCTCTACGCGCAAATACTACGTCTGTCAAGTTCGTGTTAACGCCGTAACAAACGGTATCGGCATGTAATCTATAAAATGTAGGATTGCTCTTGCTGTGGTTTTTGACATCATAAATTAGGCACAATGCGCTGCCTGAGGCTTATTCTGGGAATGTAGCGAAAATGACGCTTTCTGCAGTTTCTGAGTATGCCCTAATCCAGCGACAGTGGGCCTAATTTGTCTACTTCATTGCGGACGGTACTTTTCCCTTTTGCAATCTGTCCAGTCTGCTTCGTGATTGTTTATCAAGCGTATCAGCCACTTAGACGATGCCATATGATGTGTTAATTACACTGATAAGACGGGAGCTGCACAGTGGCCTGTTATGATGTAATTGACAACTGGATGGCGTTATCAGCCTCGTCGCCCTTTGTTTATTTATTTATTGTCATAACGGCCATGCTCGTAAACTGTTAACCCTGATGCTCTTCATCGACATACAAAAGTTTGGCTCAAACAATAACTAACAGCAGAACAAAAGAAAGAGCGAATGAAGGTGCGAATTTTCACACCGAAGACTCACAAACATCACAGACGGACACTAAAACGAGCAAGGAATATTTGTTGTTTCTGTTACGCATTCGTGCTGCCTCACGATTCTTTACCAAATTGCTCGTCCACGTTTTGTTTCTTTTATTATCCGATTGGTGGCAATATGTGCCATGCTGAAATGCATGCGATGACGACCAGCTTCCTATTTCGTGTTCCCTCGTCAGTATGCTTCCTAACCTCATAACCAAAACGATTTCGAAAATCAGTAAGATATTCACGTTATGGTACAATCCAAAAACACTTACGCTTATGGACGTGGACACAGTCTTCATCAAAAAAAGGTTTGTAGGAGCCCAATCAAATGGTTTTATCTTAGTTGAGAACAATGCGAAATTCAGACATAATGCGCAACAGAAGACTGCACTCATTATAAGTAAATGCAATCTGCTCGCTATATCTTTTACGGCATAGTATCATGATTTTCCGTGCAACATCATTGTGGTAACCGCGTAATAATTTCACTTTACTATTGTTACTTTAAATATTGTCACAGCCGTAACATCAAATCTTATCCGAGGTAAAATAAATTCGCAAGGAATGGCATAAGAGAGCCGCATGATTAAACCCAATGCAAGTTTTGCGCAATGCGTATATTTAGATACATAAAATTTGTATGCAAGTTTTTTAACCCGACTCAATGTTGTTTCAACAATTACAGGTCACGCGGGGCTACTGTGCCCTTTTCACTCGTTTGAATTTTCTCTTAGTCATTCTTATTATAATGTTTAATTAAATTCGGCCTAACAACACTGCTGAAGAATTTCCCCTGAACAGTATCAAATTATAAATATCGCTGGCATCAGTTTTCACCGGACATTCGAAAACAAGTGACTGAAAATCCAACTACATACATTTTTATAAAGAAACTTTTGCTACAGAAAAGTACTTATAATCGTTATCCATTCCGGCTACTTTATATTGACATAGCTCCTCTCTCATACTTTTCAAACATATTTGAAACAATGCAACATTTCCGTCTTAAAAATGTTATATTAATATTTGGCAACATTAATAAATCAGGCGAAAACAATTACGTCATTTCATCATGAAATTACGTCACAATATTGATGAACATCCACGCGTAATAGTGTACGAGTCATGGATTATGGTTCTTCTCTAAGTTTTTTTTTGCGATTCAAAAATGATTTGCATATATTAGTACAAGTAATTGACCTAATATGAATGATAATATAATAAGGAAGTAAAGCAATACCATAAGATGATAAATAAATTACTAATTCTCATAACTGCAGAATCCACACATTTTATATACGATATTTGAAATGACGAAATATTCAAGGATTACTTTTAGAGTATCAATTAAATTTAAAGTTTCGAAATATCTTACACTGTATACTTTTACCGATTCCGAAATACAAATCTTAAATTTCTTTCCAGAAAAATGCTGGCCAAACAGGCCAAATCACGTCCTCGTACACCATCCACATTGTGGTTTAGCACTTATAACGTGTTTCCTGGATTGAATTTCCATTTTCTATATTATTCTGCGATCCAACAGAACATGAATACATCTCGAAAGGCTGTGAGTTCTAAGCGGAAGAAGGAAGTTGAAACTGAGTCTTTGCGATTTGAGATGTTCGCCACAATCCTATTCACATTCTGTTCACATGATATGTTTTGATTTTCAGTTACCGTATATTCAACATTGTTTAAAAGGGTGGCCGAAAAAGTATATTGTTGTGTTTATCGTCCTTTCTGCACTCAATATTTTATAGCAGTGAGCAATTCATAAAAAGTCCTATCTAAATGCATGTCGTATTGTAAAAATAAACTTCACTAGCACTCAATTATCTACATATCGTCGCTCAGTTTTTGTGTCTAAAATCGAGAGACTAAGTTATAACAGCCAGAAAGATGTAACGAAGCTGTCCGTTCTTTGTGACTGCTACATCGAAACTTCTTCAAAGAAAAAGAATTTGTTTGGTGCCATATATTTCTTCTTTAATTAAGATTGGACCAGTGATCTCAATCGCACACCTGAGATACGCACAATATTTGAGCCACGTTTAATCGAACGAAGTTGATCGACTATATGGCAGGAAGTAGTGACAGCAACCACGCTCCTGACGCACGATTTCTGTTATTTTCGCTTTGGCTTATGGCATGTATTGAAAGGGAGATTCCATTTGATACACAATCTTTAGAACTTTCATCACAAAGAATAAATAGTTTTCACTATCTTGCAAAGTATTTCAAACAACACCAATTGCCAAAGAGTGTCTTTGAATGCATGAATAAAAACAAAGAACCTTTATATACTAAACAAGACTTTCCTATTCACATTGATGCAATTCAAACCGTTCTAGTTCAGTATTTCAAAAATATAGCTCTAACTAACAGTGCTGGCTATGTTATCTTGTAAGTTTATTATTTACTCTGATGAAATCTAAGCCAAATTACCGGGCCGGATAAATAAAACACGATAAATTCCAAACAGATCACCGACATTCCTATCGCCAAATGCCATGGGTATTTAGTGTGTGGTCGATTGCAACTCGTGCAAATATAAAATCTGGCGAAACGTCGAATATAGTGGTGGAATTGCAAAATTATCCCGTCTGATAAATTCGTTAAATTTATTTTCAGTGTATCGACATGATTAAACGTAATTAGACTAACATAATACTCTACAATGGCAATTTGAGCCTATTATAAGGATTTTACCCTCCAACACCTCGGGGCATGAATAATTACATAATGGAAAGTTAGAAAAGTAGCCCACATTATATTAGGTATGTTCTCATGGACTGTGTCAATTCATACGACGTAAGGTGCGCTGGACTGATCTGTATTGTATGTTCATAGCTAGTATAGATATACTTGATACTGAATATAAAAGTATTTATTTACCCAATGATGTTTCGGAATAGATATCACAAACTATGCGGACACTAAGCACTCGATTCGACTAAAAATTAAATTACAAGTAAGCGATGTCTGTTTACTAACATACTATTGTATGTTTGTGACTTTGGATACAAAACGGATCAAATATGTACCGGTAAATGCATCAGATCTAGATTCTTTAGTTGATCCAATGCATCGATAAATAAGCGAGAATGCACTCACCATAAACATCACGGCTCATAAAATTGCAAATCTTACCCAGGACTAGAACATTTTATTGCATTATGGAGGAAGACTAAGCCGTTGAACCTTTATCATTTTAGGACTGAAGATTGAACATAAAATAGTGTCCAAAAATCATATTCATAGGAAAATCGGTATGCGACCTAAATCTATATGGCGGGGATCACATTGGCATTTGCGTCAAGTACTGTTCCGTGTTCATGATACTTGCCTATACAATGGAAATTAAAATATCCTTTATAAAGTTTTTTATTAATTCCACGACTATTTTTTCACAATATTATAATATGGACACCTCCATGTTTTGATCATTACTGCTTGGGGTATGCTATTTTCTAGATCAAAGTGTTTATAAAACCTATTTGACCTTTCAGGAGTTACAAGAAAAATTCAGATCAGTTTACTTGAGTTCAATAAAAAACATATATATATTAATTTATGCCTTATATATGTTGTGGGGGCGATAGCTGTATAATGTTCATGTAACAAATGATGATACACCTGACAATGACAGCTCGTTATTAATAATTAATCGGAAACACGTGCCCTTTCCTGTTTTTCGTGCAGACGCGCAATGTTATTTTGGTGGAAAAACTTCAAATATTGTTAAAAATAGAATATGCTTGCTCGCAGCGATAGATTAATATTGTTATTACTTATTTATTGCGAATGGGATTATAATTAAACAACAAAAATCTGATCGAAATTATTGAACAATTATAAAATTCTATCTTTTTAGGAATCCGTCTTAGGAATTGGAGCTGCAAAACATTTAAAAGTAAATAAATTATTAAAAATTACACAAAACACCAAACAATCGCCAACCACAAGTTTCGTTTGCCTTTGCCGGAAGTGTGGGAGGACGACTCAGAATTCCACTTGAGATGCTGGAAGAAACGAGATGGAAGAGCGCGTGCCCGCCGTGCTGAGACGACATGAACTTGAGAAAAATGAAACATCAGTAGCAGATGTTATTATTATTTTGACTAATTTAAAAGAAAAATAAGTTGAAATACTGATACGCACAAAAATTCGTTGTATATAACGTACACCAACTTCTTTTAAATGTATATTGACTTATGACTCGCGAAGCGACTGACGACTTGAAGATTTTTTTTAATTCAGCAATAACATATATATTTGTAAAAATTTTGATTTTTATGAAAATGCAACGTTTACAAAATTATCAAAATAAGTGTTGCCTGCAATTCCCTATTAAATTATTTGTGGATAATCTAAAAGATAGGATAATTTCTTTAATTAAATATGACCTATTCGATGAAATCTCAGTAATTCAAGAAAATTATGACATGATTCAAAGTTCTAAACCGTTCGCAGAATGCAAAACAACAAGCAGCAAGTGGTACACAATCCTAAAAAGTTTCAATCATGTGTGGTAATATTTTAAAAATAGTTCCATTTGTGCTTTCAGACCCAGGAACATTAACGTATATAAAACTTGACCAACAGTTATTGAAGTCGACGAAGAGCCAGTAAATAGTTTGTCTTTGTTTTTCTTCATATTTCGAGTTGGAGAGTTAATTAATTTAAAACTTGAGAATATATGTCACAGTATTCTTTATTGAAATTTGTCAAAATTGGCAACCCTTGGGACAAGTAATACAGGTGTGGGACACGTGTGGCAAGTGGGACACAACATTTTTGAGACACCCCCTTTATTACGCATAAGGGTTTATTTCAGTATCGAAGAATGATGTCAAAAGGTAAATCAATAATTTCAGACATTTTAACAAACATTCATAATTGTACGTGTGGGCAAGTGATACAAGTTAGGAACACGATATTTTTGATATACCTAGCATCAGGGGTGTGCAACATTTTTGTCGGTGGACCCTATAACCATCTTCAGAAATCTAGCTGGGACATATGAAAAATAATTAGTTGTTCCATGTACACAACGAATTAGAGTGATAACGGCATTGGGCAAAACGGCGGAATATATACCACAGCCGACAACAGCAAAGAACATTATATATTTATTTTTACCCATGTGAGCGCCTTTTAAAACAAACTGTCGGATTAGAATTTTGTGAATAATGGGAAAAATTTTGAGTGTTGACAAAGGCCACACTAAATGGCTTGACAGGCCGGGTTGTGGCAAGCGGACCACTGTTGCACACCCCTGCTTCACATTAAGGACAATCACAGAACTGTAAAACTTCGATTTGGAATCAATCGTTACCAATAGCGCAGTTTGAACACACCACGGACTACTTCCCCGCCATACAGTGCCGGGAAAGTACTTCAAATCGCATGAGGAATGAATTGGGGAGGAGTAGTGTGATGGGTCTGAACAAGAACGTTTGCGATAGGGAAACCTGAACTCTTCGTTGCGATCTTCAGGCAAGCCAGTCGTGTTCTCAAAGTCGAGTGTGGCGCAAAGTATCATCACAAGATATACAGCCGAGACAATCGATCAGTCATTCTCACCCACAAACTCAAAATCATTTAGTAGATTGCACGGAAACGCTCGTACACCTAACTCACTTTCATGCGTGGAGATGTTCTAGTTAGTGTATTAGATCATAGGTTCTCAAAGTGCTCCGTACGGAGCCCCAGGGCTCCGCGAGAGAAACCCAGGGGCTCCGCGAGCTATTCGATTACTTTTCAAAATACTGACTTGGCTAATTTTGTAATTGTTCAAAGAAGCAATAACAGCTTTAATAAAATTTGACAACAGTATAGCCACAAAATATGGCATATAGAGGCGGAATTCAAAAATTATTTATAAGCAGGAGCGCAGCCAGGATTTTTAAGAGGGAGGGGGTTTAGTATTGAAATCGGAAACTTCCGCGCAACATTCTTCTCGACTAAAAAAAAATTCTCAGCGGATAACGAGATTTCTGCTGCGTAAAATATTCAATCCATGATTGATGCGAGCATTTAAAATGTCTTATCATGATAATTTGATGGTACTCATCGTTACTCACGTTTGATTCGAGATTACTGAAATAAAAGTTTACTATTCTAAAATAACATAAAATACGTGATAAACTGTCAACTATAAATAAAATGTAATCGTATTTTGGGGATTTGTCAAATATGATTTGTTCTTTCGCACTCGAGATTATTTTTAAGTGAGATATCGCCGTTTCAAAAATCACCAGGTCGGCGTTTAAACTCAATGAGTACAATTTACAATTGTGCAGCCCATGACCGATGCGGGCATTTTGAAATGACTTGTTTATTGGTTTAATTGTGTTCAATGTAACCTGCAGTTGTGCCGACTCACGACAATAAAAATCATTACTTCTCAAATTACCACGACAATCCGCGGACATGAAATGAGAAACAATGAAACGAAGTTAAGTGAACGAAGTTCTTCTGGACTACCGTTTATCCTGAACGACGCTGTTATCATAAGATATTAGAAGCAAAGTCATATTGTCCACAAAAGAACACACCTACTACTGGTGCCAGTAGTTTGATAAGATATTTGTGCCCGTCCCGATTAAATCGTAATCATGACTGATAGAGTGGCAGATTATAGCGAATTCGACAAATTTGAGCCGTTTTTTCAACACTAACTCCGCCTCATCGCAGTTCTGCCACTCAGATTCTTTGCAAGATATCGCCGTTTAAAAATCACAACGTCTGGGCAAAATACGAACGATTGAAATTTATTTTATTGCAGGTACATCACATCACGCGCACAATTGACTGTGTTTCGATTTCAGTTACTACGATGGATAACCAAAGAAAACCTAACATAACACCAAATTTTGTGATTACAATGACTAAAAAAGCGTTTTTAATCTGTCACGAATCTGCAGAAACAAAATTTATAGTGGTATCTTTCGTTTTAAGTTTTAGTTTCAATATATATTTCATAATTCCGCTTTTCAATCAAGAAATTTGAGTTGCGGATTTACCTCATTTTTAATTAACATGTTTTTCACATTGAACTCATAATTCCCCACGAGAACAAAAAAGCAATTATTGTCGTCATTGTGGAACAGTACATGTATATGCCGAAGGAAATTTAGATGTAGGGAGGGAGAATAAACACAGACATTAGGATGTTTGGGGTTCGAAAAACACGTCACTCTGACGAAAACAATCGGCGGTTGTAACAAAATGCAATCGCGAACGTTTTTAGCGGCCTTTTAAGTCTTCCAAAAACACCAAAAGGGAAAAGATTAATTTAACCCCTAATTTATTAATATGTTTGTCAAGTGTAAAATTTACAGCCTTAATATGTATAATTTATCTTTGAAATTTAGATTTATTATGACTTGTATTAACCCTATTAAAAAAGGTTTAGCATTTAAATGAAGTATAGTACTTTTAACTTACTCAGTAATAGTAATCGGAAAGTAACAATTTTAAAATTCATTTTGGGGCTCCGTGAATAATAGTCAACCACTTCGAAGGCTCCGCAACACCAAAAATTTGAGAACCCCTGTATTAGATAAGTTTACAAAACGAATGTCGTCTTTTGTGCCCATTTCGATCTACACTGCAAGTTCTGATGATCCAGAAAATACCCGAACAGCCTTATTCCCTCATACGGTCCTTTGATTCGTACGGCAAAATCATACACTCAAGCCCACGAATTAACAAAGGGGCCAACTTTAAAAAGTAAATCATGCAAAATATCGAACACTTGGTTGGAAGATATGTAATATGTATATGATTGAACATCTGATCATTGTTAAATAGAATCAAATATTTCTCGGAATCTTCACGCCAGCTTTTATCAGTTTAGCTAAAAATCTGAAATGGCACGAAAATAGGAATCCCAGGAAAATAGACATTCTGATAAAATCATACCATTTCTAATTATTAGTTCCAGATTCTCACTAGAAGAACATGCTTATGTTGTTACTTGGAATAATTTCTAAGGAAAAATATTTATCATAAAGCGGGGTATTTCGAATTAAAGAATTTGTTTTAAAATCAGGTTTTGTTTAAAAAATTAATTAAATTAACCAGAGGGTTCATTCACTTTTATTGGTTCATAATTCTTTAGAATAACGTCTAATAATTCTTTGCCTCTGAGGCCTAATTGATAGCAAGTATCCTCTACTTTTTGTAATGACAACTTCATAACATCGATCTTGCTTTGCAGCAATCTTTTTCTTCCTGGTGATACGTCAATAATAGATGAAAAAGACAGAAACATTTCATATAAAATACGTATAAAAGCACATAACTTGAACACCTTCTTTTTCGAAGTTTCAGTGATCGCCTTTGCAGCAGAGTTAATGCATAAGCGCATGACTTCACCAGTAGTATCAGCGATGCCGTATAAATATTCCAACACTGGTATTGGAATGACTAAAGGTTCTTTATTTTCATCATCTGCAAAAACCAAAGATTTTTGTATCTCACTGAGATCAAGTAAACAGTTGGAAATGCTTTGTATACTGTAGTTTTCTTCAGTTTTGAAATAGTACAAAAAAGACATTGCTTCAATAAATTCCTGCAGGCCTGGGGAGAATGCTCTAATGTATGCATGCGAATCCTCATCCTGCAGTTCAGTAGCAATTTGTTTCCACTTCTTCATAATAATATCACATTTTTCATCAGCCTCAGTAATTATTTTGAACTTTGAGTTTGTTTCTGGAGATGTAATATCAATTCGGTGTAACAGAAAAATCAATTTTTTGCTGTCAATCGTTATGTCACGGCTTAGTTTCACAATTTTTTCCCATTTGTTGTGTTTTGTTTCCAATTCTTGTTGAAATAATTGAAACTGATCGATAACATCCATCAGAGATAATAAATGTTACCACTAATTATAGGTTACAGAAACAAAACGAAAATAAGTAAACACTACATTTGTCTTGCCTTCATTGCATTTGAAAGCTGTTTATTTAACTCAAATAGCTACCTATGTATGTCAAGTTGGAAAAAGAATGTTTTTGAACAATGTAGACAGAACACACTCTCAGCATAATCACCCAAAAAGAAACACTTGGAGCAACTTCAACTTTCAAGGGCTGCATGAAATCATATTGAAAATTAACAGCTATATCCCAAGTAGATGAATTGACAGTCTAAAACTGATAATTTAATTACTGCTTCAATTCAGATATTTTGTTTGAGGGATATTTTCTTCATGAATTATAACTTTATTAAAGCTCAACAGACCTTAGTATGTAATATAAGCATCTAGATAACAAATATTCATTTGCTGCTACTTTTGATAGAAGACCTAATTTTTAAAAGGATGAATACACATACCATTCTATAAAATTAGAAAATTTGTGAGTTCTGTAACGAAATACTTTATTACTCTCAACTTTTTTCACAAAAATCCAATGTTGAACTTAAATATTAAACCATCATAAGATGGACAATAATATGTCATAGAAGCATTTAGAATAAGAATTGCATTCTGCCAGTATAGGTTTGTAAAATACCTAAAGCTTACAAGGATGAATAATCACGACATCAACAATTAAGTGAAGATGTTCTTTGCCAAAGTAAGTGTCTTCAATATCTCTTTATAACAGGTAGTGTTTAAATCTGTGGAGAAGTGGATAGTGCGAAATCACTTGATTGATAATAAAGAACTTCAGTCAGCCATTCTAATTTAAATTACAAGAACATACTGTGAATGTGGTATCATATTATAATGAAATAGTGGAGAGATATCTCACAATAATATTCGCCAGCCAGTATTTATTCTGAAATTTGGCAGAATGAAAAAATTTTTTATGTCCGTCATTAATATTCTCGAAACAGTTTTGTGTCAATAATTGCGTAGCCAGAATTCATTCATTGTCTTTTTTCTTGTCTTTATCAGAATCTTGTCTGTTTTGAGCAAGTTGATCCATGGCTTGTTGTATTGCTTCACTCGATGTGTCCACACCGGGAAGATTTTGTAGAACACTCTGCAGGAACGCTGGATCAGCAATTACATCTTCTTCATTCGAATCTCCATCATCACCATATTCAGCCACCATCGGGGACTCAGAAATTGTTTTCTCATCCGTGTCCATGGCAGATTGTGAGCTTTCTTCTTGCATTGACATGCGCATTGCATATGCTATTTGTTCTTCTTCCGACATAGAGCCTATATCAACAGGGCGACTACCAGGAGGTGCAGTGGCTGGTACCTCTTGATTCATTGACATTGCGAGAGCCGCACGTAACATGTCATCCTCACCAGTGCCTGTTGCCATTGCAGTTGCTGGAGCTGACTGAGTTTCTTGGATTTCTGATCCTGCTCGAGCTTCTTCTTCTTGACGATGACGCTGTTCTTCTAATGACACACGAAGAGCAAGAGCAAGCTCTGGATCCGATGCTGGGTCAAATCCAAGATCAAATTCACCACCGCCAGAGCTGGGAGCTCCACCTTCTCCAGCAATAATTGGGGAGTTCATTAAAGCATTAGAAAGCATGGATCCTGGAGGTATATTGACAATATTAGATCCTGTTCCATCTTTTCCATTCAGTATTTCGATAAACGAAGTCAGTTTTGGTGTGTTCAACTCTTCTTCGCCAAAGTTTACTATTTCCACATTTACTTTTTCTTTTTTAAGTTTTTTCGCAACTTTATTTATTTCTTTTTCATCGTCTTCAATTGGGCTTCCGACAAAGGCAATAATACGCATTCTATGGTTTTTACTTTGACGATGTTTCAGTGCAAGATGTGCAACACGGATGCCATTTAAGAATCTAATATTCCCTTTAGGTTGCACTAAAAGTAATTTTGATAGCAACTTTCCTGAGTCATTTGTCAATGTAACATGAACTTGAACATCAGCAAGAGAGAGTAGCGCAACATTGTTTTCAGGGTTAGAACGTAATTTTGTACGGCATACCAAGTTCGCGGCATCTTGTTGGGCTTGGATTCTTGTTGGCAAATAATCCCCGTTTCTCATGTATTCACTGTTGTCGATACATATTACTGTGCTTTCGAGAACCATCTTGATATCTAGTCTACTTCAGCGCGATTTAACTTTCAGATACTGGACAAAAAAGATCGCAACTAGTTGATCCGCCGACTGTTAACTTACACCTATTACTGTATTACAGGATCACAATGGTTCAGTTGTAACACAGCATTATTTTTATTTCATGACACAGCGAATTTATTTTTCGGATCAGTGACCCCGACCTTTGGCCTCAAACTTATGTTCGGATTAGGGTTGGATTATCCGGATAGCGGTTAACCGGTTAACCAAGAGTTATTTTGCTATCTGATATCCGGATATTATTGTGACGGTTAACCGGTTAATAGAGCAGTATAAATAATACATATGCGCGATTAGCGGTTTTTATATTTTTTGTTGAGTGGCGACAGACATCTCCCAGAGCATATAATAACAACTTTTTCCACTCTAATCTGCCTATATATATTTTAGCCATCCGTAGAATGCTGGAGTGAACTTCACTATTACATCACAAAACACGCAGAACAAATGTGATTATTGCGCTTATTAGAAGAGCTTATTCGCTTTATAAAGTTAGATTTGAACTGGAGGTACAGTTTAAGAAAGACTAACTTAAACGAATTCATTTGAAAAGTATTGGTTGGGTGGGTGTGAGTTTGTTGCTTTTATGTCGGGTGTGGCTTTTAGTAATTGTTGCGTGTATTGAAGGAACGCATTTCATCATGAAGTAAACCAGTTTGAATTTCGAGGACTTATTTCACAATACTTCCGATTCCATGTAATCTGTGTAGCATTTCAAAATTTTGGGTACACAACCAAATGTTATGTGCTTCCTTTTAACTTTGGTATATATGTTTTTTCAAATTTCCTTGTATCAATCGAATCAAAAGATATACCAGCTGAAAATAAATCTATTCTATCTAAGTCAGGTGTATGTTATACTAATTGAACTTAAAAGCTTGAAGAAATGGTCATCGTGAGTCTGCGACACCAAAATTTAGTAGGAGTCAAAATTTAAAGAAAATATGCTCTATGTCTAGACAGAAAAAAACTTCCAAAAAATTTAACAATAAAAAAAGGAATAATATAAATTTTTACATAGGATTTGAATATGAGAAAATAACTTAGCAGTCGAGAGGAAGACAATTAGGACACAGAATTTAAAACAATGTTTCACTATATTATTCAGCTGCACTTCTGTACGATTACAGAGCTTAAATTTTTATTTATTGACACATGCAACATCAAAATGCACAATCATTTTTATTCGAGAAAAATAATACATATGTACGTATTTACAATAGAACTGTGTGGTGGTTTTCAGTCAATTCGCCACAAAAATCTTGTAAAATCGGTTCTCTGAAATTAGCAGTAACTAACTATCCGGTGAACCGGATAGGTAAAATACCCGGATATATCCGTTATCCGGATAGTATAAATTATAGGTATCCAAACTAACCCTAGTTCGGATATTATTTTGAATTCCTTTTATTAATCTAATATCAGAAGCATGAAACTTGATAAAATCAAATAATCGCTCAAAATTATACATATGACACTTCTACTTTGTTCCGATTTGGCGTCACATTGGGTCCCGGGTATGAAGTTGCTCGTAGAGTTGAGACCCGCGATGAGCAAATATATGCTCATTGGGACCCAAGAAAACCCGTTCCCGAAATCCCGGGATTTGAACTGTTTTTTTTTTCAGTCCCGATCCCGCAAATATTTCCTAAAAATCCCGGGATTTTAAGGCTTTGTTACCCACGTATAGATATTCTCACAAATATGTTATACCGGTGGTTCCGTTAGTCGTTGGGTGGTTTCCAACCTTTTATGGCTCGTGGCCCCTCTGTTCGCCATTCCAAAAAACTAGACATTTTGGATTGTAGTCTACTACAGACAAAAGAAAACCAAAGCTTTTTAGTGTAAAATCAATGGGAATCTTGCGCTTGGGACTATCTGACGAGGTTTCCTCTATTAGGCATCGACTTTGATATAGCCTGACAAATTTCGCTGTCAACATCAAGACGGTTCCTAGATTTTCTTTCCTCCGACAGAAACCTGATCTCTGCCAATGTTCCTTACTTGTCAAATCTAACTCGCTTGGCAGCCAAGAAACCGATGTCAATGCCTTTTAACTGGGGATGATTTTTGTCGCGGTGGTTTTGGATTGAGATGGACGTAATCAGTGGTGGAATTCAGCCGTTTCGCACCGCTTCTATAGAACCGTCTCACAGAATTTTATGAGATCAGCGAACCGGTTAGTATTACATGTTAGTGTCAATGAGTTTTTGGAACAGAACCGACTGAAAAATATGACTTTTGTGATGGAACCGGCTGACAAAAAATTTGAATCCCACTACTGGACGTAATGATTCATTGCTCATTACATATATATATATATATATACGAGCAATGCAAGCATTGAGCACATTCTTTCTAATCTCGATTTACTTTTTTAAAGTCAGCGTAACCGTCGTTCCATTTTTGTATTTTGGGCATTAGGACTTTACATAGGGGTTTTTGCACCAATGCTACGATACTGAAGGTTGTCTCGCAGTCTAGCAAAACCGCCCCCTTGCAGTTTAGACGGCCTACCAGCGAACTATTTTGATCGGTAGATTTCAAATTCCATTATGATCAAACAATTTACGCATAGAATACACCCTGTGATTGCAAATAACCTATTCAGGTAATGAAACTGCGGTGAACGCCTAAACGGGGAATTTTTTTTAAAAGTATGCAAACGAAGTCTCTTCATGATCAACTATTAGCCTTGGGTCGTGGCCTCCCTTGTATAGCTTCGTGGCCCCCTTGTGGTGCCCCCGGCCCCCGGTTGAGAACCACTGGACTGATATACTATTTTATTTATTCCCCTTGGGGTGCCCCCGGCCCCCGGTTGAGAACCACTGGACTGATATACCATTTTATTTATTACTTGTTTAAAAAAAAAACATTCACGCTTACAATTTTAGTCAGTCAAACTAAGTGGAATTACTGTGCAAAATTTTACCAGGGATTTTTTTTTTGACCAGTAGAATTACCCTTATTGCCAACTTATTTAATCATCATTTGAACTCAAAATAGCATTCAGGATTCCTACAATGACTTTGCAGGGTTTTAAGTCATTATTTAATACGAAAACAATAAACAAGCCACAATAGAAAAGTAAAATCAAGAAGGTCAACTATCGTCTTCATAAATATCCGCATACCGGAATCAGAAATGATAATATTTTCAGCTTAAAATTGGGACAGTTGATTTTGAAACGGTGACAAGAAAGATCAAAGTCGAATTTAAAGATAAAAATCGGAATAAATCTCGATATTCGACAATTCGTTACAATTTTTCGATTCGATGAACCCTTGCGATCTGTAACCACGCCCGTAATCTGGCGAAACGCGTGGTAGTCCAAACACTGATGGAATTTAATAAACCTTCATGAATTTAGTAAATTGCACTACTACACGAAAGCGTGGTGGAATTGACGATTATTTTGAACACCAAACAGTTATCTTTTTCGGATAGTTTCTGCGGTCTGAAAAGTCGAATAAGCGTTTCGACATAGTAAATGCTATGATCTTTGCCATCAAATAATGCTCGGGACTTGCCTTGCACGAAATTCATAACGTGAAAAGATACGCCCAGCGGTGAAAATTGTTTATAACAATTTTAAACCTATTTAGTGTTTTAAGCGATAAGAATTATTTGTTGTAATGAAATACAGTTTGTTTGCCTCTTTCATTTCTTTCGCAAGTGCCGACAATAACACTATCGAATGATTTTGGCAATGGGAGAAACATATTAAATTGTAACAAAAATGAATTAGGTTGTGGAAAAGTGAGAATAATAATAAGGGCGTAACGTGGAACGGCAAACAAAACCGAAGCGCGTGATCCGCGGTGCGTTTGAAGACCACGTATTACCCGTGCGGCCGCACAACTTTTAAAATAATGTGAAGGCCTCCGAAGACGCTCTCCTTTACATTAATGTAAGAAAACAGTTGTAGTATCGGTGAATATTAACCATTTGTTCACGTTCGACTATCGCATTCTTTATGAGTAGAAAATGTTTGTGTTTTGTGAAAGGTTTGCCGCGAATATTTAAAGAGCTAAATAGTGTTCCGCGATATAAAAGTTTGGCAACCACTGCCCTAGATGCTCTAATATTTCTGCGTTGATATTACATAAAATAAATAGGCTACGTGATTTTATTGTCATGCAAGTTGTTTCAATTTTTTATAGAAGTTATACGCTTAGAAAATCCAAAATGAAACTTTTTCCAGATTGAATTAACTTCGTGGGAACAATTAATAGCAGCAGCTACGTTTAGCTTTCATTCTATATAGCGAGTGGTTCACATGCTGAAATATTTCAATTAAATTTGATAGTACGGTCCAGTACCAGTAGTAGGCTATACACTAATTGGTTTGCACCAGGGGTCGGAAACCTTTTGGCGCTCGCGGGCCAAAACTGAGGGGCCATTGGCGGGCCGCACATAATTTTAGAAAGATAAAACCCGAACAGATGATACTCCGAACAGATGATACTTTTTATAATAAAATCAAGCAGTGATACATCTTATAGAATTCCATTTGAATATTTTCACTGCCATTGAACCCTTTGCACCGGTATGTTAGTCGTTGCTTTGCACTTAGCATCAACTTTTCTGCGTTTTGTTGTCATTTGTCTAGTTATAATCTAAATATATGCTCCTTAAACGAGTAATTGTGAATTATATAGTCTACTTCTTAGGTTATAACACAATTTAGTCTAAAAATATAATCGTCAAAACGGCTGTTTTGTTACTATAATTCAGTGAAACGTCACGGGCCGGACTCCGTGGGCCGGATCCGGGTAGTGGGTTGCCGAATGCCGACCCCTGGTTTACACGATTGGTTTGTGTTGTCGATACGTGCAATAAAATTATATACCGGTACCGGTTCATGAAATATTGGACTACTGTCATTCGTGAATCGTGGATTAGTATAAAATGTTCTTTTACCATATTTTAGGCTATGTCTGTATGTAATACTGAAATATCTGAATATAATATGGGTCTCCTGTAGTTTCGTACCTAACGTACTTCTAGTACGGTAGGCGTAGCATAACAATTTTTTCGCGTGTCAATCCTGACCCCACCATCCAAAAATTACGTCACTACGACGTCACAGTGACGTAATAGAGCCCTTCAAATTATGCGAACTGTCATCCAAGACGCGCAGACGAAAACCCGAAATCGAACAGCCATTTCTCTCGTTTTCTCGTCGCAACGATCCCGATAGAAGAGAGATCGCTGACGTTAGTTACCGTAGTTCTTTATCGTCGGCGCCGATGCCATTTCGGGCGATCGTACGAGTATTTGGCAAGCTCTATGACGTGATTGTGACGTCGTAGTGACGTAATTTTTGGATGGCGTAGTCAGGTGAGGGTTGGGATTGGCATGTCAAAAAATTGTTATCGTATGCTACGCCTACTAGAAGTAAGGTAGGAAACTACACGAGACCCATATAATGTACCGGTACCGTAAAAGCAGGTAACTTCGGATTATTTCACTATATTATGAATAATTTCTCCGCCGCCTATTGTTCAATTGAAGCCAAACTTGAAATATAATACAATGAAGCCTTTCTCTTCACGATAAACTCGGTTTCATATCAGTCAATACCTTTTTTCATTCAAATTATTGACTTTATTTGTCTGCAGATCTGTATTCCAAATGTTTCTAACTTCGGATGGCCACTTTTCGCTTTGCGTCACTTCGTCGTGAGAGAGAAATGTCTGCGTGATCAGTGACGCGTGATAACGTCGCTGCGTAGAACTTACGATGCCGTGATCCGTTTTGCGTGTCGCACACTGACGTTCGTCTATGACGGCCGTTTTATTTTTTTCCGATTGTTAATTCTTTCGGGTCGGCGGACATTGAAGTTTTATATATCTGGTCAATGACATTAGCAGCATGCTTAATGTCATTGATCTGGTATACCCGTGCGTTTACATCGGCAACAGCTCTTGAAGACAAGAAGGACTGATTTCAAAACCCAAATTAATTTTATTCTGATTTTTATCATATGTGTTGGCTTTGATCTTATCACTGTTTGTATATTATTTATCGTTCGAGTTTAAAGAGAACGGTGATAAGATTATCGACACCGGGATGGAGATATTTATTAAGACGATGATTGACGTTCTTATGCTTTGCACCTGCGATTGCACGAATCCTGAATTTTTATTTATTATAATAATTGAATAAATCGGCCGTTATGCATTTATACTTGTCATAAGGCTTTTGGTCCTAATAGCGGGTCGGACGCTCAATATATATAACTATTTCCCTCAAGTTTTAACGTTTTTTTCGGACAAAACAATAACCCGACGGTTATTATAGCTAAAATCGTTACCGACTAACTCACAATTTTATCTACGGAATTTGCGAATTCAGCACTTTACTCGACGATTTTGACAGTGTCACGCCATAATTATTACCGCTAAAATGCTTCAAAATACAACGCATGTAATAATTTATGATAATTTTGCCCATCGCTATTTCTGACATTTCGCAAAACTAAACCATTTACTTCTGACTATTCTTAATTTCATGAAAGTGCTAGATTTTGCTAATATGATCGTTTTAATACAAAACAAAAATGAGACAACATGGGACAAATGAAAATAAAAAACAGACGCATAAACTAAGTCGTAAAAATGGAAGTGGAAAACAATTTTTAATACGAAACAAAAATGAAACGAATGAAAATAATAAAAAAAAGAATGATGAATTACGATAGGTAGTAAAAAATGGCAGTGGAAATGGAAAACAATATGGAACGGTGGAGCTTGTGGCTCGTGTTCATAATTCAGATATAATGTATTCACAGGCAGATAGACAAAGTCAAATGGCATGAAACGGATAAAACGCCAAATAGAAACTTTGATACTCTTTTCTTCATTTTGCGACTTACTCGTATGTGGTCCAACCTCCTACTGAGTGCACCTGAGTTTCATGCTCACCTGTGCAACATTCTACGCTTAAGATATTATCATCGTAAACATACATACTTTATCATTCTGATAGTATAGATACGCGTAACTGGCTGTCCATTAGCCTTACGTATCAACAACATCTATACGTTCAGAGAATGAATGCAAAAATATTAACGCACAAATTTGATGTGCTTTAAACGGATTCACAATGAATAAACAGCATATGACTGGGGCTATAATGAAGTTTCTGAAGGATTTGGTGACTAGGATCAGGTAGGAGCTTTCACTTTATATTTAACTACACGTGGCGCCACATAGTCTGGCGTTCAAATGTCGCAGCGAGTTACGCACGAGCTACGCAATGTGACGTCGGCGTTAAATGGAGCGAAATTGAATCACGTTGTTGACGTCACGTTCAGCGTAAGCATCGTAACGTCGATATTTTGACGAAATTTTTAAATCAAAATAATATATTTTACTTGAATCGCACGCGACATCTCGTGATCACTGTAATTTTCCTTGTACATTGTGTATGCCCTCTAGCGATTGACGGTCTTTTAGTGAAGTTAGCGTCGGCAGAAGTCGCTATGTTAGCCGCTCAAAAACAAGGTGTCAATTTTTGGCTAAAATGTGATTTTTTGTGTCAAAAAATAAATAAGATTAGGCGATTGAATATGATAACAGATTTAGATATATAAGGACTCTCTATAGAAACTGCCAGAAGCAAAATATGACGTAATTTAGTCAAGATATAAACGATTGAAAATTTCATCCGAAGTTACAAACCATCCGAAGTTACCTGCGTTTACGGTACCGGTATAGGCTAGTCTGTTACCGGTACTGTATTATGATTGATTCTGCTGTGATGCAATTGCTGTATTTTTATTGCATTTATGTCTGAATCAATCGTGTGATCAATACAGTAATCTAGTCGAGTGCAGTAGACCTACATTACTCTTATCAGGAGTGCTTGACATTTTGATTTTATCGACCTAGGCCTATTGCAGTATTGATTAGTTGTAAAACATATGTAGCCTATCTACAGATCTACTAAATAAAATGCTCCACAGATATAGCCTACTATTTTTTGAAATTTTGTAGCAGTGTACAGGTGTAAGGAGACCATCTTTAAAAAAATTGCAATCTTGCATCAGTTTCTCTTCAAGAATAATATTCTCTTAACTGTTTCAGCAAAATGACTAAGTAAAATAATAGTAAATAATCTGATATTACCATGGAGGCCGGGCTAGATGCTGGAGGTGACTCTGTAACACCTTACTCAAAATTTGTGGATCGTAGTAAACTTGCTAGCAACTGGAAAGCTCGACCGGCTTCACCATCTACTGTGACGAATGTTGCTGTTTTACCACTTGGACAAACGAAAAAAAACATTAAAACATTTTTAAGGGAAAGGCTGTTTGCGCCAAATCATGACATAAGGTCTGTTTTGTTTAAAAGTCTAGCCAAAAGAATTCCGCATAACACTTCAATGTTTTCAGAGCAAATGTATAAAGACTTTATACAAGAATGCTACCCCAAAGTTACTACATACAAAAATGCGCCGTTACCTAGTTTTGTACTAGAGGATGAAGATTTACCATCTTACTTACTCAATGACCAAGGAAAGCTGGAATTGCGGAAAATACTTGTTTGTATTAACCATCATTTTTCACATATAGTGTATTGTCCGATCTTGCCACCGATTGTTGCAATATTACTTCACTATGACGATTCTCCAAGTCAAGTTTTTGCTCATGTTTGTCATATATTATTTTGTAATGCTAGGCATATGCATTACATTGATCAGAATAAGGCAGATACAGAAGCATCCGCTAGAGTGGTCAAAGAGCTTGTGCGTCGTTTTGCGCCAACTTCACATAAAACGCTGGTGAACTTTACAACAAATCCTGATGATATATACAGCCAATGGTTACGAGTCATCTTCCATGGATTACCCTTTGCATATCTGGTGATTTTATTTGACATGTATCTCATTGAAGGTTACAAAGCACTCTTTCGAGCTGCGATTGCCGTTTTAAAATTTTACAAAAAGGTTGGCTTGTCTAATCCATCAGATATTCTAAGTGCTGTGTTTGGCTTTGTTCAATCAATTGATACAAAAGTCAGTACAAACTTGCTGTTCAGAAAAGCATATTCAATCAAGTTGCCGACAACGAAAGAGCTTAGAAAATTACATCAAAAGCAGCTTTCTGTGTTACGCCAGCTCCCAATTGCAGACACTAGTCGAAGATCATCCCAAGAGCGTACTCCTTGGAGATATATATTCTTTGTTCGAAATGTAAATTCTGATATCGTTGATGAAACCTTGTTCTCCAAATTATATTGTTGGCTCCCAGAAAGAATTTCAATTCTCAGGCCCACGCTTTTATTTTCTACCAACAAAGATGGGTATAGTTTGGAAGCATTCTTCCGAGCTTCTGACGAAAGAACACCATCAATACTTTTGATTAAAACTACAGAAGGCTCTGTCCTGGGCGCTTATCTAACAGCTGATTGGACTGAAAGGAAAACTGATCCAAATGCATATTTCGGCACCGGAGAAACATTTCTTTTCACTCTATCCCCAGAATATAAAAAATATAACTGGGTTGGATTGAGATCGGGAGGATCAAGTATTTCAAATTTGCAAAGCTCGAATGGAAGAAATAGCTTATGTAGTTCTGTAGCTTCTGGAATGAAGTCGCTCCCACCAGATGCTGCCAGAAGCAGTAGAGGGATCACTTTGCCTCCTATACGTCATGATGGTGCTTCACCTTCTTTGGCCAGTGTAACCAAAGATAGCAGAGAAAGTTCTGTTGTTCTTCCACCTCTGGTCATCAGCCCCGTTTCACAAGAATCAATCCCTTCTTTTTCATCATCTACAATCAATGAATCATCAAGTCGGGCGAAAATTATGCAAAAAACATCAAACGAAAAGATGGCCAAGACGTCATCTGATCTGTTTATGTTTGCTGATAGCAGAGGAATAGTTGTAGGTGGAGGAAATGGCTATGGATTATTTATGGATTCTTCTTTTCTAAATTGTACAACAGAACACTGTGAGACTTTTGAAAACAAACCACTTGTCAAAGGAGGAAGTTTTCAGTGTTCCCATGTTGAGCTTTTTGGTTTTACAGATTGAATTCAGCCATTACCATTCATAATGCTGCCATAAATTGTTGCAATATTTACATAAGATTTATATAATACAAATTGCCACCCATCTCTAAGCAATATTTTAATAAGTGATTAGTTCTCAGTTTTGTACTATTTTATTGAATCCTATAAGATATATTGCATGTTGTTTTCTAATATTTTCTATGTTATATAATACAGTATATGAATTTCAAACAATTATTTTTGTGAATTGACATGGTTAAACTTGAGTGTAGTTGCCAAGTCTTGATTCAATATAAACACAAATTTAGGTTCACACAAAGCTGATCCGATCTGTAAACCCCAACTGAGTATATAATGATAACCTTTTATTTCTCCACTACCATGGTGTAAAAACTCGTAATTTGTTTAATTCTCATGGGCCACTCTGGCTCTTTTTGCACAGTTTGAATTGTTTATACTGAATAACCTGGCCTGCAAAATGAACTTTTAATCGAGTTTAATCTGTTATGTGCGAGTGATTCCAATTCCTTTGCATGAGAGTCCAATGTATTAACCAAGGCATTAGAATGCCCTGACAGCTACCTTGTGTGAAGCGAACAACGCATGTCATAAGATCACTACTAGAAATAGAAACCCATGTTTGAAAAAAGATGCAGCCTGCGGTTTCGCCCAGTTATTTGTATATATGGCCATCCTGTATTAAAAAAGGTTGCACACCCCTGCACTAAATACCAATGGAACTGTTATATCTCACACAATAGTAATAATAATAGGTGATGTTTAAAGCCACCACTTTAACTTACTCCAATCAAGGGAATCTAAACTATTTGTATAAAATGTCACTAACCCTAGCAACATTCTACAAAACAACATTCTATAAAAATATATTTTATTTATCAAAAATGAATTTTATTATGTCCAAGGAAGGTAGTTGACATGCATGAAAGTTCCTACAATAATATATAGTAGAAAATAGAAATACACAAGTTTAGATTTCGCAGACAACACTGGAAAAATGTTAGAGTAGCCTAGTAAATTTTGCATAGATAGTGTGATATCTGCAGCTTTAGTATCCGCATAAATTAGAGAAGAAGCCACCCATATTGGTAATGGTGAACTTGAAAAGAGAAACCTTGTGATAACCTCAATATGCATGAAACATATTCCAAACAATAAAAGGAACAGAGAATGGCACACATACACAAATACATTAACCTTTGCAAACTCTAGTAATTTGTTGTGTTTGCTATTTGTGTAGTCTGTCAACAATCCTAATGAAACAATTTGTATCCTGTTTGCCCTCAGATAATGAAAAATTCCATATGCAACTAAGAGTGCACAAGGTAGTGCAAGAATAAAATTTGGAATCTTTCTGATTCTATAATACATGAATAATCCAACATCCCAATGTTGTTTTTGTACATGACTGTATATATTGGGAAATGAGGCTTCGCACCACTCTGGAACTCCATCCCTTTGGGAACAGAATTTACCATGTCCATAAGTAATGAAAGCTATAAAAGGCAGAAATATCAGTATGCAACTTGCAGCGGTACGAATAAGAATACCTATAATTTTAAAAACTGTCCATTGTTGCAAAACTTTGTTTTCACTATTAGAAGCAACATGGAAAATTTCCTTGATTGCATAGTATGCAACGAAGCCTGCATTTACAGTTCCATTAGATCTTGTTGCTGAAGCACCAACAAAAAAACTTGTTGCCAGGAAGTATGAACGTTTTTCCAAGTGAAACAAGCCATTGAAGACTGGAAACATATAATAGAATATCAGGTTTTCACCCCAGTCATTTCTCCCACATTTAACTCAAAACAAACAATCCACTTACCACAAAATGAATACAAAGCTTCCGTATAGTTGGATGAAAAGAAAATGCTTGCTGGATTGAAGGAAAATAGTATTGAACATAAAATGGCAAACTTCCTATCCTGATAAATCGCCATTGTTAGATTGAAAATTGCAACAGTTGCACCTGCAAAAATAAATTTCATATAAATTATCCTTGTGTCCGATATTTATAGAAAAGTGTCTGATATCAATGTCTACCGTGTGTGGTATATCTATATGCATCAGCCATTGGGAAGTTAGGTGAATACCGATATGGGTGACACCAACTTTTTACTCGTAACATACTGAAATTTTATTTTCAGTCAACTACTTTTTCAGTCAGGTCCCTGTGAATACGTTCTTATTTGCTGAAGAGTGTTTAAAACAATATCCAATCATAATTTTGATAACTAATCCTTCTTACTAATTCACTTACCGACAAAAAACGCAGTATTAAGAATGAATCCTGCTAACAAAAGGCGAGAGTAGAAAGATAGCAAAGTATCTGGAAATGGAAGAATTGATGCAAATCCCCTCAACATAGCTGGGAACATCGGGAAAAAAGCAAACATCTTCTCTTCTTCATATCTAGCATGAAAGTGATAAATAGTACAAACCATATTTTATGCATTGCTCTTATAATTATGTTTGACATCCCCATGCAGGGGACCCCTGATGCCCCTAGTCAGTTATGCTGAAAACGTAGAGATTTAAGAAAAAAAACATATCAGTGGCTGCTATCCCGCGGCCTTACTCGCAACAAAAATGTAAAAATAGTTTAAATTTGAGCCAGCAAAACAGAAAAGAAAAATAAACAGGGCAAATATAAAAACCCAATATTATTGATGAGGTTTAACATATTCAATTATATGTGTTATTGATACGCATACAATATTCGAGTATGACTTATCAACATTTATGACCAAACTTTTGAATTGACTCAATCGCAAAATTTACTTACCCATGTTCTGCAATATGTAAGAAATATTTTGCATCCCATTTGTGAAAGCCATCAAAAAGAACTTCCGGTATTTTATCCAGAATACCAAGTTCAACTTCATCAACTTTAGGTTTAAAGGCATCTGCAGCATGATCAGGGAAAATATTGAAAACTATCTGAAAAGAAAAAAGAAACTTTTAGCCTAATTATTGTCGAACAAAGCAAAAACAAGCATCACGACATAAGTGGTACTGTAGAACAGGGCTACTCAACTGGCGGACTGGGGTCCGAATCCGTACCTTCCGGGTATTCGATTCGGACCGCGCATAATTCTTTATTTTGGACCATTAGCCCCATATTTGAAGTTTCCTTTATAAAATCACTTTTATAGATTTGAAAATATATATGAAAAGAACTATAACGCCATAACAAACAATTTTGATTAGCTAATAATCATGCCGAAATATAATTATGGAAAGTCCGGACCCAAATATTTTTGAAGTTTTGTATGCGGACCTTCGGTAAAAATAATTGACCACCCCTGCTGTAGAATATTACCTAAATACCTGATTCCAATGTTAAAATTACTGTACATTACAGAATATGATGATGAATACGAACCTGTAATAAAAGAACAGCACCCCGAGAGACCAAAGCCGGAAAAGCCATCGAACTGACGAAGCGGTGAAAATCCATGCACCTTTTTGTCTTCTGGTTCTCTATGTCAGAGCTGCCACATTTGATGGTGAGAATTCATGCACCTTCTTTTTCTGTTTCTCTATGTCAGTGCTGCCGCATTTGCTTGGCTAAAAAAATCTAGTTTAACCTCAAAAAATGTCTAGATCGGAAAATGAAACGTCCAAAAATATATCTAAATATGAAGTTATAAAATTTAATTAAAACAAAACAACAGCATACAAAAAGTTTATTATCTATATCATATTAGCTGAAGAATTTTAAGAAGCTAATAACAGATGGAAGTTAATGTCTAACTAAATGTTGTTGCTACATAGGGATTTTTATGTTTCAGCAGTAGGCCTACCTATTCCTGTATTCTTTGACACCCGAATCAGGTAGAAGGTAGACGTGCAACATTTTTTAAATAGGCCAAATTTAAAATGAATAGTACAGTATTGCATTAGAAAAATCATGTTGTTTGTTTATCGCACTGAAAATGTTTTTAACATCAGCATTTGAATTATGTAGCACCATTTCTTGCTTAGCAAAAGACTCTCTCTAGAGGCATATTTCAGAATTCAAAATTTTCAACTTCAACCCAAACATTCTCTGTTTCTGTGCTATTGTTCAACTCCACAAGATTAATGTAACTTATGAAGCTGACTTTTTGCCCTGCAAATACCTGAATACCGCAAAATAACGTTTTAAGAGTAGCTAAATAAAATATTCCATGACTCCACAGCAACACAGTCTGACAGTATTTTCCCAAGTCGTTGAACGTTCAAATAGCATTTCACCGTAGCGTCAATGCTGTTAAAAAGCGTCAGTCGATAAATGTTTGAATATCATTTTTACAGTATCTTCAATACTGTTCTATCAATCAATTTTATTTTGGCCACTCTGACGTAAAACAAAATGCAGAGGACCTGGAGGACGGGCATACTTATGAACAAAGTTACAAGAAGTTGACTGTACAAGTACGCGCCCGTCCACCAAAAACGTCAGTCGTTAAATGTTTGAACAGCATTTCACAGTAATTTCCATACTGTTTAAAAGCGAAATAGTTACCAGCAATTAATGAAATTAAGGAGGGTGGAATAGAAATGTATTCCGTTAGTTTTCGACCACTACCTTAAATCATCTAACACGTCTCAATCGCTTTACCGAAGCCGAAAAGACAAAGTTACGTTGGTTTATTACGCAATTTCTCTTCCGCCGTCATATTGCCGTATGATACGTGCGGGATGGCCCGGCGATTCCGTTCTGCATGCTTTTTTTGATTAAGTCGTAGTTACGTTGGTTTATTACGTAATTTTTTTCCGCCGTCAGCGATATTAATGGCCCGGCGACGTCTTGGCGCCAGGTAATCACACTTTTTGCTTTTTCAGTTCCGATTCATCGCGAAAGCGCTCCGTCAAATCTCATAAGAATCAGAAACCTGGAAATCAGCATGCGTGCTTTTTTCGCTCTGCATTATTACCATCCGAATAAAAGGTTATGAATATTTCTTTGGTTAAACCAGAAAACTGTCAATACCAGTATATATAATATTCCAGAGCTTCACCATGACACCCAGCAAGATATGAACTTGTTGCGACCCTGTAGGTTTCCGGGTGATGTACAGCAGGATTTTGAGCCTAGTGCCAACTGCTGAGGGATTGATATGATAAACCCGATGAAACCTCTACTTTACAGTCCAGATTTATAATCGCTGAGTAATCGAGCAATCAAACAGTTGTCCGAATATTCAACCAGTTACTTCTGGCTTTAATTAAAACTAAGCAAATAAATTGACTGTGGGCCTAGCTTTTTAGTATACAACTAATGGGTATATTGCGCTTTGGATTGTCTGACGAGGTTACTCATTCTAGGGACCGTCATTGATATAGCCCAGCGTTTCCCAACCTTTTTTGGTCGCGGACTATTTTCTTACCGGCGAAAACCTTTGCGGACTCAAGGTGCGTTTATTGCAACCGTACTCTGTGTAAAGCAGCAATAAAACCAAACACAACAAAAAAAAAACACAACGGATTTCAAAATCGGAAATTCGCCGCAATTACGCGTTCGTTAAAAGAGCCGACATTTTTGGTGTATATATAATGGATTTTTCTGTCGCACAGTATTCATTCCATGACAACGACGAGAATTTAAAATGTATTTATATTTTAATTTAATTGTATTCATCATGGTAACTCGCGGTTGCGTCGACTTACGACAAGATGAAAGCATTACTTTTTTTAAATCCACTGCCATCTGCGAACATAATAATGAGAGAAATTCTCTCAGAGAATATATTGCCTGAATATATATATTCAGCTTTGATACATATTTTTTGCGATCTTGCGAATTCGTTATCGCTGTTAGAAAAAATCATACTATCTGCTATAAATTTCCAGAATGTACAACTTAATTTAGTATTTATTAAAAATACATTTGAAGTATATATATTAGTAAATCAAGAAGGGACGGACTAAAAGTAGGCACTTGCAAATTAGGCACTTTGGAAAAAAAGTAAAAAGGGCGTAATACCTTTTAAAAACATAATTAATTAGTTAAAAATGGTCAAATTAAATGTTGAAAACGCAAATTGCAACGGGCAAACTCAATAACAATATTTAAAACGTAGTATTAAAGGCAGTCGCACGCGCTTGGTCACCACATATGCTAGGGCTAGGCACATATTTAGGCACTTCGAAAACTAAAGAAAATGGCAATTATCACTAATAAAAGACAGAGACATAAACATATTACCCACACTGATTAGCCTGGGTAAATATCCAATAGATGCACTTGAGTCTAGTACTGGAATTTAGGAATAATAAATTGTTACCGGTAGGCACTTCGGAAAAAAGGTGAAATGGACGTAGTAACTCCTAAAAAGGTAATGAATTAGTTTAATATATTTAAATTAAATGTTGAACGCAAAAATTGCAACAGTTAAATCCAATAACGATTTTTGAAACGTAGTATTGAAGGGAGACGCACGCGCTCTGTCACCACGTATGCTAGGCACATATTTGGGCACTTCGAAAAATAAAGAAAATGGCAATTATCACTAATAAAAGACAGAGAAATAAAAATATTACCCACACTGATTAGCCTGGGTAAATATCCAATAGATGCACTTGAGTCTAGTACTGGAATTTAGAAATATTAAATTGTTACCGGTAGGCACTTTTTTAGGCACTTATTTAGGCACATCGAGAAAAAGGTGAAATGGGCGTAATAACTTTTAAAATGATAATTAATTAGTTGAAAATTGTCAAATTAAATATTGAACACGCAAATTGCAATGGTTGAACCGAATAACAATATTTAAAACGTAGTATTAAAAGGAGTCACACGAGCTCGGTCACCACATATGCTAGGCACATATTTAGGCACTTCGAGAAAAGAAGAAAACGGAATTATCACCAATAGAAGACAGAGAATAAAAATATTACCCACACTGATTAGCCTGGGCAAATATCCAATAGATGCACTTGAGTCTAGTACTGGAATTTAGAAATAATAAATTGTTACCGGTAGGCACTTTCTTAAGCTCTTCGAAAAAAAGGTGAAATGGACGTAGTAACTCCTAGAAAGATAATGAAAGTTTTATAATGCGTTTAACTAGTCCCATCAATCCCATTTTCTTTATTTTTCTCGAAGTGCTTAATATGTGCCTAGCATATGCGTTGATAGAACGCGTGCGCCTCCTTATAATACTACGTTTTAAACATTATCATTGGGTTTACTTGTTGCAATTTGCATATTAATTTTTTAATTTAAATATTTTAAACTAATTCATTATCATTTTAAAAGTTATTACGCCCATTTTACGCATTTTTAGAAGTGTCTAAATAAGTGACTAAAAAGTGCCTACCGGTAACAATTTATTATTCTCAAATATCACTACTAGACTCAAGTGCATTCATCGGATATTCAAATAGGCTAATTATTTTGACTAATATTTTTATTTTCTGTATTTTTATTCATGATAATTACCATTTTCTTTATATTTCGAACTGTCTAAATATGTGCCTAGCAAATGTGGTGACAGAGCGCGTGCGTCTCCCTGTAATACTATGTTTTAAAAATCGTTATTGGGTTTGTTGCAATTTCCGCGTTCAACATTTAATTTAAATATTTTGAACTAATTCATTATCTTTTTAGGAGTTACTACGTCCATTTCACCTTTTTTTCGAAGTGCCCACCGGTAACAATTTATTATTCCTAAATTCCAGTACTAGACTCAAGTGCATCTATTGGATATTTGCCCAGGCTAATCAGTGTGAGTAATATGTTTAATTCTCTGTCTTTTATTAGTGATAATTGCCATTTTCTTTATTTTTCGAAGTGCCTAAATATGTGCCTAGCATATGTGGTGACAAAGCGCGTGCGTCTCCCTTTAGTACTACGTTTTAAAAATCATTACAGTATTGGGTTTAACTGTTGCAATTCGCGTCAACATTTCATTTAAATATTTTGAACTAATCCATTATCTTTCTAGGAGTTACTACGTCCATTTCACCTTTTTTCCGAAGTGCCTAAATAAGTGCCTACCGGTAACAATTTATTATTTCTAAATTCCAGTACTAGACTCAAGTGCATCTCTTAGATATTTACTCAGGCTAATCAGTGTGGGTAATATTTTTATTTCTCTGTCTTTTATTAGTGAATATGCCATTTTCTTTATTTTTCGAAGTGCCTAAATATGTGCATAGCATATGTGGTGACCAAGCGCGTGCGACTGCTTTTAACACTGCGTTTTGAATATTGCTATTGAGTTTGCCCGTTGCAATTTGCGTTTTCAACATTTAATTTGACCATTTTTAACTAATTAATTATGTTTTTAAAAGGTATTACGCCCTTTTTACTTTTTTTCCAAAGTGCCTAAATAAGTGCCTAATTTGCAAGTGCCTACTTTTAGTCCGTCCCAATCAAGAATACATATTCACCGCCTTGAAATTCTCGCAAACAACTTCTGAAGTAATCGTCGCGTATACGTCACTCGTTAAAAGAGCCGACTTTTCAATGATTTTTCTGTTGCATAAAGCCATAAACTATTCAATCCATCCCCATGTGTGATTCTTTTAATCTGCGGTTGTGTTGACGAAATAAGAGCAATACTACTTAGTTAGAAAATATCATGACAATCCGTGGACGCAAAAATCTGTGTGCTCTCGATATTACTACTGTGCGTACCAATCTGGAGGCAGTAAAGCAGAGAATCCTAAAGGAAAATGCCCTGGTACGTATACTACGGTAGCACCCAAAATTTTGCGATTTGCAATGTCTAAAAAAGCGTTTTTAATCGGTCGTGGACCGCTTTTCAGTTTAGAAAATTTGGGTTGCCACCATTTACACCTACCAGAAAATTTTTTTATTACTCGTTGTTCGAATTCGCGAGAAACACCTATTACGAATCTATCGAAGCGTGTACAGACTCTTGTTTTCGTCGGAAATCCACAAGTGAGTTGTGAAATCCAATCGTTTGATTAAGCGACTCGCAAGTGACCTGTGCGCGTCACATATTACCAAATTTTCGATTAGTAAATATGCTATTCTAATAGTTGAATATTAGAATATATGCCCAGCCCTACTCCTTAACCAGTAATTATTGACGCGATTGATGTCATGTGAATAAACTGACTTTTCATGTTTTTTGGTAAATTCTAACGCAAATCCTACCTTGGCTGATAGTTAATTGAGTTTCGCAAAAACGTTTGCGGCCCGCTGTGAATTTCTGACTCGTTGCGGACTCATTTAAACGCTCTGCGGACTCATTTGAGACCGCGGACTCGGGTTGGGAAACACTGATATAGCCAGACTAATGTCACTGTCAAACTTGAGACGGTTTTGATGCTAACAAGATCAGATAAACCAGATTCGCACAAATAGGTTGTGACAAAGTTATTCACATGCGAATGATTTTTGTCACTCCACTTTTGGAGTTTGGGTGGACGTAATGATTCACTGCTCATTACATACGATTAATGCAGGCATTAAACACATTCTCTATCATCTCGAGTTACTTTGGTAAAGCCAACGTAATTGTTGTGCCATTTTCGTATTTTAGGCATTATGAATTTACATATGGGATATTGCGTCTATAATGCGATAGCGAAATTCATCTCGCAGTCTAGTGAAACCGCCCTGGCCTACCAGCGAACTATTTTAATTGGTGGATTTCAAATTCCATTATATATGATCAAACAATTCACGCACAAGAAAGTGGATACACCCAGTGATCGCTAATAACCTAGTTAGGTAATGAAAATTCGGCCTTATGATCAATTATTAGCTTTGTGTCGTGGCCCTACTAGAACTGCTTCGTGGCCCCCCTGGAGAGCCACCGGCCCCGGTTGAGAATCACTATGCCATAGTGATTGCCCGACATCACGCAAATATATGGTATTATTTTCTGTTCCACTCATTTCAATTGTTGCCGGTCCGTGAGTGATTTTTCTGGTTATCGTAGCTTCAACTAAAAAAGCGCTGGAAAAAATAAACTTCCACAACTTGCATTCATACGGTCCAAAGAGCAGACTTGTAGTGACGAATCCCCATATACCCAATTTTGCGTCGTTGCATTTAAGCAACTTTCATATAAAATGCGGGAACGAGCTGGAATGTGTTCAGTATGATCATTTTCTTATATCTTTTTTAGTTTCCACATGTGCGCTACGAAACTCCTTTTCCAGGCGTTTTTCATAGCCTTGTCTGGTGGCACACTACTTCAATTGTTCTGGCCCATTCGGCGTAATCTATGCCAGTGGTTTGGTTCCCGATCTTTTACCACTGACAGATCGGTGAAGTGCACTCGCGGTGCACACGTGACAATAAAAACTTCTGCCCGCTAAAGTTAAACTGTAATCAGACCTCAGATACAACTACCCATATATTTTTATCATGCCCCGCATACCTTATAATTCATAATGACGTTCAGGTATTTCTACAAGCAATAACGGGCCGAAATTTGAACGTATCACGAGTGGATGTCATCGACAACACGTACCACGGTCCTAACATGTCAGTCGTGCTCAAAATATTCTCTATATTATGTTCGAAATTTATTAGAACCAAAGTTAAACTGGATAGGGAAAATAGATATGTAAATGATTTTGAACCAAAGTTAAACTGGATAGGGAAAATAGATATGTAAATGATTTTGACATAAATGCGATACAACACGAGGTAATAAAGAGCTTTACTCATCACATAGTCATGTGTGCTTCCACCGACAAACCTATTCAAATATATGAGCTTCAGCGGGACTGGAAGGAACTATTATGCCAAACTAGATCATAAATCTGGCAAAGTTTAACACCCCCTCTCTCCCGCTACCCATAAATGGTCGCATACTTTAAAAAAAAAAACATTAAACGTCCCAACGGAAATGATGAACGGAAGCTTCAGGGGTGGCAGCTGACATAGCAGTACGTATGTATGAATATCTCAATACTGCGTATGCAGCAATATACTCATGAAGCGTAATGCCGCAGTGCCTCGGGCATGACGTATTGTTATGATTCTGATCCGAGACAGATCGTTTTCTGATCCGTAAAAAAAAACTCGCTGACCGATAACAAAATGTTGGAACGAACTGATTTATTTGCCTATCATAATTCAATATTTAGGCACAGACTATACATCTATAACAAAAACTAACAAAGCATCAAAGAATAGTTCAACAACAGACTATCAACTCGATTCTCGTGGAATTGTAAAGTATACAGAAGATGATCATGGCTTCAAAATTACCTTTCATGAGAATTTCTGGTTCTATTATCTTTGCATCCCCGTACATTTGCACCTGCATGCCTTTGTACCCACTGATTTTAGAACCCGCGGACATTTACATGGACGTTTATACCTATGGGCATTTGCACGCGAGTACAACAATTGCACCAACGGACATTTGCATAAAAAAAATATAACAACATATAACCAATATGACCAAACAATACAAATAGCAGGAAGGACAAGTGTCATAAACATGGGCATAGATAACGTGAAACACAAATAAGCTTCGGCTTGTATTTTTTTCTGATTAACGCCATGCTTGGCCTTGATTTTACTCGATCAAGAATAAAACGTAAAAGCGGTCGTCAATTTCGTTGTAATGACGTACATTGACTTGCTCGCGTATTGTTGCGCCTATTTTCGTCGAAATAATTACATTCCTTCATTTTAAAGCTTTTGCTCAGTAAGTAAGTATTAGGGCGTGACGTAATCATAATCGGCAGTGAAGCTGAATTTGTCGGTAACGATTTTACCTATAATAATGGTTGTAGTAGTGTTTTGATGCGAACTCACACAATAAAACCTTAAACTAAAAGATGATACTTAAAAATTTTCTACCAGTAAATGAAAAAACGCAAACCAATTTGTTTAATATATATTTCATATGACATTTAGTTTTCGTTACAAATCTGCCTTTTGACTAAGTCTATTTGCGCTTCGTGCAACTTCAGATAATACTCGGCCTCGGAAAAGATTCGAAAACGTCGTTTTGAATAGCTTTATATTCAACAACAATAGTTTGTCTCATTGTCACATAAAACGCGCTTTGAAAACGAAGTGGACCAATGTATCGTTTAGCAAACTGTATTTAATGGGTATATGTCGATGTTCAGGATTTTCGGAACAAATACTTTTTCATTTAGTTGACGTGCTGATGGCCACATTTTTCATTCCATCTTCGAACTCATTTAATATTTGTCTATTGACATATTGTGCATTTGAGCTTGTCCATTGTCGACCGAGAGGAAAGCTGAGGCTTTCGAAAACAATCCAAAATGTTTCGATCTTACGATCAGAATGAATAAACTAACTGTATGCCCATTCAATTTTTTAAACAACACTGAAAGTAATTTTGATGTAGTGGGTCAAAATTGACAGCAAAATATTGCACAAACAAGATCAAATCGGAAACGTAAACATCCATTGCCCTCCGGGTGATATCACTCATTGATGGGACAGGTTATTAATTTATACCTGATTGGATTAAATCGTGTAACATTTGATCGATGGTTTCAATATTGTCTGGAATGTTCTGACCTGCTTGTTCACTACCTATCCATGCCAGGACTGACTATGCCCAGTACGCTAGAATACCTTGGGCTATTGTTATTAAACATTCACCAACGCACAAAACGTGTAGCGCGCTAATTTATCCATCCAGCCATAACCTGTGAGATATTTATCATTGGACATACATATTTGTCATATACGTAGGCGGAATCCCGCTTGGAATTTTTCAGAGAAATCCAAAATAGACATAATCTTGAGAAACTGGTAATGGGACCTGTAAAATATATTGAGGTTTCGTTAAAGAGATAATCTGTCGCTGAAATTCTTTGAATTTTCCAGTAACTTATTTTTCTAGACTTGCTTAACCCTAATTTTTACTGAAATTAACTTATTCACACTAAATTAGCCAAAACAAGCTAATAATTAGACGTTCACTCTTTATCTTGACCGGAGGCATATTGATAATAATAGAGATCTGAGAATAAATTGAGAAAATGTCAGGAGATATTGTAACGTGGTACGAGTATATATATAAATGCGCAATTTGTAGGATACGTGATATTGTGATACAGAGAATGCAAAGATGGGACGAGGCTACTACAGTTGTGTGATTCTGTTCGGTTTCCTAGGATTAATGCAATATGTTCGTGGAGATAACGAAAGATTATGCCTTACAAAGGAAGTTAACTGTCAGGGTAAAGAATACTTCCCAAGATTCGATGGAGCTTGCAACAATCTTAAACATCCAACCTGGGGCGCAACGGACACCCCCTTACCACGAATGCTTCCGTCAGAATATTCGGATCTATACGGCAAACCTCGCACGAGTCAATCTGGACAAGTTTTACCTTCCACAAGAAAAGTTTCAAATCTTCTAAAAGAGTCGAGAAAAAATATTTCGCCTGATATTTCTCACATGCATGTATTGTTTGGCCAGCTCTTAGCACACGACATAGTGCACACGCCAGCTATCAAGAAAAGTGATGGCACAAAGCTAGACTGCGACTGCGGTATGCCACACAAAGACTGCTTCAATATTGATATTCCGAAAGAAGACGAACAATACAGGACAAGCGGAAAAAAATGCATGGAATTTTCTCGATCTAAACCTGCTGTAGGTATTGGGGGCTGTAGATTTTCCAAGCGTCAGCAATTAACGACGATGTCAAGCTTCATTGATTTGACCTTCTTGTACGGAAAATCTGAAAAAGAATGCAACGAGCTTCGCGATCCGTTGATTCCAGGTGCGATGAGGATGCAAGCTGACCCAGCTGGAGGACATCATGGAGTTCTACCTAACCAGTGGCAATTGCATGGAATGAATATTTCAGATTCCATGGATTGCCCCATGAAAGTCCATGAGCCCTTGAATTCGCCATGTTTTGTAGCTGGTGATGTTAGAGTGAACGAAAATCCGGGATTAGTATCGATACAAACTATCTTCACACGGTATCATAATTACGTGGCACGAGAGCTAAGGTCGAAGAACCCTTTTTGGACAAGTAATACAATTTTCAATACGGCGCGAAGGATCATGACAGGAATAATGCAATCAATTACTTACAGAGAATACGTTGCTCCATTGTTAGGACCCGTGTGGACCAAGCGCTTTGATTTGAACCTTTTAGATCACGGATATTGGGAAGGTTACGACTCTGACTACAATCCATCAATTAGCAATGAGTTCACAACTGCAGCTTTCCGCTTTGGACATAGCCAGGTTGCTGAAATATTGAGCCGACCGGATGTGTTGTTCCGGCAACAAAAGCACAGAGACGTTAAATCCGCCGGCACATTTTTTAGTAGCGTCCCTTTGCTGGAACGTAATGGAGGTGGTCCAGGTGCTTTTATGCGAGGTTTCATGGTGGACAATGCCGAAAAAACTGACGCAACGTTAGTCGATGCTTTGAGAAACCAACTATTTACAGAAGTCGGGAAAAGATATGGTGACGACTTATTTGCAATCAATGCACAGCGTGGCCGGGATCATGGATTATCAGGTTATAATAAATATAGGACACTTTGTGGAATGACAAAAGCCACCCGCTTTTCTGACCTTTCAAATGAAATACCATGGAATACGATTCAAAAATTACAAGCAGCGTACCAAAGTGTTGATGATATTGATTTGTATGTTGGTGGACTTGCAGAAAACAATGTACCTGGAGGACAGGTCGGGCCAACATTTGCTTGTATCCTTGGATACGCATTCCGTGCCCTGAGGAAAGGAGACCGGTTTTGGCACGAAGACGGAAACTCAGAACAAAAGTTCACTGCGCTTCAACTTCGTGCAATAAGAGACACAACCTTCGCGAGATTATTGTGCGACACATCGGAGGACATGCATTATGTAGTCCAGTATCCGATGCTCATGAATCAAGGGAATCACGGTAACATCATTCCTTGTTCAAATATCCCGAAATTAGATATTTCTGCGTGGATGTCGACCACTGCGAAGAATAGATTTGAGTACGTTTACCCAGGCGGTGTTGAATGGACTGCTTGGTTCATAACAAATGAACAAAGCGTGTGGAGACTAGACGAACATGCCTTCAAGCATCGCATGACAATGGAAAGGCCTCATCAAATTTGTAACAAATATCTGGAAACGCAAACTAGGTATGTTAGAGGAGACTCGAATTTACAGATCCGGTATTCCTGTCATCCTGGCACAATTGGACTCACCGACTTTCCACATGAACTTTCAGACAAATACTACTGGACGCAATGGATTTACAGTCAAACCGTAAAAAGTAATAATTTTGGGTGTGAGAACCTCGTCGCTATACAGGCAAAGACACAATTTGGGAACAAGTTTGCCAGCGAAACTGGAGATGTGTTCGAGCATTTTGGGCCAAATGCCGGATTTACATGCAAAGATAAGCACCAATTGAATGGAAAATGCAACCAGTACAAGGTCAGAGGCTTATGCCAACGGGTACAAAAGAGTTATGGATCGATGGATTCTTCCTTCGAGTCGTTAAAGAAAGAAAATGCTCTAGACCCCAATAAAATGGGTGTGCCTTTATCTGTATTGCACACAAAGTCTGCCTTCTGCGAACTATTTGGGATATGTTGTGATAATGTCCGGAGTAAACACGTTAAAAACGTCGTTCCATCGTCGGTACTTCTATCTGCTCAGTATATGTGCAAGGAATACAGACAATGTTGTGATGTATAACATATATAACATATATAGGTGATAACCACTGGAATATTGAGGCAACTGAATTTTGCTACATTAGACAATCATGCTTTTATTGCCAACTCAAACAAATCACTAGAAATAACACCAAAAAAGCGGTTGATTGTTATTATCCGAGACACCCTGTGTCGCAATGTATATATAAAAATAATTTTTTATTGTATTTTTAATAAAATTGCATGTATCTGAGTGATTTCTCAGTTTATGTCTTATAATTAAACGCCATTAGCAAAATGTTTTTACTATTTATTCAATTTTTTAAATGAGTGCTTCAAATGCAACATGGGATAAACAATCTCAGTGATAGAAGAATGCAGATAAAATCCAAGATAATATTGAACTAGCGTTCCGCAATATTCATCCTTGGTTTCTAGAAAGGATTAGCTCAGGTTTCGAATGATTTCTATCATTCATAAAAATATATTTCAGAGTAAGAAAACATAATAACAAAATTTACAAGCTTCAGTAAACAGATGTCATTTGTATAAAGTCCTATTTGCGAGTACGCGGGAATTTGCTTGTGCGAAATTTAAAAAGTTGGACATTGACTATTTTACAGAGTATATTTAAAAAAATATATGGTGTATTATCTCATAATAGCTTCATATGGAATATAATATTTTGCGACAGCGAAACAACAAAAAAAAAATGTACTTACCTATTCACTCTATATTATGATAAATCAAAAATTTGAAGGCAAGCTGAAAGTACTTCAGATTTACCTGTTATCAAAAATGTTAGAAACGAAAGTAGGAAATACTTATTATTATACTATATTTTAGAAATAAATCACCACTGACGAGTTACGTACGGGTTCATATTTGGTACTGAACTAGCAATTCAAAACTGTCAGAGAAAAAGTAAAATAGCAAGGAATTACACACTCACGGCGCACTTGTACGAAAAAAAAGGCTGCATTTAAATGAAACTCAATTTTATTATATGCCTTTCAAAGTTTGTAAACATTTAGGCCTATAGAACAAAGGCAAAAGGTCAACTATTCTTCCTCATCTCTGCCTGATTTTCCTATAAAATTGTAAACTAATCACTCATGTTCGCTAAACCCGGTCCAACAGATAAATAAACTGCAGCAAAGAGTGTCTCTCTGCATTGTTATGTAACAATACAGGCAGACCCTACCTAACAGAAAGTAAACGACATAGAAACGTGGAATGAATTTATTGATTCATATACACAGCATTTAAAATATGAAACAATAAAAAATTGATAATAAATACAATTTGTGAAATATTCAATCATATTTTAAATGTTTTTAAACACAATTCTGTTATTTTTCGCGGCGAACTTAGCAACTCGGCGCGGCGCACCGTTTGGGAACCGCTGTCATAGAGGATTTAGGCATATTCTGCATCCAAGAATAATCAAATTTGATGGAGAGACTGATGCCATTCAATGCTACTTAGGCCTAAGTTGCACTGAAAAAATTTTCAGGGATGTAAGTTTCGAATATTTTATTTTCGAATATATATATATATATATATAATTTGTAATGGTAATTCTGATTCTGTATAACACCGCCCCCCCCCCCCCCCCCCCATCTACACTGATAAATATGCCATAGTCGTTATATTTAAATACAATTATAATTGAATTAGGAATTACGGAATAACAGCGTGGAATCGCACCTCAAAATTAGGGGGGGGGGGTGTTTGAAATTTTAGGGGGGGTGTTCACCCCCTATAGGGGGAGTAGGGATATCACTGGATCATATGTGTACACATTTGGATTAGTCGAATAACATTGAGCAAAACCATATGTACAACCCATGATGGTTGCGGTTTATCAAAAGCTGTAAATGGTAAGGAAAATATACACAAAGGGCTGAGGTATTCGATTTTGCAGAAACCCCAATGCGTCGTGCTATCACTTCATATAATCTTCATGAATAATTTTTTCTTTTTCAAATAGTACCACGACGTATTTTTTGAAATTTCTCCGAATTTATGTTTATTCATATCCTTATGTAAAATGATGGATTCAAACCCTGTGTCTCTCAGAACACGGATGATAAATCTTAATGTTAGCTCATGCCCTAGATATATATATTTATTGTCAATACCGTATCTTTAATGGATTTTTCCAGAATCGTGAGAATTTTGAGACATTTTAAGCAAACCGAAATAATTTGATCGTCAATGAAATATTTGGGTGAATCTATCAATCACCAACTATCGGCGCGGTGGTGTGGCTCAACGGGCTAAGCGTTAGGAATACGCTCGCCACCGCACCTCTAATTACTCTGCGTGGGTTCGCAGGTTCGAATCCCATGCAGGGATGGTTATGTGCGAGAGGATTGCTGGACTCCTCGCCATCGTTGGGTGGTTCACGTAACCGCTGGTCGGTTACGGCTTCCTCCACCACCAAGTCCATGCTTCCGAAAAAAACAAACAATACAGTAAAAAACTAATCCCATACCCGACTTGGAATGGTAACCGGACGAGAGGCCGTGGTTCGCCATATGGATAAGCCGTCTTATCGGCTTTCCTCTCCCCCGGGATAAATATGTAAATCCTATCCTATCCTATTTCCCAACAGTATCCAGTGCCGGATTCATCATTATGCAAGGTAGGCTGAAGCCTAGGTGCCTCGACATGCAATTTTGCAGGCTTGTTTAAAAATTTTACCGGTTTGAATATTTTTTGATTTGAATATTAATGGGTTGATAATTCTTGTCATCATTTTTTTCCCGTTATCAAATAAAAATTAAAGGGAAGTAGGATAGGATTTACATATTTATCCCGGGGGAGAGGAAAGCCGATAAGACGGCTTATACATATGTATAACTGTATTGTTTGTTTTCGGAAGCATGGACTTGGTGATAGAGGAAGCCGTAACCGACCAGCGGTTACGTGAACCACCCAACGACGGCGAGGAGTCCAGCAATCCTCTCGCACATAACCATCCCTGCATGGGATTCGAACCTGCGAACCCACGCAGAGTAATTAGAGGTGCGGTAATTAGAGTCCTGAAGTATGCGTACCAAGGTGGCGGACACCGGAACGTAGAATGTGTACCAGGTTAGGGTTGGGCCACAATTTTATTCCAATTTTCCTTATATTAGTTCTGTTACGAGTACGAGTTACTTTTGTCGGTACAGTCGATAACCGAACCGGTCGATGGGCGAGCGTCGATGTAACCCGACGCTATCGATTTTCTCGCTTTACTTGTAAAAATTAAAATTTGTCATTACTCACGTGACTAAATCCTTTTGCTTTGCCAGATTTTTCATGAAAGTTTTTTTCGACTTGTCATCTATTGTACTCCTTTCTGTCAGCCAATTGAACGGTATTCGCTAAACACCGGCACAAAAAATATAATAGTTTTCAACTACATTTTAATTGAAACAATGGTTTGTACTATAATATTATTTTGGAAATTTACAGTGGCAAAGGAGACATTCGAGTTGACAACACACACACGCACAAGTGAAGATGAACAATTATCTAAAGACTCTATATTAGAAGAAACACATTCTTGCACTTGCTAAAACTGTATTTTAGACAATAAACACTGTGGTTTTACTTTACGGTCGAATTTGATAGATCTTGACTTTCTTAGTAAATAAATGACGGTAATCAAATAGAAAAAAACTGGCAACGTCAATTCAACGAATAAGCGTGTCGTACTGTCGTCGCTGATTTCTTTCGCTTTCCCGCTTTTCTGCATTCAGACGATTTATCCGTCTGTCCTTGGTCGACTCTTCAAGCTTATTTGTGGAACAGGATTTACTTATTTATGGCGTCTTCTAATTCTCGTAAGTGAATTATTTTATGTCATTTTCTTATTCAACATTTGGAAACTGTCTTTATTTTTAAGCAGTTTTTATGAAATAATAATCTAGTAACTAAGCGCTCCGTTCACTCAGACTGCTGGACTGTCTGACTGTAGGTAGGCTATAACCCCGACATCAATTATAAGAGTGATTGCAAATCCTCCTTTACGAGACAGTCTGGGCCTCCATATTGACTCAAAACCGCAATATTTTTTTTCCAAGCATTACTAGGTAAATATGAATAACATAACCAGCGATAAATAAAAACAATCATCGTTGCAAGTGAGTCCTGTTAAATGAATTTATCGAAAGCAATTTAAATTAGGGCCGTCAAATTGGCATTTTCAGATTTTAGAGTAATTTATGCACGAATTTAAATCTGTCAATTTGATAATAGGACCGGCCACATGCATGCTACAGTGCTAGATAATATTTATCGGGTGACTATATACAGATATACAATGTGGGGAAAAAAAGGCTTTCGGAACAATATCGTTATCAATCGTCCTTCGCATATTATAGGTGTCATGACAAATTATTCACTGTATTTCAGCCTAAATTTTGATCCTTTTTTTTCATTTTTTTTGTTATTTTTCTGTATCAGATAATGACAAAGTGACAGTAAAATAGTTGGTCCAAAGTTATAAGACGACATTTAATCCAAAATAATCTTGAAAGGGCTGCACTGAAAATCCTACGGTTGTAATGAGCATCATTATCAATATCATCATCATTCAGTCATTTGAGTTTAAAAGAATCCAAACATATTTGCACTGACAGTAGGCTTTAAAAATAATCAAATTTGAAATTAAATTTGTAATTTGTACTTTCCAGAATATGGATCCTCCGGTGGATATGGACAGCCATCTTATGGTGCATCTGGTGGACAGGGATATGGACAATCTAATTACTCTCAAAGCGGGGGTGGCACTCAAGGTTATGGTCAGCAGGTAAATTGTATTTGAACAGTTTTAAAATTTTAAGATTGAATTTACGTTAATAAGACATCAAAATTATAATAATGTTAAATACATTAGCCTATAATAATATTTATACCTGAATTTAGAAAAGAGTTTTATTTATTACGATATTCAATCAATAGTGAACCACGTTGCTTCTGGCAATCCCCGTTTTGCATAATCATTGGTCCCTACAAAATGTTAAAAAATTTTATTTTTTGTTCAGGGCTATGGATCAGCTGGTGGGCAACAAAGCGGAGGCGCAGGCGGAGTGACTAGTGCCCAAGGATATGGTTCAAGCTATCAGCAACAGGGTGGTTATGGCAGCTATGGATCGAACAACCAATCTGGAGGTATGTGGTAGCAATATAATTATGACTGAGACCGTGAGTCAGAGTTTGACATGCTTTTATTGATATAAAGTCGGAGTCCTAATAGAAATAGAAGTCTTGACTTCCAAACATTTAATTGAAGTCAAAATCACAGATGGAAACTAAAATGTATTGAGCGTTTTCCAAGTCTTGATATAAAATGAAATAAGGCTTGAATACATCAACAAATTATCTTTCGTAGCTGGAATTCTGAGTTGAAATTGCTTCAATCCGATATCATATGCCAAATTTTTATTAATCAGGAATCGGACGCATGGTACAGCAGTCATTTTTGAAATAGCTCAGATTTGATAATCTCGTTTAAATCCCACTTAACTCAGCCCTGGTTAAATCGTATATATTTGATTGGTCATATCCTGTACTACATATTAATTTTCCAGGCCAGGGTTATGGACAACAGCCGACTGGAGCTGCACCTGCTGCTGCTGCTGCTTCTGCTAGTGGTAGTAGTAGTTATGGTGGTCAGAAAAACAATAGCGGCTACCAACAAGGTGGAGCCAGTGGACAGCAATCTGGACAACAGCAAGGTGGTGGATATGGTGGTCAGCAACAACAGAGTGGTTACAGTGGACAGCAAGGTGGTTATGGTGGACCACAACAAGGTGGTTATGGTGGTCAGCAGCAAGGTGGCTATGGTGGACAGCAGCAAGGAGGATATGGGGGAGGCCATCGTGGTGGACAACAGCAGTCTCAGCAATCGTATGGATCTGGTGGAAATTCAGGTGGCAGTGGGAGCTACGGCCAGGTGAATTAAAATTTTGTTTTGGGTGAATTTGAAAATGAACTGTTTTTATAATGTTTGTTTTCTTGCAGTCTGGCGGAGGTAGCAGAAATCAATCATATGGCCAACGGGACAGTGGCTCTGGGGGAGGTTCACAGTCTTATGGTCAGCAAGGTGGTGGGGGAGGAGGCGGCTACAGAAATGATCAGTCTGGTAAGCTGGACTATACTCTTTCGGTTTCAAACCATATATATATATATATATATGATTAATTTATATTGCTTGATACATAAGTTTAATTATAAATTAATATTCCCATTTCTAACTTACTTATTCTTATGGCATGCTAGGTGGTGGAAACTACGGTGGAGACCAGGGTCCCAATAACTATAATCAAAGTCAACAGGGGCCCATGGGGCAATATGGAAATAAGAACCAGGGTTATCAAGATAGAGGGTATGGTTCTGGTGAGTAACTTAGCCATCTGTTTGATGGTTAGAGTGTGAAATTAGCAATATCATTTAAAAAATATTTTCCTGCTCAAGTAGGAATATAATTCAATCACTGTCTGTGTTTTTAAAATTTTTCGCTGAGGTGAATTTATGTTACTGACCTGTAAATGATTGGCTATTTCAGGTGGCGGAGGTGGTAGAGGATATGACAGTAGGGGGGGTGGACGAGGAAGCAGATTTGATCAAGGTGGTGGAAGAGATGGTGGTGGTCGTGGTAGAGGTGGTGGTGATCGTGACAGAGATAGCAGTGGATATGGTGGTCGAGGTGGCTCGCGTTCTTCAGATTATGGAAATGAATCACGGTACGTATTGTTATTTGTTTGAAATGACCTATTTCACATAATACCAATGTTACAAAATATGTGTGTTACAAAATATGAAAAAGTGGAATTTAGAGGAATTGATGGAGGTATTTCATTAGAGGAATATGTGTATGTCTTCCAATGATATGAACAAAATTGTTACTTGACCAAATATTATCAACGTTATATGGGAATTTGTTGTGGGATTGTGAAAATGGGGCTCATGGAAACTCAGCTGTTTTGTTTAACCATTTTTCAACAAAGAAGGTTATTTATTGGTGATGGAAACTTCTACTTGCGTTTTGAAAAACAAGAAGATATTGGCAATATATTTTGGAGACAGGTATTATAATGTTATGCATCTGTGAGAGTTTAACAAAATTATTTATAACGGCTTATCTTTAAGAGTAATATACCAATGTGCAGGCAAATATGGGCCTGATAACAGGGTATAAGATATAGAGGTATGAACATTGGGATTTGATAATATAAAACACAATAGGAATGAATGTTTGCTATAGGGCTTATATCGAGGAATTCGTTCTGTGTTAGCATTGTTTGTTTTTTATATTATCTATTGAGTTGGGATGAAATCTTGAAGTGTTATGATGTTGTACTTGTATTCTACAATTTTTAATATAATGAAGCTTTGTTTCAGGTTTAGCTTATCTTCGCACATACATCAGTTGTATTAGTTTGAATACATTTATACGCAAGGGCACTCATTCTACGCCAACTTTTACACATGGACACGAACACATACACATACACACAAAAATGACTTTGTGTGGGTTTGTACACATTGTGGCAAACTCAATGCTACACAACAGGCTGATCACAGCTACCACATAATTGCATTCTGAATCCTGATGTGAAATTTTGATTACACATGAAGTACCGTATTTTGAATGAAAATGATTGTCTACCAATGGATAGGCAATGTTTTCCTGTCTGTTTTTGGTATGTGAACGACCATAATATCTGGATCAAGAAGTGGGTTTTTATCTTCATTATTTCATCATAGTAAAGATGTAATGAAGAGCGTGTTGGTTGGCATTGGTTTATAGTAAATGTAAAAATAAAAAGGCAGATTCACACTCATTATATTTATCCTCCAAAAAGTGATAAGATTTCATTTACAATTTCATGCTGATTTCAACCTACAAAGTGTTTTAGTAGCAGAACTGCTGTTCAGTTATTAAACCAGAGTAGGGCTGCTAGTACAGAGCCTTGTTCGAAGTGAATGATGTATAAAAATGGGGTTGCCTTCATTTTTAGGTACCAAACAATGGCTCGTTCATACATATATGCCGTAATTGCCTGTTTCATGCCTTTAATGACAATCTTGTTTTTATGAAGGATTCTGCTGATTGTGATATATCCCCAATTCATTATTTGAAAATTGTTCCATAAGCTATTGATTAGCTGTGAAATGAGTGTCTTGATATGAAAAGCCTACTGCATATTTATTTTGTCAGTCCAGAAGGTTTTGACAAATAATAATTATTAAACCTTGGTGGAATACCTGGGGTATTGGTGGGAGCCAACAAGTACATCAAACAAAAGAATATAAAAGAAAAATTTTATTTTATGAATTCAGTGGACGAGGAGGTGGCGGCGGACAAAGTGACTACAAACCTCGTGGTGGAGGTGCCGGTAAGTCCCTCCCATTTTAGAAGGATGTGTATATCTTGAAATTAAAAAATCGTTTCTCAGGTTGGCAAAGTAAGTATCTGTATATGCAAGGTTTCGAAAACGGATTAAATAACTGTCTGAAAGAAGCTGAAGCCACTGGTGGTATTTTTCGGTTTTTCTGAATATGTCCCAAATATATTGGTAATTTGTTGAATAAAATGGAACATTTTTTACCCATTGTATTTTTAAAGTTGAAATATACTGAAGTATGTTCCAAACAAAATGGTACTGTTGACAGCGGTGGTCCCAATCTTTTGTGGCTCGGGGCCCCCTTATGGAGGCTTTTAGCGCTCATCCCCCCATTCGTCATTCCAGTGGTATTTATAGTGTTGTTTTGATTGGTAGATTCCAAATCCCATTATTTTCCAACAATTCATGCTCAATAAAACGAAAACACCCTGTGAAATAACGTTATCAATTAATGAAACTAGGAAGAATTGGAAATTTCCTTGTTAAGGGAAATGTAAAATCAGCCCCTCTTCAATCAGTGATGGTTGAACAGCTGGTCCAAAGGAATCTGAAGTTGGGATGATACATTTTTATATTTTATAAATTATTATAATATCCCCGAAGTATGTTGGTTTTCTGGGATGATATGATGGATTTCAAATGTCAAGGAGAATTTTTAAGGTTGTACAAGGTCAAGAATATACAAAATCGTGTAATACTTGAGTTTCTGATAGTGGTATAGATTATTTTTAATCAAATGTGTCAACAGGGTAAACTCAAATGTGGTATCCATTTATACCTATATACTGGTAAAATGGCAATTTTTTTTTGTAGGAAGTTTTCTCATCAAGTATCTGGAAGTATAATGTGAGGTTTTATTATGATAATTAAAAATATTAATATCACCCCAAAGAAACTAAAGTTATCCAAATATTATGTTTTTTGGCTTAAATGATGCGATTTCCCAAATAGCACATTTTAAGTGATGTTTGAAAGTGTATTTTTAAACTTCTATTATGACAAGTAACAAAAAAGTGGTTCCTGGGTCTTCTTTATTCATGGAGAGGTACAGATCCCAATTTCCAAATTTGGATATTCCAATACAAGAGAAAACTTTTTCATGAGGAAGTTGTTTTACTTACTAAATAGCCCATTTTTATTATGGTAGTCATGTCAATACTATGTTGCGTGGCGTAAAAACAATGCAGTTGTGTGATACAGCAGTGCACAAATTGCGTTTTTTACATCATACAATGACTGGAAATTTTAGAGATTTTCACAAAAATAATAACAATGGCACGTTATTGTTTAATGCTATGCCGGAAGAAATAACCAGTGAATGAGCAAGGTTATTTCCAAATGTAGTAAATGCTTTGAATCTGTCTTCTACTATTTCTAATCCCAAATCTAAAACAAAGATTTAAACCTGGACGTTCAGCTCTCACATACGATACTTGAGATTTGTTCAAAGTGTTGGTGTAAAATATTGCTTGAAATCAATGTTTTTCACGGACTTGCTATTTGCAAGTGTGCTTCTTACATATTGTGAAATGTTCTTAGAACTTGAACCTTCTATAGGTTGGTGTCATTTCGATATCAAATATTAGGTAGATTTTTTGAATATTTATCATAGCAAGGGGTTTGAAAAACATCACTATATTCTCCTATTTTATTTACATCATGCTCTTACTTGATGTTTAAGATTTATTTTCATTATGAATGAAATGACACGAAATATAGACGATAATATCATCAGGGTGATGATAAATTTTAAAGTAAAATATATATAATAGGGAGCTGAAAATAGGCATAGAAAACGAGAAGTAACCTCGCCTTGTAGAATTCTGTAAGAAGAAACCTGCAATTTATTACCAATATTTTAGGAATTGTTAGGAATCTGCAACTGTAGGGAATCTGGAATTACTTTTATATGACAGTATTTGTCAGCTAAGAGTCTCCATTGTCATTGCTTTTCTTTAGATGATACCTGGTACAGGGAGGCCCTGATAAAAAATTTTTGGCTTCAGGATCATATTTCCTCCAATTATAGTGTACGAAAATAAGATTTTCTATTTCTTCAGCCATTTTTTATGCAAAACAAGATCAATACTTTTATTGTATTAAAAATTTGAATGCTTTCTGAACAGAGAGGGGTGGATATTCTATCCCAAAAACATATTATTGGCTCAACTAATTTTTTACTCAAAGCAGGTGTTATAGGTTGCATGAGCTCTTGCTCGCCTAACACAGCAATGAGCATCATCGGGACTTAGGCTAAATAAAATTTTGACTCAATCAGACAGAAAAATAAGTGTTTTAGATTTGAAAACATAGCAGCAGTTTACATCATTTGATGTCAAATTTGAGTTAGGATAATCCTGGTTGACTATCTACATTGTTTGTCACAGTGCTTATTAGAAGATATTGCACTAGAATGGAATGCTCAAGCAAAACTAAAAAGACATCTTATCTTCTTTGCACTCTCTTTAGTTTAAAAATTGAATATTAATTAAGAAAATAACAAACTATCATACAATACAGTTGACAACCTTTGAGAAAATAGAGGTCGACTTTGCAGCTAATCCAGTTTTATATATTTTAGTGATGCTGGCATTTGACACAAATTCGGTTTTGGAATATTTTTGATTTTGTACTATCTCATGTACCCCATCTCGCGGCATAATAAATTGGGTAGGCAATGCTAGTATGCAATGCCTTGTTTAGAGCACAAGGCGGGAATAATCGTTCATAAAAAATATGTAAAGCAGGCAGCATGTGATTAAAAAAATTTGAATACTTTGACAGCGGTTTACTATTTTGTCATGACATGTTGTTATTTTTTTATATTATATTCTAAAATAATATGATATAGTGTAGTATAATATACTAATATATTAACCGACCGAGGTAAAAATATGATGGGGAGTTTGTGAGACAATTTTTCATTTTAATCTTTTCTGCATGTAAGAAACTATGTGAAGGTGGATGTAACCCGAGGTCTTTATCTTCCAGAATCCCCGATCATCACTACATTGTCTTGATCATATCTTTATTTGTTGCGATACAGTTCACATTTTTAAGAACTGAAAGATAGGAAGTGTCGATGCCTAGATGCATATTATACATTAGTGCTAATGTTAGCAACATAATTTTACTCTCCTGCTCCAAATTCATTTCTATCAGATGTTTTACATGAATATACTATCGTTTAAGTTGTTTCTTCCAGTCCATGTTTTTTTTTGTCTTATCAGATTTGTGACAACAATTTTGTGACATGTGACAACTGTTGGTAATAGCATTGAACTATGTCTGAAAAGAGATTTCTATTTTGCTCTAGAGATTTTATAATTTTTTTTGCATTTTTTACTTGATTTGTACGGGTTGTTTTGTGCATATTTTCACATAAAAAAGTTCTTAAGCAAAGATAAATTACATGAAATTGTGGATTCCGAAAAAGCTGGGTTGATTTGATATGGGATTCACCTAACATAAGGTTACTGTGATAGATTTTGTATTTACAGCTATTAATCATGCTTAGAGATCTTAAGACAGATACCTCATCTATTATATACTGTATCAAAAATAGCATATTTGACATGCCCCATCCCAGAAAGTGTGTTCCAAATTTGTTGTCTATCCATTCTGAATTGTTTAACATTTAAAAGAATATGATACACATATTCTAACTAAGTCTGTGGCATCGGGAAAAATTATGATCAACTTAGAGTGGAAAATATTTAGACTCAGACTTCAGCTCTCTCCCAAGAAAATGGAATTTTTCATAACAAGTCAGAAATTTCGAATCCCAAGACTATGGGGAATTCAAAAATTTCTCACTGTTCTAGGGTTTTTTAAAAATGGCCCAGACTTCAGTAAAAACATTCCTTACTCTGTTCCCATAGCCTCGATTGTAACTCATAAATGAATTTCAGGAGGTGGATATCAACCAAGATCGGAGGAAGCTGGTCCTGAAAGTGACACAGTTTTTGTATCTGGCCTTCCAGATGGTGCTGACAAGATGAAGATTGCAGAATATTTTGGCCAAATTGGCATCGTAAAGGTAGGAATGTCATGTAGTCATTTCACATTGGTAATTAACATGTCTACTCATTTCTGAATAAGGAATCAGAGTCTCAATATATTATTGAAGTATTCAATATATCTACACCAGTTGTTTGCCAAAAATGAAAAAAGTAGTCAAAGCAAAGCTCATGCATGTCCTTGTGGTGATAAAAATTCATCAAATATCACTGCAAAAATGCCTCAAGGGCAGTTAACTGGTGTTTTGGTGTTCATGGCAACCAACTTGTCATGGGCTACTGGATATATTGCATATCTCTACTTATTTCCATTGTTATTGTTCAAATTTTCCTAATTCTGTGAATGTAGCCCACTGATTTTTGTTGGATGTGATAATGAAGTATAATCTGTTCCTTATATTTAAAACATTTTATTTTAGTAGGGTATCACATAATTCAAATATTATTTCAATGGGTGCATAAAAATTGTCGTTCCGTAATTATTTATGTTTGTAATTACAGAAAGACAGACGGACTGGAGAGCCCAAAATCTATGTTTATATGGACAAAGAAACAGGAGCTCCGAAGGGTGAATGTACTGTCACATATGATGATCCACCATCAGCCAAGGCAGCCATAAACTGGTTCAATGGTAAGTTGCATTTGAATGGAAATTATGATATGGATTAGTTAATGCCATGTGTGAAAATAATATGCAAGTATATCTCCACCAAATTGTAAATTTTGGGCACTATTGTGTCGAGTGTATGTTCTAGTAGTTGTCGTAAACTAGGGGTGTACAACAGGCAAGGCAAGCCACAACCCGGCCTGTCAAGCATTTATCGTGGTCCATGTCAACACTCAGATTTTTTCCATCAAACATAAAATCTGAATCTGACTCGCTTACGTTCGATTACATAATGTTTTTTGATCTTGTCGCTGAGTCAAGTCTTTTGCCGTTTATTACTGCATTCTCTCTTCTTGCCTTACTCACATAGAACATCTAAATTTTTTGTGTGGCCCGGCTAGATGTCTAAAGTTCGTTATATTGTCCGCTGACAGAATATGTTGCACAACCCTATCATAAACAAACCAGAATCAACACGGTCTATTTCGACTAATCTTAAAACATGCTATTGGATTTTCGATTTGTTTATAAAATGTTACTTGAGATGGTAACTCTCATTTCACCGAGATGTTTTTTTTTCTGCTCTCCAACTGACTCACAAATCAAGTCTTGCTGGCTATAAGTAATCATTTTGTTTAGATGACCTGGGTCACTCATTGAGAAAGGTGGTAAACGTTTAAATTCTCAACAATTTTGATATAGATTCTAGATTGATGGTGAATGTGATTTCTAAAAAAAAGAATTTTTTTCTGTGATGCACTTTGTAATTGGTATTTTTTTTTGCAGGCAAAGACTGGTTGGGTGGCACTCTCAGTGTTAGCTTCGCACAACAAAGACAAGGTGGATTTGGTGGTAAGAATCGAAACATTTTTACATTTGAAATTTTACTTTTTTTTTCCGTTACAGCAACACTTTTTTTGTTTAACAGCCGGAAGAGGTTTCGGAGGTGGAGGTGGAGGCGGAGGCGGAGGAAGAGGCAGAGGAGGTGGTGGCTTCAGAGGTTTGTGATATTTCATTTTGTTATTGGATGTTTGCTGTGAATGAAGCGTAAGCAAGCAGGTGGACGATCTAATATCATGGTTTTATAGACTGGTAGTGGTAACCAGACTAAAGGCAGTGGTTCACCTTACGATCAAGTCGTCTATTCGGCTATCCTCTCCCCTCTGGTAAATATGAAATTCCTATTCTCGATTGAAATGATAAGATTATCGTTGGGGTATAATCAACAAATCGGACTGTAAATTGTGTTTAACTCAAAAGTTATTGTTGTAAAAAAAATTCAGCTCTGAATTTTGAAAAGTTTAAAATTTTGAATATTCCTTCTCAGGTCGAGGTGGAGACAGAAGAGGGGGTTTTGGAGATCGAGGAGGAGGTAAAATTTGATGTCCTTTTTTGATCAAATGCAAGCATACACAATTTTTATCGTATACTGAACTCCGCAACCAATTCCAATCCAAATTTTGCTATATTTGCCCCACATCTTAACATTATGCCTAGCTTGACCACCATCTTTTGACAAAACCAGTGCTCAGCTAAGAAATTACATTTGCATCCATATATTTGAGTATTGCTCCCTTCCGTGCCGTTTAAACTTGAGCCAATAATTTGTTCAGGTGGGCGATATGGAGGCGGAGACAGATATGGGGATAGAGGTGGAAGAGGCGACAGTGGCTATGGAGGTATGGACTGATACTGACTTTTACAGTAGTCATTAGTAGACTCAAACAACTTGCATAGTCGTAGTCAAATTTCCTAGCTTTCAGTGTGACTTTTGATCTTGGGAATCCAATTGGCTTGGCATAGACTTGAGATTAAGGGGCTGCAAGTTGATAAGTGGCAAATAACTCAACATAAATAGAAAATGACAGTACTTGACTTGGGACTCTGTGTTTGATCAATTTATTTTCTGGTATATTATAATACACTGACTTATACGCTTTCTCTTCTTGCTCATCAGTTCATCTCGTTATATGGATGCAATCACCCACTCTGGTTTATGGTCAAGAATTGAAATTTGTGAATATCGCATCGTCTTATATTGAATGTCCCGACTTATATTGTTCTGATATACCATTGCCATCATAGGACAATCAAAAATGAGACTTGTCACAAATTCGAATTTATATTTTTGGATCATCCCCAGTTCTAATTTTCTCTTTTCCGGTATTTTTTTCGATTCATGTATATGTATCTTGCTAAGATGTACATTTGACCCTATTTAGGTAAATGGTAACACTTCCTATATATAATTCTCAGGTGGACGAGGTGGTGGGTACGGTGACAGAGGTGGAAGAGGACGAGGTGGTGATAGGGGCGGTGGAAAATGGTATGTACAGTTCTACCCATGTCAAAGCGTATATTGGCTAGTGTGGATCTATGTTAAATTCTGCCTCAAAACTTTGCAACATGCAGAACTATCCACTTTAAATAACATATTTAGTGTCATGGATAGAACCTTTTTCCATGACTTGTTTTGTATTGTCAATTTGAGCAGCCAATTCTATACAGAAAGCTAGTTACTTATCGATCTTAAGATCGTTAAGTATGTTGATGGGTATTTGTCTGTTTGTTTGTCTGTCTGTCAGATGCACGCAATATCTCACGAAAGCGAGGTTGAATCTGCTCCAAATTTCGCATGTGCATTCATTATAGCTCTGATCAGAAGCCTATTACTTTCGATGAATTATGTTGTATGATAGGCGAGTTATTAATTAAGTAGTGATGGGACACACAGTGTCACTATGGAGTAAGAGCGCTGTTTTGGGGGGTCCCCTAACCTTCGATCGATAAGTCTTCGGTTTCCGACCGATATTCTCGTTTAACTATTGCGACGACATCTTATTATGGCCTGCGGCCTACCCAATTATCACATTCTTTATGATGTATTATGGACATAGTTTTCCAACTAGTTTGTAATATATACCGGTATGGGTGCTCCCGAAGTATGCGAACCAAGATGGCGGACATCGGAACGTAACATGGGTAACGGGTTAGGGTAAGGCGATAATTTTTTTCCAATTTTCCTTATTTTAGTCCTATTAGCAGTTGGAAGACTAGCCAAGAGCCTCCCGTAGTATTTATACCTAAAATTATGGCCTAACCCTAACCTAGTACACATATTACATTCCGATGTCCGCCATCTTGATTCGCATACTTCGGGAGCCCCCCCCCGGTATGTATTAGTTTTGTTCATAATATTATTAACTTATGTTGCCTCCAAAGGACCTTGCCATTTTTAAGATTTATTGTAATTCTAAAATTACATTATATACATTGTCTTCTAATTTTCATCTCTCGTTATGTAGGAGAGGACCACCACGAGGGGGAAGATCAGACCCATATTGATTCTTGGTATTTGACAAAACTCAATGAAACCTTACCACAGCCGCACTCCAATACCAGTTTATACATTGAATATTCAGTGAACAAAGTGCGCGAGTGTTTTGCTGTTTTCTATCTTATGTATTTTGCTTTTTATAATGGACTTGCTCCCATACTATTTTGTATAAAGTGTACAGACGTCTTTTATCGCTTCACATTCAGTTTCACTGCCTGATTTATTAACGGTAATATCAGCTGTATGATGACATTTTAGAAGTTGAACGTCGTACGACCATGAGTTATCCCTGGTCCATTCGGTATAAAGGTTATGCTCAGATTTGATGAGGAAAAAGACTAGCCGAAAAAGGGAGTACTTGGGATTGAGATAAAATGTTTCTTACCCCTTTTTTCGAAGGATGACCAAATCAAATAATGTTTCAATTTTCTCTATTTGAACTAGTCTTTGTAAGCAAACAGGTAATTGTAGACTGTTAATAAATTAATACTGGTTTTTATAAATAAAATGGTGTGTTTGTTCCGAAACATTGGAGCCCTGTGAAAATGTTATTAGGTAGGCTTACCATATGTTCCGCTTTAGGCGGGACAGTCCCGCTTTTCAGCGTTTGTCCCGCCGTCCCGATAAGTCAGCCAAAAGTCCCGCTTTTCCAGCATAATACCCAAACATGATCTCGTTCATGTTGTTTCTGTGTAGCGCAGCGCTAGCCCACTTACTGAAGGCGAATGCGTTCGTTTTCAGCTGATTCCCATTGATGGCTGACGTATCGCATGCAAAATCAATACTAATTAGTCTAAATTCGAATTATTTGTATCATTAACGTCAATTCCTCCCTATTTTTCGAACTGCACTCGATATTTGGACAGAGAATATGCGCATGAAATTTCGATACCAATATGGTCAATAAAGACAGCTTTAAATGTAGGCCTATGTAGTAAAATCGGAAATTGTTATGTTACAAAATCCCAGCTGAGGGGTAGTTGTCTTTGAGGCGTCCCGATTTGAAGTCACAAAAATATGGTAACCCTATTATTCGGTGTTCTCTGTATCCTTGCGACGCACGGTGACAACGATCCACCATGACAGACGTTTCAAACCTTGGGCCCGACGTTTTTTGTTATAAATTATCGTGTTTTACGGGCCGTGAGGCGCACTTTGAATCCCTTTTTTCTCAAAAATCGATCGTGCGCCTTGTAAACCGATGCGCATGATGTATGGGCTAGGTAGTGCTTTATTGCCTACACTCAAAACCGGTACTACTATTTCACGAAATAAAAACCCGTCGTTTGAGCAATAATCTACGGTAAAGGCAATTGTAATGATCATTGAGAATATATTCCAGTGTCTTGTGTATCGCCTCACTTTGTCAGTTGTCGTTCCGAGGGTACCTAGCGTGTCCAATTTTAAACATCTACTAATCGTAGGCTGTCCTCGTATTCGATGGTATCTAGGCCAGCATGGTTTGTATACCCAGAATTAGGCTTGCACGTAATTTACAAATTTACGGAATTATTTCGAATTACGCAAGCGAAGTCACGAATTACGTAAAGTCGTAATTATTGGTCGAGCGCTTTCGCGATTGAAACGAGCTCTCTTCAGAGCAGTCAATTCCGTCGATTGTAAAAAATTAAAGTTTAAGTAAAAGAAGTTAGAGTTCCGGTATTCGCAGCCGTTTTTCTCTCTCTTGTTAGGCAGATGGGGAGGGCATAACGCGTCATTTACTAACCTATTATCAACTTATCTAAGATGGCCAATGTACATATTAACCGTAAATAAGGAATAGAATTGTGTCGAGACCGATGGACGCCAACACACCTGGTTTCAACTTCTTCGGGTGAAATGAGTGAAGAATGTAAGAGATCAACTTATAAAACATGGTCTATTTGTAAATGTCGTGATAATTAATGTCGCGCTTATCAAACAGCAAGAGACGGAAGAGAAATTGCGTAATGAACCAACGCAACTTAGTCCTTTCGGCATCGGTAAAGCGATTGAGACGGCAGAGAAACAACATTACGACGGGATTTCTCGTGTTTATTCTGCGCGAAATCCATTTTCTATTACAAAATCTTGATGTTCTGTTACCGGTTTTATCGTTATATATCTGTCCGGACTTGGCATTGCTCAATATGTTTTTCACAATGCCTCGCAAATCGCAATATGTCGGCCAAATATGATTACCTGTCTTTACCAAATGCGGCAACTTATTTTGATTTATCGTCGACCTGAATACCACCGGCACTCGACCAAACTTGTGTCAATCTTGGCAAATAGGATTGTCGACTTGAGTTAGAAAAATAAATTAATATTTTCATGAGTGCAAAATAAATGTCACAAAATGCATTGTTTCGCAATATAACTTTGTATTTTCGGAGAAGGCATGCCATATAAGTACGGTATTTTAAATAATGCGCAAATAATTAATATTTGATCTAAATTTATCGTAAATAATGTTATAAAATTTAGGCCGCGAAATGATTTAATGTAAAATGAAGCATGGAATTCGGAATATCGTCAATAAGTCGGCATCAATAATTATTATAAAATGCTAACTAAGTAGTAAAGTCGGATATTGTAAAAAACGGTGAAATAACAAGTCTTCGTCGCGAGGCAAGCGAAAGTATAATCAAACGAGAGAATACGCTTGTAGTTGATTAATAAATTAGCAACCCGGAATTTTTAATTCAATACGAAAGTCGTATTAATACGTCAATACGATTTTAAAAAAGTGAACTATCGTTTCTTAAATATATTACCAGTGTTGGTAATGATAAAATTGATCGCATAAAATTTGGTGATAAAGTTGATAAAGGAAAATCAAAGCTAATACAAAAGATAAAAATCAGAATAAAATTATTTTGAATTCACTCCTTGATATTTGTCTTTAACATCTGTCTCCGGCGTGTGGTACTGCCGGGAATATGAAAACCAAACTTCGATGTCCCATTCGGAATAGAAGTGGATTAAATTGGTTGGTATGCTAGGTTTAAATGTGTGAAAAAAATATCGCAATTACGGGGTCATTACGTAATCGATTTGGCCGTAATTACGGAATTGATTTTTGTCAATTACGTGCAAGCCTACCCAGAATATATTTAACCGCTTAGAGTTTAAAAGTACTGTGATACTGAAATTATTAACGAGACACGACAAATAACTGTTTCATAGATGTTATTGTCACGTAATGATAATGCCACAATTTAACTAATAATATTTTGATCTCTGATACCGGGACCGAGTAGTCCTGCGAAACCTGTTTGCTATTCACGCCCGCTGGTTAAACGAGCAAACTTAGTAGACTAACTACCCAGGTTGCATACCGTCACGCTAATAACCAAATTGCTTAATTCATATTTACTCCTAATAATATTGTCAGCCCTTGAGAGAAAATAATTTCCCGTGGTTCAATTTTATGATGTAGGCACGTGACGTCATAATGGCGCACTGTGACTTACGCAGAAATGTGCCTATGACTTGAAATTCCACTTGATGTGTTTTGGATTTCAATAAAAGAAGAATATAAGCACATTTCCACTGCAGTTAACAATGCCGTAAGATTGATAACAGAAAGAAAATATTTTTTGTGCTCACAACCTATGAAGCCCTTCGTAGGTAGAAAATCCCGTAAGTAATTTTACCTGTAAATGCCCTAATCCGTTCCAATCTCCCGCAAAACTTGAACATAATATTTGTATAATGGCTAAAACCCGTAACAAATTCATGTTAGAAATAGAGCATTGCATAATAAATAGATAATATATACATGGAAAAAAGGAAGAACAAAGAAATACCGCATAAAATCTACAAACGGCATGTTCGTTTACTCTCGTCGTTGGCCGACTAAGGTAGGCTAAACGAAGACCGCGGAGGGTGGGAGGACGGGCCGGGGGAGATGGCAAAAGTTGACAGCTGATCGAGAACCTAATGTAGGCCTACAAAATGAGCACACACACATGTAATTCAAATTTTTTAAATGTCTTTTCAATTCATTTTTCTTTGTGTTAACTGTTACGCGCGTATCATCGTGTTCGCACTGAATTTCGCTAGCAATACATTGTACGTACCCTCGGGAAACAAACGAACGGAATGGCAGATAATCATTTATTAAACCAAAAGTGAACGGCGGCGCTAGGCTATCTGCGCCATATTCGGTATTCTTATAAACACAAAAAACGATATTCGAAGGTGTCTTTATTATAATATTAAATTCGAATTGGACATCCCTTCTTCAAGCACAGCATTAAATTAACCTAAACAAATATCACTGAACGCGTTGTTCGGATTTTCGACCTTAAGTATGAGAAAAATCTTACGATAGCCGATACAATGAATTTTCATATTCAGAGCCTTTCGTATAGGTAGCGTTGAGGTGCGGCCCGCAGCTTCACCCAGTTAGTTGTATTTTGCCCTCCTGTAATAAAGGTTGCACATCTCTGATTTACATCGTTGGGATGCTCCAATTTCTTTCTATATTTGGACAAAAACCAACAGAAAGATGAAAAAGTCTATTGAAAGCCAGTTCGTAATATTTTACTACAAAAATTGTGAATTAATGCATTACTACTGAAACATTATTTTGTTAGTTCGGAAGAAGTGATTTGTAGTCGTGCAATTCAATACAGAAACATATAAATGCACTATAACAATCAATTAATATCATCATGCTGTCCCAATATATTTCAATTAAAGAAATGTCACTGGTCTCTTTTCAATCCAAGCGGCAATCTTGGGAAGACTTTTCACTTTTTCGTATATTTTCTGCATCTCAGGAACACTAGAAAATATGTCGTTGCAAACCGGCAACACAAAATCTCCAAACGTGAACAAATAGAGATCGGCGAGTGTAAACTGTGAATACACATACACATCAAGGAATTTACCAAAATATATTTGAATATCAAAATATATTATCACTCTATTTTCCAATGTTGCACAAGCAACAGTAACATTTTTTAGATTATATTTTCAAGAAATACCGACTTCTGTCAGCTTGAGTGCGAATAGAATTCTACATACTGCTTAGTTAGAGTTATTAAGACTGGAAAATATGGATCATCAACATTGTAAGTTTGATGAAACCTCTTTTCACACAAACCTGCAGAAAAGCTGCAAATATCTGAGTTGCTGAGTAGAACTGGCCTACTAATATAAGTCGTCACAACATAACAAATGTAGCCGATTTGGTTTTAAAGCAAATTATACTTAAAAGAAATTACTGAAACTAACAAGTTTACGCAAAACTTATTTGGGTCGGAAGTGTTAAACACTCAGTGAAAAATTTCCGCTGAAAATGGGATTCGTTATGGTTGATGGATTGAGAATTAGAAATTACCCTTTAATAAATTCTACGTGATGAATTCACTATGGATTTTGTCACTTAATTTTGGTATACATATATATGTCTATATCATACATACCGTTCCAAATATCCACTCTCCCTCATGGGGACATTTCTCAATCATTTTCTGAAGTCTAGACAAGGATTCAGGAGTCGTTTTTTTAAATTCCTCGGCTCGAGCTGCCTGTAATATTGTGAAAATTTATAAACGTATTTAGTTAAACTCGTAACTTACGAGTAGTAAATTGCTTCAGCATTTCAAAATCAGGAATAATACTCCGGAGTCCCCTGGATTTAATTAGGATGACGTCCCATTTCACATGACACCATGGACCTACTGCTCTCTCCAAATAATTGGCAGAATTTTGGAATATCGCTATACTACAACAAAAGCACTATTCTGTAGTGATAAATATATTTGTAAATTTAAATTACCTTCTTTTTTTCGTCTTCCTCCATAAAGGGATATTTCCATACAATTTCCATTATTGAGTCACAAAACATTTCGATGTAATATGCATCTTTGCTCGTTTTTCCCATTAACCCAAATTCCCTTGCCATGTAACGATTCAGCGTTGCAGATTGGCAAAGTTTGACTCCGTCGACTTCCAAGACTGGAAGCTGTCTTAGAGGCATATCTGAAAACGAGTATAACATTTGCAATGTGCGACTTTTAAAAAAGATTGTAAAACTTTATAAACGTATTTAGTTAAACTCGTAAATTACGAGAAATTGCTCAGCTTTTCAAAATCAGGTTACTACTCTGGAGTCCCCTGGATTCTATTTGGATGACGTCACATTTCACATGACGCCATGGACCTAATGCTCACTCTAAAAAATTAATAGAGCGGGTTCCGCCTACATAGAAGTAAAGATAATTGATCTCTGAGAAAAACTGGCTTCCACTAAAATACCAAAAAATACTGAAACATTAATTGTATCGAAAATTACGGTTTTTAGAATCAGTATTGATTCTTGGAGAAACGAGAAAGTATTAGTGGTTTAATACAGCACTTCTGAAACGGTGGTATGCAACCCACTGGTTGGCATCTCGTGGTGGGCGGCGAACTCGTTGCCAAATTATTCGTATTTTTCTATATATTTTATGATAGAATTTGAATTAATTCTAAATAGGATAGCAATACTTTCTAACGAGGATACGGTGGTGGTATTTGAGAATAGCAAGGTTTTTATTTTTCCGTAAATATGAAAATACGAATAACAAATTAATAATAATTGAGCAGTTTACCACACATTTTATGTCCACATATTTCCGGGTAGTTTTAGGTAAGATTTATTTTTTCGTAAGTCAGCGTAATCATGAGTTAGTTACTTTGAACACGATTGAATTAATATACGGTTTAAAAAGCTGGTATAGGTTATGGATTTGAATATTTCACGCAACAGAAAATCATCTTTATAAAAGTCGATACTTATAACTATCATTATCAAAATTATATGACAAAAAGTGGGAAAAAGTATTTTCAAGTATATCTTAACAAATGCGGCATTACATAATTTTCACTATTTCGACGTATTGGAAATAAAACGGGAAGCCTTGCAATGGAATGGCGGCAATACGCGCAACGCAACCGTGCAAAATTGTCGCAACGATATGCGCGACGCTCGCACAGCAGACAACAAACAATCAAAGTGGTGATTCTGTTTTATCGCCATTACAATACGTGTAAAAACACAGAAAATCATTAGAAGATTTTCAGGCTTGTCCATGGGACACTTTTTTCTGTCCTATCCCATAGCAATTTATGCCTTCCCCATTCCACCCTATTCAATGGGATTCCCATCGGGATACAATCCAATAAATAAAAATTTAGGTTTAGCGTGTACGTGGTTACATGTACGAAGAGACACGCAAAACAACAAAATTTGCTGACTTTGTTAACTTTAAATTCAGATTTAATATACATGTGTCTATCTCCCGCTTCACTAGGTATATTGTTAATGCTAGATATATTTTGCACTTAACAACTAACAAGAGAGCTATCCTCAAATATTTGAACACGAAGTCTATAACGAAAGTTTTTACCATCAATTCCCCCAAAATCATACGGTATTTCGTGTCCCATGGGTAATACAAATGCGTACTGCCCATCCCATAAGACGTTTCCTATGGGAATCCCATTTTAAATGAACAAGCCTGAAGATTTCCCTCGAATACAAAACACCGGGCTGACGAACTAAAGTGATTCTTATTCGGAATTATTCGAAAATTTGCCGAAAATATATTCGAATACTTCGAAATTGCTTTGGTATATATTTGAATCTATTCAAATATTCGATTTGTATTGAACAACCTTGTTTTGACTTCTTTTGGCCGCTGAAAAAAAATAAAGGTGGGCCGCGAAGTAAAACTCTTCGTAAAAGGATGAGAAGTACTGGTTTAATATGTATAATAAAGTACCTGATTTATGCTTAGGCCATTCTTCTCTTGGTATTCTCACATCTTCATATTTAACATCCGAATATGCAAATATCAGACGTATAATTTCAGCATTGCCACGAGCATCAAAATAATATAACTTATACTGCACCATGTTGTTCTTACCGAAATCTTCTGTGTTCAATAGTAAAGTAAAATTGGGCTCTACTACAATAAAATCAAACGGTCATCACACTACTGTACTTATAGCACATCAACGAATGGTGTGTCTACACATTGGAAAGTTATAATGTGGGCTCTACTACAAGAAAACCAAACGGTTATCACACCATTGTACTTATATTGATTCAACGAATGGTGTTATAGGGAGACGTAGTGCGGTCTTAGGAATAAAGACTGTTCACCCTAATATTCAAAGTTCGATTCCCACGTTATTAATTTCACGTGTTATGGAATGTGACTCCAATCTGGATTCCCTCAGACGATAATAAGCACACGATGATGATTGTCGAATTGTTGTATATTATTGAAAAGATGCACGATCCAAATTCCAAATACAGATAAAATTGTATACACTTAATTCCTAATGCAGTAAGATTACGGTCAGATCACAAGTCATAAATCGAGTGAAACAAGAAACACAATATTATAGAGCATTCTCGGCAAACCGGAAACGATACGTTATCAAATTGGTCGAAACGAGAAAGGCAATACATGGAGCGAATGCATTATCGCTGTTGCGAAACATAATGTGGCCTATTTTGTGAAATATTACATGCTATTAATATGAAAGGGTTAAATACATTATAATCCATAGTTACACAATGCACATTCGCTACAGTGTGTTTGCACAGTGGAAAGTTATATCATTAAAAATATTCGCTCATTGATACGAATACAACTCCGTGCTCTACGCTGATCTACACTACTCCAGGGTTGCCAGAACCAACGGTAAAAAAAAAGCCACCAAGTACAAAAGCCCCATGATTTGTCAGATTTTAAGCCCTTGGCACAATACTGATGCTAATGTAGAGCCATCAGTTCATTTAGTGAGCCACACAAATGTCTTTTCACATTGAAAGTTGTATTTTCGGTTGCTATCATGGCGATTTCCACTTCATCGGGATGAAGGGTTTAAAAGTAAAAAGGATTAATTGAATGACAGCAGCACCAGAATCTACATCCAACACAATACAGTCAATCTGACATCTATATGAAACAGTTTAAAATAATCAAAAAACCAAATAGAAAGGAATATCAAGCGGACAGCATTATTTTACCATTCAATATATACAATACAGGGTGCTGCTTGAGTATATGATATACCTACATGTATCTACCTAAACTTGTGATATACCCTAAAAAATTCTCCCTATATCGTACTTTAATTTTAAAACCATCAATTTTATTAAAAAATTATCTAACCACGTGCCGCTTACAGGTGAACGAACTACTGATAGCTAATTCAGTAATTTTAGCGTAGTTAATCACATCGTTCGTGAGACTAAATTTTGAAATAGGCATAATGAAAATAAAGTTTAGTACCGGTAATAGGCTATTGTTACGCACTAAATATTGTATTTCCTATGATTTTATCAATAGACACTAGAATAGACTAGAATAAAAAAAAACGCCAAAAAGCCAAACGAAAATTCAGACGCCAAAAGTGTTTGAAAAAAGCCAAAAATGGCAAATTTGTCGTTAAAAAATCCAATATGGCAACCCTGCACTACTCCAGCACACGATATTCGTTTGGCACGCTTGACTGCCTAAGTAGGATTGACAAATGATTTACCTAATTCATTCATTCACTGATCCCTTGGGTAGGTAAGGGAATGGTGGATTGTGTGCAATCTATATAAATAGTTTCGGCGCTTTCGCTAAATTTTAGCATATAAAAGAATAACACCTAGTATACCAATCTGATGAGTAATGCGATCGAGGTGTACAAATATGACATCATATCAATGTGAAAACACCGCAATTTTAGTAGGTTGTTCCAATAGCGGGACAACACTAAAAGGCTGAAGGAAGAAACGGATGAAGTGGAGGGAAAACGGAAGTTGAAGTGTTCCCAAAGGTGAAAAATTAAAAAACACTAAAAGGCTGAACACTAAAAGGAAGAAGTGGATGAAATTTCTTCCGACGGGTAGTTAGGTGGTTGAAGTCACTAAAAAGCTGAACAGTAAAAGGAAGGAGTGGATGAAATTTTTACCGACGAATAATGAGGTGGTCGAAGTCACTAAAAAGCTGAACACTAAAAGGAAGAAGTGGATGAAATTTTTTACCGACGAATAATGAGGTGGTCGAAGTCACTAAAAAGCTGAACACTAAAAGGAAGAAGTGGATGAAATTTTTTCCGACGAATAATGAGGTGGTCGAAGTCACTAAAAAGCTGAACACTAAAAGGAAGAAGTGGATGAAATTTTTTCCGACGAATAATGAGGTGGTTGAAGTCACTAAAAAGCTGAACACTAAAAGTAAGAAGTGGATGAAATTTTTTCCGACGAATAATGAGGTGGTTGAAGTCACTAAAAAGCTGAACACTAAAAGGAAGAAGTGGATGAAATTTCTTTCGACGAATAATGAGGTGGTCGAAGTCACTAAAAAGCTGAACACTATAAGGAAGAAGTGGATGAAATTTCTTTTAAAAAGCTGAACACTAAAAGGAAGAAGTGGATGAAATTTTTTCCGAAGAATAATGAGGTGGTCGAAGTCACCAAAAAGCTGAACAACTAAAAGGAAGAAGTGGATGAATTTTTTCCGACGAATAATGAGGTGGGTTGAAATCACTAAAAAGCTGAACACTAAAAGGAAGAAGTGGATGAAATTTTTTTCCGACGAATAATGAGGTGGTTGAAGTCACTAAAAAGCTGAACACTAAAAGGAGAAGTGGTGAAATTTCTTTCGACGAATAATGAGGTGGTCGAAGTCACTAAAAAGCTGAACACTAAAAGGAAGAAGTGGATGAAATTTCTTTCGATGAATAATGAGGTGGTTGAAGTCACTAAAAAGCTGAACACTAAAAGGAAGAAGTGGATGAAATTTTTTCCGACGAATAATGAGGTGGTCGAAGTCACTAAAAAGGTCTGAAGGCACTAAAAGGAAGAAGTGGATGAAATTTTTTTCCGACGAATAATGAGGTGGTCGAAGTCACTGGTTGAAGTCACTAAAAGCTGAATACTAAAAGGGAAAAGTGGATGAAATTTCTTCCGACGAATAATGAGGTGGTTGAAGTCACTAAAAAGCTGAACACTAAAAGGAAGCAGTGGATGAAATTTCTTCCGACGAATAATGAGGTGGTTGAAGTCACTAAAAAGCTGAACACTAAAAGGAAGAAGTGGATGAAATTTCTTCCGACGGATAGTGAGGAATACTTGAAAATTTAATATATTAGGAATTGGGTAATTTAATGTTTGTTCTGTTCGTATTTATAAGACAATGTCCTCGTGGATTCGTTTTTTGTTAATTTTTTATATGTTATGCTCAGTTCGAGCCTGGCGAATTGAAGGCCATGACATTCTCGTTATATTCTTTTTAATTTTGATGTAATGTGCAAACAAATTAATATATATATATTTTCATATCTAGCTGTTCTAGATCAACAAACCTTGTAATTTATAATATGTTGTGGCCCACCCTCAAAATGCCTCTGAGGCTTACCAGTGGCCCATGGCCCATTGGTTGAGAACCAGTGGTCTAACAGGACTTCGATTTGACTAATACATCATTATTCAAAAGTCTTCGTGCGTGAACTGCTTGCAAAATTTATAAAAACAGATATTAAGTTCAAGGAATGAAATACGGAATCAAAAATAAATTATATTCGGGCACAATATCACGGCAATCTATGTACATAGATGTGTGGTCAACTGCGCGATTATTATTAATTTTTGATTCCTATGTTCGTATTTACAAAATACAACGGCGATCCATGGACTTAAAATGTGTGGTAAACTGCCCGATTATAATTAATTCTTGATACATATTTTCGTATTTATAAAATAATAAAAGATATATATGCGGACATTGAAGTGCCCGAAATATAAAAAAAATCCATTCGTATTTACGTACTCACGAAAAAATTGTCGGCAAGTCAGAAATATAATTTATACTTTATCCGCTTTTTGCAATATATTTGGATAATGGTTGGTATTTAAAGTATGGACTTTTACTAGGATGATTTTGTGTTGCGCAAAATGTTCAAATCTATGACCGAATAGCACTATTTTAAATGCTTGCCGTATTAATTTAATTCTGATAACGTAACTCATGGTATAATAAAAATATATCGCAGTAATCTGCAAACATGAAATGCATGGTAATATAGTCATGTTGTAGATAACAGTTATTCCATTGTTTATTGTATGCAAATTCCTTCATATACTATAGATCAGTAGTTCGGCAACCACCGGGCCGCGGCCCATCGCCGGTCCGCGGAAAGGTCACTACCGGTCCGCAGAAAGGTGACATGAAAACGTACAATGCCATTGTTATCTCATGTGAGGTTGGTTTTTAAAATGCAATTACAAAAACGACAGATCGAAGTGGGTTTAACGTAAGAAATACGTTACGTGAATAGTATCAACCTTCGTTTTTGAATGTATTGTCAAACATAACATTTTCTAACGCATATTATTTATTAGATTAGTTCGTTTGTATGAAGCTTGGTCCGCCAAAATTTTGGTCAGGCCTTTACCGGTCCGTTACTGAAAAAAGGTTGCCGGCCACTGCTATAGGATCATTGATTTTCCAACCGGCGAGAGACCTCCGGGTGTTCCGCGGAAAATTGCTTTTTTTGCAGTATTATGATGTCATAATTGATATTTAAACCGTCCGATGGATTTATATAAATTTCACAAAGCCGCGGTTCACAACCGCTTCCAATCTTTGCTATTATTTTCTAACTACCTATCTTTGCGGAATGAGTTTTTAAGCATGACCGGTCTAGGGCTGTGCAAAATATTCGAATAGCGAATACAATATTAAAATATTCGAATGCCATTTTACCTATTCGTATGTACAATACCACATTATCTGTACCCGCTTTGCTTGGGCACGGAATTCACGCCGGTAAATCGATCGCTTGGATTACGCGAGAATTCACCCCTCGGCTTCCACTGTTATTTTGCAAAAAGCGTGCCGACACTAGTCCGTAAATGTAGAAACGTCAACCCAGATAAGATATCTAAAATAAAGTTACCAGCCTCCGCATGCATGACCCGAATAGAAAATCATTTTCGGAAATTAAGAGTTACAAAGACGTTTTCGATACATGGTGAAAACGGCAATTTTAGGACGTCAGAAAATTCGAGTTATATAATGGGTACTCCTGTAATATGCGAACCAAGACGTTGGACACCAGAACGTAGTATGTGTACCAGGTTAGGCCAAAATTTTGTTCAAATTTTCCTCATTTTAGTTCTATTACGAGTTCGGAGACTAGCCAGGTGACTCCTATAGTATTCGTACCTGAAGTTATGGCCTGACCCTAACTTGGTACACATACTACGTTCGTGTGTCCGCCATCTTGGTTCACATACCACGGGAGTACCATATAAATAGCATAGATTTGAAAATGGCGAGTCAGAGTTTTGAAAAGCCGGTATAAAACTTTTAACCAGATAAGAAATGACAGGCCATACTCTCTTTTAATGGACTTTCTAATAGCTCGGCGTGTATTTTTAGTGATCCATTTCATCCTTGACCAAATAATGTTTCAAAAATGTGAACATTATACTCGACCATGGATCATCGGAATTGACTACATTTGTTGCATTTTGAAGCTTTTCCTGCAGTATTAATTAGGGCGTGGCATCATCAAAATCGTCAAGTGGAGTGTTGAATTTGCAAATTCCGTAAATAAAATTATGAATTTCCCGGTAACGATATTAGCTATGATATTGGTCGGGGT